CGGACGGCGCCGCGAGCTGCGCCGCCGACAGCGGCTGCCCGGCCGCCGCCGCCGCCAGCGACTCGAAGATGCCCAGGTCGCCCGCGAGCTTGACCAGGGCCAGTTGCCGGCTGGCGTTGAGCAGGCGCAGCAGCGTGTCGGTCGGCGTCTCGAGCTCCTCGGCCGACTCGTGCAGGGACGTCATCAGGCCTTGCCTCGTGTGCTCGTCCAGCGCGGCCGGGGCGCGAGGGTCCTCGGACGCCAGGAGCCCTGCCAGAGTGCTTGGAGGCTGCGCCTTGTTGGGACCATGTCCATTGGTGTGACCATTGGTGTGACCGTTTGTGTGACCGTTGGTGCCGTGGCCGTTGGTTGTCGCGTACATGGTTCCAGTGCCGCCGTGGCCGTTCTGCTCGAGCTTGCCAGCGTTCCTGGCCTCACCGTTGAGGAACGACAGCTTGTCATGACCCGTGAACGTAACCGGGGCCTTCTTGGCCGGGGCTAGCCCCAGCTTTCCGCGCTCCAGCCGAGGCGCGAGCCCGTCGACCGAGTCGAGGGCGAAGTTGTCAATGTCGAGAATGTCCTCGGGCCGGACCATGCGGCGGCCCTTGAGCGTCTGGAGAATCGCCCGCTCCTCGGGCGTGAGCTTCTCCTCGAGCTCGGCGAGCGCCCTGCTGTTGGCCTCGTCGTGCGCGTCGCCGTCGAGGCCCAGGCTCTTGAGCTTGGCCACGAGCGCCTCCTTCTCCTCGAACGACACGTGGGCAAAGGCGCGGAAGCAGAACTCGATCGTCTTGGAGACCTCGGCCTGCGTCAGGCCGCGACCCTGAGCGTCGGCGTCGGCGGTGCCCTGGATCACGGGGCGGAACAGGTTAAAGGCGCGCTCGAAGCTCTGCTCGTCAAAGTCGTGCAGCACGGGCTGGTCGGCCGAGCGGATCTGCTTGAGCGCGCTCGACACCACCACCAGGAAGCGCGTGTAGCTCTCGGCCGTTTTCTTGTCGTACCACGACGCCGCCGTCGCCTCGTCGCAGTCCCCGCGCAGCACGGCCGCGATGGTCGTGGCAGCCGCCAGGCCGCCCGCCAGCGCCAGGTGCACGCCCGACGAGAAGAAGGGGTCGATGAAGGAGCCCGCGTCGCCCACGATGCGCGCCCCGGGCAGCGCGTACCGCGACGCGCTGTACGACCAGTCCGACGCCGACTTGACGTCCGACACCATCTCGGCCTTGGAGAGGAGCGCCCGGATGCCCGGCACCAGGTCGAGGCTCTGCTCGTAGAGGCCGCGCGCTGACGGCTCGGCCATGGCGCGCTTCTTTTCTGTCGCAATGTCCTGGTTCTGCACCACGCCGACCGAGTGGGTGCCGTTGTGCAGCGGGATGAACCATACCCAGCCGCTCGCGTCCTTTAGGGCCTCAAAGTACGGCGCGCCCTCCTTGTGCGTGCCCACGGCGTGCGTCCCGCCGCCTTTCCAGTAGGCCCAGCTCGCGACGTTCTTGAGCCCCTGGTTGTAGTGGCGGTTCTTCATGTACTTTGTGCTGAGCAGGCCCGCCCGGCCCGACGCGTCCACGAGGTAGCGGAACGAGATGGCCCCGGAGCTGCCGTCCTTGCGGCTCCAGGTCGCCGACACTGGGCGCCCCAGTTCCTCCTCGGGGGAGCTCGGGGGGCTAAACTCGACCGACGTCACCTTTGTCGCGTCAAACGTCTTGACGCCGCACGACGCCGCGTGTTTGAACATGATCTCGTCGGCCTCGGACCGCACCACGTTCCAGGCGTACCCCTCGGGTCCGCCGGCGGCGACAAAGTCGGTATCTACAAGAGGCGAGGAAGCTGTTAATAATTATGGTTGTGGTTTTCGTCTTGCTCCGCAAATACAGTCGGCCGTGTTGCGCGGAAAGACGTACAAGACTCTGGCCTGGCCCAGTTGAGGCGGAAAGCACCCCCTTTCTGCCATGATGTATTAGTAGAGGCACCGACTCGGCTTTCACGGGCAAGTTTTTGCTCGTGCTTGTTCGTTGGAGCTCACCTTGATATTGAACCCGTGAGCATTGAACTTTTCATATCCGTCGATGAACTTGAGGAAATGCCGCATCGAGGGGAGCATGCTTTCGCCAATGTGGTATCTGCGAGTACGTGGTTTATTAGTCCTCCAACTCCACCGTCGCCCGAAACTACATCATAGCAGACGAACCTTGGGAACTTCTCCGACTCCAGGAGCACCACATCGATGCCCTCTCGCGCTAGGGCTGCCGAAGCATAGGACCCCCCGGGCCCACCGCCCACCACCAGGACAGTGCAGCTCTGTGGAACACTCGCCATTTTCGCAAGGTCGCGGAGGACAAGGTTTTCAAGGGGACTGAAGGTGACTGAGAAGATACCAAAGAAGTTAATACCCAGAGGAAGACCGCGATGGACCTACAATGCACACCGGGCGCCTCGACAAGATCACAGCAAGAACACATCAAGCATATAATATCCAAAATCGCAAATCTGCACCTCGGGTTTGTCGACTTCATCATCGAGGTGTGCTCGGCTCGGGCCATGGCAAATGCAAATTGTAGCTGCTAGTAAGACGACTTGCATGTCTCGGTCGATTGCGTCGGAGGGTTTTCGGGCAATTTTTTTTGCTGCAGCCGCGTGTAAGCCCATAGAATTTCACGGAACCCGAACCACGTTGACTCAATAATACCAGGTACCTTGCAGTTACGCACTTTACGCGCCCATGCCGGCACAAGAAGAGGCCTCTGTGAGAATATCACGTCAGCAAAGTGACATCATCCGCCCCTAATGGTTCCTCCGTAGGAGCACATATAGCATTTGTGTCATGAACGCGTAGTAGGCAGGTATCGGGTTACATAATGGGCAAAGGCTTAACAAACTATCGAGCTCAACAAGTAAACAGTTTCATACTGAAATCTACACGTTAGGATGAATAAAATTCCAGTCAACTGGTGGCTGCAGTAGTTCCAGTGTCAGCATTACAAGCTCAAAAAACTTTCAGCCCTTTCGTCCTGGCATTCCTGATGCCTTCCTCAAGCAGCAAACCCCAGGGATTTTACTCTTCCGCCTTTTGGGAAGACTACCTGGCGACGCAGCACAGCAAATTGCCCGAGCTTGGCCATGTATCAGAGCACTGCGGCTCCAAACGCGTCGTCCGCTTCCTCGGCGGGAACCCGGGCCACATGCAGCTCCAGGGGACCAATACATATCTTGTCGGCACCGGGAGGATAAGAATCCTCATCGATACAGGCGAGGTGAGGTGCACTTTGGACAATACCGTCGGCGGGTTTCTTTTGATGTCACCTGGAGACCGCACACTGCACTACTAACCACAACGACCTAGGGCTCGTAACAGGGTCGTGCGTCGTGGATAATAAACCTAACAGGGTACCTCGACGACCACGACATCTCCATCTCGCACGTGCTGCTGACGCACCGCCACGGCGACCACACGGGCGGCCTGGCCGACCTGCTGCTGCGGGACCCGGACGTTCTCGTGCACAAGAACGAGCCCGAAGGCGACGGCCAGCGCCCGATCCGGGACGGGCAGCGGTTTAGCGTCGAGGGCGCCACGCTGCGGGCGGTGCTGACGCCAGGCCACAGCTCGGACCACGCGTGCTTCGTGCTCGAGGAGGACGGCGCCCTCTTCACGGGAGACGCCGTGCTGGGTCACGGCTACAGCGTCGCCGAGGACCTGGGCGCCTACACGGCGAGCCTGGCGCGGATGCGGGCGCTGGGCTGCGGGGGGCCCGGGTACCCGGGCCACGGGGAGTGGATCAAGAACCTGCCGCGCGTCCTGGACATGTACGTGGCGCAGCGGCGGGCGAGGGAGAGGAGGATCTGCGCGGTGCTGGCGGACGCGGCGGCGGCGGCGGCTGTCGGACACCATCAGGGGGTCGCCACTGCTGCTGCCATGGGTGGGGGAAACGGCGGCCTAACTGTGGAGGACGTAGGGGTGCGTATCTACGGAGAGGCGGCTAGGAGCCCGGGTGCGTTCGATGCTGCGCTGAGGCCGCTGTTGGATCAGGTTTTGCACATGCTGGCCGACCATGGCAAGGTTGGATCTCGGCTGGTTGGATCGGGCCAGACCAGGCACTGGTTCGTCACGCCCGGCATGTAGTTGATAGTTTAGGAGTTCATACGGAATGTTGATGGCGAGCCAGACTTTAGCAGCCCATACGTGCGTCTTTGGTGCTCTGCCATTGTGTGAGGTAGGCCCGATCCAGGCACGAGATTTTTCGTGCTGCAACTAGAACAACAACAACAACAACAACCACCAAGGCTTTCTCCCACCTCTTTTGGGCGGCGGCCCTCCGGACCGGCCGACCTCCCACGGCTAGCAAGTCAGCCTTGACTGCAGGATAATCTACCGATCCCCATTCGGCTGCACATGAAGAACGCTAGCAACCTGGCTTGGGTGCCACAATATGACTCTTCTCCGCTGACCTAGTTGCCTTTCCAGAAAATCCCCCGACTCGGATTCCGAGCTATTGTGCCGATGTTCGGTATACCCAATGGGGGAGATTGATGAATGTAACCCGTTTGGAACCTTTGCGAAAGTTTCTGCATCCTTGTGGCGAAGCGGATCACGCTTGATATTGGCGTATACAACAAAGAAATGGCATACACTGGCACACTCTGATGCAGTGCTGACACGTGGAAACACAGTAGGCTCGAGTGTACGAGGGCTGGGCTCGATATGTGGATTGTGGCGCGAAATACGGAAAGAGAAAACATATGATGATCGCCCGTCTCTCGCAGGACGGACCAGACATAACCGCTCGCCAACATCACACAGTCCTCACGACAATGGACAGCAGCAACAGCGGCAGAAACTCACCCACCCCCTCGCATTCCACCGCCGCGGCAGACATGGCGGGCAGCAGGCTTCCCGCAGAGGACGACGGCGGCAGCAACAGCAGCAGCAGCAGCAGCAGTGCCGCCGCCGTAGGTCTCATCGTCTTCAGCCACGAGCTCCCCGGCGGCGACTCGGTCCAGGACCTGCTGCGCAGGCTGCACCGGCACGCCAAGCGGCCGCGGCACGGCCTCCTAGCGCGGTTCCTGCGCGAGTGCGTCGCGGTCCTGAGGCACGAGGCGCAGGCCCTCCCGCGGGACGAGCGCGCGCCGGCGCCGCCGTTCAGCGACGTGGCGGCGCTGGGCTCGTGCTGGGAGGCGCTGCGGCGCGGGCCCGTGGGCGGCGCGTGGGAGGGCGCCATGGTGTGTCTGTACCACTTGGCCGTGTTGATTGGGTAAGGAAGAGGCTGTCCTGCCGTGGACATACATCCCCCCTTTGTGACATTGGTACGTGGCAACAGAATCATGAAGGCCCCGTCAACTAACCGCACAAACATACACACACACACACTGAAACAGTCACCACGAAGCGACCGACCAGCCATATCACAGTCAAGATTCTGCACCACCGTGCCTGGTAGGGGTCAGCATCGGCTTGTTTTCGGCGGCGGCCGTCGCCGTATCCCCTACCCTCACCGATCTCGTCTCGTGCGGTGCCGAGGCCGTTCGGATGGCCTTTGTATTTTGCCGGCACGTCGGCCGCGTCTCCCAGCTGCTCGAGACCACCATCCCCACCACGCCCGGTCGCAGCCCGAGCTGGGCATCCGTCATCATCGGGCTACCGGCCGACGTGGTGCAGGCGGAGCTGGACCTCTTCAACAACGGCGCTGAGCAGCAGGCGGGCCGACAAGGCGACGACGGCGACGATGACGACGATGGCGGCATGGCGACGGCGCTGACGCGCGTCAGCATCAGCCACGTGGATCACGGGTCGGTGGGCGTCACGGGCACCCCCTCGCGCCTGGCCGAGCTGTTCGCCAAGTCAAAGCCCCTGGGCGCCTCGCGGCACGCGGCGCTGCCCATCTCGGGCGGGCTCTGCCACGTGCCGCACGTCTACGGCGACGACGACGTGCGCGCCGTGCTCCGGGCGGCCCGCGTGGGGGAGCGTTGGGGCCGCGGCAACCGCCGTCGGGTCGTGCGGCCGCTGCTGTCGCCGCACACCGGGAGCCCCTTCGAGGCCGCCGACGCCGCGGGGCTGATTGAGGAGATCTGCGCCGAGGCCCTGACCAAGCCCCTGTTCTTCGACAAGGTGGCCGAGGGCGCGGCGGCGCAGACGCTGCGCAGCCTGGACGAACGCGAACTCGCAGCGGCAGGCACGCAGCCGTCGCGTCTCGGCGTGCTGCACTACCGGACGTCGGTCGTCTCGGACGGCATCGTGGCGGCCGTGGAGGGGCGGCTGCTGTCGTCTCGGGCCGTCGTCGTGCAGCGCCAGGACGTCGTCGACTGGGTCGTGCAGCAAGAACGTGGCGGCGAGGTGGGCATGGGTCGAGATCACCTGGTCGGCAACCCGGGCTCGCCGCAGGACTCCAAGCTAGCCGTGGTCGGCATGGCGTGCCGCATGCCGGGCGATGCCGACACGCCCGACAAGTTCTGGGAGCTGCTGGTGCAAGGCCGCGACACCCTAGCCGAGGTGCCCCCTGACCGGTTCGACCTCGACGCGCACTTCGACCCGGCCATGAAGGCTGAGAATACAGTAAACACACGGTTCGGAAATTTCGTATCCGGCCCGGGCCTTTTCGACGCGGGATTCTTCAACATGTCGCCCCGAGAGGTTGGATCTCCCCTCCCCTGAGATTGCTGTAGTCTGTGTGGCCAGTTGGCTCCAACTCCCCGAGCAAACACTGAGAAAGAACAAAAAAAAACAGGCACAGCAGACAGATCCCATGCAGCGTCTAGCACTAGTAACGGCGTACGAGGCGCTCGAGATGGCGGGCTTCGTGCCGGGCCGCACGGCGTCGTCGCACGCCTCGCGCGTCGGCACCTACTACGGCCAGGCCAGCGACGACTACCGCGAGGTCAACGCGAGCCAGAAGATTGGCACCTACGGCATCCCCGGCACCGAGCGGGCGTTTGGGAACGGCCGCATCAACTACTTTTTCAACTTCCAGGGCCCCAGCTTCAACGTGGACACGGCCTGCTCGAGCGGCCTGGCCGCGGTCTATGCGGCCTGCTCGGCGCTGTGGGCGGGCGAGGTCGACACCGTGGTGGCTGGGGGTTTAAACGTCATCGTAAGTGTTGTTTTGCGTTTCTTTGCTTGCCAAACCCGCGAGACTGACCAACCCAAAGACCAGCCCCGACATATACTGCATGCTGGGTAAGGGTCACTTCCTGTCCCCGACGGGCCAGTGCAAGGTCTGGGACGCCGGGGCGGACGGCTACTGCCGGGGCGACGGCGTGGGCTCCGTGGTGATAAAGCGGCTTGAGGATGCGCTGGCAGACAATGATGTGGTCCTGGCCACCATCCTGGCCGGCGCGACCAACCATTCGTCCGAGAGCGTGTCCATCACGCAGCCTCACGCCGCCATCCAGAAGAACAACTACCAGCGCGTCATGGACCGGGCTGGTGTTGATCCCCTGGACGTCAGCTACGTCGAGCTGCACGGTACGGGTACACAGGTTGGTGACGCGGTCGAGTCCGAGTCGGTGCTCGACTTTTTTGCGCCGGACCATTCTCGGCAGGGGCAGGACCAGCATCTGGCACTGGGGGCACTCAAATGTAATATAGGCCATGGTGAGGCCGCCGCCGGCATTGCTTCGTTGATCAAGGTGCTCTTGATGTACCGCCATGGCGTCATCCCCCGACACATTGGCATCAAAACCGCGGTCAACCCCGTGGTGGCGCGCCACCTGGCCGGCCGCAACGCCGGAGTCGCCTTCGAAAACAAGCCCTGGACCGCCCCAGACGGCGGCGACGGCAAGCGCTATTCCATCGTCAACAGCTTTGGCGCCCACGGCGGCAACACGACTCTCCTGCTCGAGGACGGCGCACCGCCGGCGGCATCGCTCCATCACCAAGGCGGCGACGGCGGCGACGACGACGGCCGCCACGAGGTCGTCTGCATCTCGGCCAAGAGCAAAGCCTCGCTGCGCGGCAACGTCGCCGCCCTGCTCGGCTACCTGGACGCGAACCCGGACGCGCGGCTGAGGGACGTGGCCTACACGACGAGCGCGCGGCGCATGCACCACCACATCCGCGTCGCCGAGGCCGTCTCCAGCACGGCGCGGCTCGGGGACGTGCTGCGCGCCATGGCCGCCGACGACGCGGCCCTGGACGCCCATGCCTGCCACGTTGCGAGACAGGGCAGGAAGAAGGTCGTCTTCGCCTTCTCGGGCCAGGGCTGCTTCTACCGCGGCGCCGCCGCGGCGCTGTGCGAGCGGTCACCCGACTTTGCGCGTCTAGTGCTCGAGCTGGACCGCGTCGTTGTCCAACTAGGCTTCCCGTCGGTGCGCGCGGCCGTCGTTGAGAACAAGACGGACGGCAGCCTGGTGGAGAGTGATGTCGGCGGCAGCGACCTGAGCCCCCTGGTCGCCCAGCTCGCGCTGGTGGTGTTACAGATCGCCCTGGCGCGATACTGGGCGCTCCTCGGCATCACGCCCGACGCCGTGGTTGGCCACAGCCTGGGCGAGTACGCGGCGCTGTGCGCGGCCGGCGTGCTGTCGGCCGCCGACGCGCTGTTCCTGGTCGGCCGCCGCGCCCAGCTGACGGCCGCGCGCGCCCGCGGCGGCGCCGGGAGCCACGCCATGCTGTCCGTGCGCGGGGTTTCGGCCGCCCAGCTCGCCGAGATGTATCCCCCCGAGAGGTTCGGCTACGAGGTGTCGTGCCTCAACGGCCGCGCCGACACCGTCGTCAGCGGGCCCCGGGACGCCCTCGTCGCCCTGCGCGACGCCACCCTGCTGGAGGAAAAGAAGGCCGCCACGGGGCTCAAGTGTGTCCTCCTCGACGTGCCGTACGCGTTCCATTCCGCCCAGATGGACCCCGTCCTCGCCGACTTTGAAGCTGCGGCCCGTCGCCGCGTCACGTTCAAGCGCCCGCAAGTGCCCGTCATCTCGCCGCTTTTGGGCCGGTGCGTGTTGCCGTCCGAGGCGCACGTTATCAACGAGACGTACCTGCGGCGCGCCGCCCGCGAGCGAGTCGACTTTGTGTCCGCCGTTGCCGCCGCCGCCGCCGCGGGCCTGGCCGACGACGGCTCGGTCTGGCTCGACATCGGGCCGCACCCCGTCTGCTCGACCTTTGTCCGAAACTGCCGCCAAGAGCAAAAGGAAGAACCGGCCGCCGTCACCGCCCTCCCATCCCTCCGCAGGGGCGACGACTCCCTGGCCGCCTGGAGCAGCACTCTGGCCGCGCTGCACCGCCTGGGGCTGCCTGTCGCGTGGGACGAGTACTTTTCGCGTCGGGGCCATGGCGAGTGTTCGAAAGCGCCACAGCTACTGCACCTCGCCACGTACTGCTGGAACAACAAAAACTACTGGATACCCTACGAGGGCACGTGGACGCTTGACAAGGCCGACCCCGCCGCTGCTGCTGAGATGCACAGGCAAAGGACGAGTAGGCGGCAGCCTGCTGGCGAGGTTCCCTTCCTCACCTCGTCCGTCCAGCGGGTTGCCTTTGAGGACGTCGGCGAGAAGACGGCGCGCTTGACGGCCATTTCCGACCTGAGGCACCCCCACCTGCTCGGGGCAGCGACGGGACACAAGATCCACGGGAGGAGCGTATTGACAGCCGTAAGTGCAAAGAAAAGAAGGGGAAGAAATGAAAAAGGAATCCTCACCACCTGGTCTCGAATCTGTTGCTAATCAGTTTCTGTTTGTCTGTCTGCTCAGAGCATCTGGGCCGACATCTGCCTCACCGTCGGCGAGCATGCGTACAAGCGACTAGTCCCAAATGCCACAGGGGTTCTCATGGACGTCAGGGACATGAGGGTCGTCGCGGCGCAGCTGATCGCCGAGGAGGAGAACGACGGCGACCCCGCCGCCTCGCCGCCAGCCCAGCAGCTCATACGGATCGAGGCGGGGCTGGACCTCTCGCTCGGCCGGACAAACGTCGGTCTGTGGACGTGCAGGGCCGACGGGTCCCGCGACCCGGCAGACCGCGCCTTCGCGACGGCCGTGGTGTGGTACTACCCAGACGACGGCACGGCGGCCATGGCGCGCCAGGATTGGGCCGCCGAGTGGCGGACTGCCGCGCACCTGGTGGGCTCGCGCATTGACGCCCTGTGGGATTCCACGACGGCGGCGGCGACGGGCTCTGGGGAGGCAGGCGGCGGGGCGAGCACCAGCACCAGCAGCGCGCTATCCAACCGGGCGACGTACGAGCTGTTCGCCAATATTGTCGACTACGGCCCGCAATACCGGGCCATGCGGCGCGTCGCGCTCGACCCGGACGCGCTCGAGGCCGCCGCCGACGTGACACTCGACGACGACCGGCACGGCGACTGGCGCACCCCGCCGCACTGGATCGACGGCGCCTTCCAGCTTGCCGGCCTGGTCATGAACTCGTTCGGCGACCCCGCGGCCGGCAGCCCCGCGCGCGACTTCTTCTTCATCACGCCCGGCTGGCGGCGCCTGCGGCTCCTAGAGCCGCTCAGGGGCGGGGTCGGCGCCGGCTATCGCAACTACGTCCGCATGGCCCCCGAAGCGGGCGGAGCGTCGTACGTGGGAGACATATACCTGCTGCGCGGCAAGACCGTGGTGGGCCTTTGCGAGGGCATTGAGTTCAAGCGCGTGCCGCGGGCCTTGATGGCAGTCATGTTCCCCCGAAGAGGCGGCCGGCGCGGCGGGGGAGGCGCCAAGAGCAGCAATGGCGGCGGCATCCGCAATCACCCCCTACCCACTACCATCAACTACGGCGCCGGCACTGCAGCAGCAGGAGGTCATGCTCCTAGCCCAAAGGCAGCACCGCCCATCGAAGCCGCCACGCCCACAGCCGCGGGCACAGCTGAGACAGAGTCCATAATCGTCACACCTCCCTCTTCGACTGCCAGCGATGGCGCGACAGGAGCTGGAGAAAAGCAGCACCAACACCCCCACGTGGCCGCCTCGATGCGGCTCATCGCCCGTGAGACGGGCCTGGATGCCGAGGACATGCGCCCCGAGACGGCATTCGCCGACGTCGGCGTCGACTCGCTCATGTCGCTCACGCTGGCCGACAAGCTCCAGGCGGAACTGGGAGTTCCCGTCAAGGCGTCGCTGTTCCTCGAATGCGCCACCGTCGCGGACCTGGAAAGGTGGCTGATGAAAGTAGGAACCCATGCGTGATTGGTAGAAATGTCGATGGAGCAGGATAATTTTCCCAGCTTCAATGCTGTCGGCACACTACCACTTTTCGCGGAGCGCTTTCCAGAATTTTGCTATGCATGGTCGTTTTTCAGAATTTTGCCATCCACTAGCGTTTTTGAACACAATTGCTATCCACTAGCATTTTTGAACACAATTGCTATCCACTAGCATTTTTGAACACAATTGCCATCCACTAGCATTTTTGAACACAATTGCCATCCACTAGCATTTTTGAACACAATTGCCATCCACTAGCATTTTTGAACACAATTGCCATCCACTAGCGTTTTTGAACACAATTGCCATCCACTAGCGTTTGCCATGCAACGGCAATTTTCAGAATTTTGCCATGCAAAGGCGTTTTTCAGAATCTGGCCGTGCCGTTTCCAGGCTTTAGCCTTTAGCTTGTCCAATCAGGAATTTTCAGAATTTGGGGTTTTTTCCGCCGCAAAACAAGGCGGCTGAGTACCACGCTCAAGCTCAATGTCTTCAGACTCTGGTCGGGGCTTCCCGTACCTACCCATTCCTTACCTTGCCCGATTGGAGGCATGTGTTAGAGGATGCCCCTGTGAATTTGCGCATATGGCCAAGGTCAAAAACACGCGCTGTCAAAAACTGAAAAATCTATGCACAACGTATTATTGGGCCTCCACACGCCTTGGCACCCGCCCGTACCTGCCGTTGATACGTCATCTTGGATTGCCAGAAAATACCAGAGAAAACGGTACACAATTCGTATCTTTTATTGATACCATGCCTCACCCTTCACCGCGATGGCCATTTTTGTTACCGGGAATGAACCCCCAGACTTGGGCGTCGCTGACTGGAGATTTTCCTGAGCCCCGATGTGGTGGTTGCTTCCAGGCAACCTTGCTGAAGCCACGCTATAATCCCAAATCGTCCAACACAGCTCGACGACGCCAGACACAACACCGGGACGAACGCCCACGTGGACACAGCCATGCAGAACATAATTCATTATTTGACCCTAGGGGCTTGGCCCGGATTCCGCCGTGCCCATGCTAGGAGGCTCGTGGTGTGACAGTTCGCATCGACAGTTCGCATACCGCCATCCCCCTCTCTCGCATCATGCGTATAAAGATCCCACCATGCAGCCATTCTCGGATCGGATGGGAGAGTGGCCACGAGCACGGCAGCCATCTACAAATACATTGTTCCAGGCGGAAAAGGTTAGCTGCACTGCCATCCACCTCTTCCTCCCTCGACCAAAGACCACACCCTGGTCCTACTCTATCACCATTCAAATGGATAACAACGGGGATTCCCACGCTGCCCGGGGCCAAGAGGTCAGACCCGCCACACGCGCAGGAGAGAACCAACACAGCGCAAGAGGCCAAGAAAGTCCGGCCACAGCCCAGCATTTCGCAGACTCCGACGCAACACACTCGGCTCAAGACAACGACGAGCCTCGCCTTCCTGAGCGACCCCATGGCCACCAAGCCGGCTACGACCAGGAGGCGGGGCTCGGCGCCCACGGCTCCTCGGACGGCTGCCGCATCACCAGCCCGGCCATCGCCGCGTGGCTCAACCAAGGCATCAAGGACGACCCTTACCACACCCTCCAGTCCGACACTGATGCGCCTTGGGTCGAGTGGCCGGCGGAGCCTGTGCCTGTCGACGGCAACACCCCGGACCAGTGGAGCGTGGCGGCTGCGGCTGGGGACCCCGACCCAGAGGAGGGGGGACGCCGGCGCCGCCTTGGCGCGAGGAGGCGCGGGGGAGGCAGGCGGGACGCTCGCCGCGAGTGAGCGGATACGACATCAAGGCCATGGGGCGCTTTGTATGCTGGAGGGAAAGAGCACGTCATTGGGCTTCGAGGGGGTGAGGCGATAAATGGTGTTATGCATGCAGGTGTTTGTGGTTGGGAGCGGGCATCGAAGGAGGACTCATCAGCAAGCAGAGGACGAAGGGACAGATGTGGTTATTTTCAAGCTTTATATTCGCAACATAGGGTATCTCGGGTACAATGTTCGGCTTCAAACATCGCTTATGAACACGTCGACTCGCAAAGTGGGGGGTCATATCGGCCAGAATGACCAGCTTCAAACATCGATCATCACCACGTCCCCATCCTTGTCCAGGGCCATGGGGTTAGGGACGTCGTCGTCAGTGTCCAGGACCATGGTGTTAGGGAAATCGTCGTCAGTGTCCAGGACCATGGGGTTAGGGACGTCGTCGCCAGTGTCCTGGGCGGGCTCGTTTGCACAGCCAACCTCCTTTGCCGATTCGTCAATACTGACATCCTTCTCGGCAACCGCCTGGGTGCCCTCCTCAGTCTCCCCTGATCCGTCGGCACTAGTAAGCCTTTTGGCGGCCACCTGGGCGTAGGGGTCAGTGTTCCACGAGGATTCTTTGGCAAAACGGTGGGCGCTGTCGTTGGTCTCCCTCCCGGATCCGTTGTCAATGCCAGCATCCCTGGCGATCGCCTGGGCACCCCTGGTGGCCAGAGTTTGGAGGAATGCGGCATTCTCGGCGGGGGTCAGGTTACCCACAACGCCAGACAGGATGTCACCGAGGGTGGGCGTGCTGGAATGCATCTTCAAGGCGGGAAGCGTTGAGAGTCGTGGTGGTGAAGGAAAGAAGGATTGAATATCGTGTCTTTCTTGCGCCACGGGACTCGACGCTGCCTTGAATCAGGATTGCCGCACGGAACTTACTTGAAGCTGCTTTGGATAGAGATGTTGTAGAGTGTTGTGAAGATGCTGACTGTGAGGGAAGACAAGATGGAATTACAGGGTTATGCTCAACGGTTTATATACACGGCAGTTCTGGGTAGATGACCATTGTATCGGTTGATGGTCTTTGTCGAGGGTCGTTCAGGGCCAGGCATTGTCAGGGTCAGGCATTGTCCTGTGACGCTTCGAATAATGGCAGAATCGCCATTATCCAGCTCAATGGGCCTTGTGATCCTTTCCCGGAGATGGCTTTGATCAGCACGAGCAATGCCGCTGCCCGAGTCTGCGGCGCCCATTCTCCAAACAAAGCCGACCAAAGAAACCCACCCGCTCGAGACAGAGAACGAACACCACCTCACGCCGGAGCCTCGTACACCCTCGCGCCCTCAAACCACGTCTCCAAGATGCGCGCGCCAAGCAGCTCCTCGGGCTCCCAGCGCATGTCCACGACCACAAAGTCGGCCTTCTTGCCCGCCTCCAGGCTCCCCGCGACGCCGTCCAGGAAGCACGAGTACGCGGCGCCGCGCGTGGCCGCCGCCGCCGCTTGGCACAGGTCCAGCGCAAAATTCGCATTCACGGCGTCGTGCGCGCCCGGCTCGCGCGCCGACCGGCGCGTCGTGGCGACGTACAGGTTCTGCAGTGGGTGGTTGGGCGCCGTGGGCGCGTCGGTGCCTAGGGCGAGGGTCGCGCCCCCCTCGGCGAACTCGCTGTACGCAAAGGCGCGCGCGCACCGCGCCGAGCCCAGCAGGCGCGGCCAGCCGCCAAAGGTGGCCGGGTCGGCGTGCACGGGCTGGACGGACGCGGTGACGCCGAGGCGGCCGAGGCGGGCGGCGTCCTCGGGGGTGGTCAGCTCGAGGTGCTCGACGCGCGGGCGGCGCGCCGCGGAACAGTGCGCCTCGATGGCGTCGAGGACGGTGGCGACGGTGCGGTCGCCGATGGCGTGCAGCGCGACCTGCAGGCCGGCGGCGTCGGCGGCGGCGACGACGGGGGCGAGCTGCGCGGGCGACCAGAGCGGGTCGACGGCGAGGGCGTTGTGGGCGTAGGGCTCGGTCAGGGAGGCGGTGCAGGCGTCGACGATGCCGTCGCAGACGACCTTGATGCCGACGACGCGGCAGTCGGGCGAGGTCGTCGAGTTGTAGAGCCTGTTGAGCTCCGCCGCGCGCGCGACCTGGGCCAGGTGCTCGGCCTCGGTCTTGGCGGGCTTGATGAGCCAGTAGGCGCTGATGCGCATGGGGACGGGCCCCCGGCGGCGCAGCTCCAGGACCGCGTCCCAGATGGTGTCGTCCATGGCCATGTCGATCATGCCCGTGTAGCCGGCGGCGTGGTAGGCGTCGACGGCGCCCCGGACGGCGGCCACGCGCTCGTCGAGCGACGCGATGGTGGCTAGGTGCGGCCACAGTAGCGAGAAGACGGCGGCCTCGGCCATCTCGCCCGTGGCTTTGCCGTCGGCGTCGCGGAAGATGGTTCCCCCCTCCGGGTCTTGCATGGCCTCGAGGCCCATCTCGGCGATGGCGGCGGCGTTGAGCCAGCCCGAGTGCAGGTCCTTGGAGTCTACGTAGATGGGGCGCGGGTCGAGGTCGTCCAGCATGGAGTGGTGGACGCCGTCGGGGGTCATGAAGCTCATCCAGCCGCTGGCCATGACGCGGGGGTCCGACGGGTGCGCCTCGGCGTGGGCCTTGATGGCGGCGCGTATGTCGGCCAGCGACTTGCACTTGTCCAGGTGCGCCTTTTGGAGGGTCTGGCCCATGGTCAGGATGTGCAGGTGGCCGTCGATGAAGCCGGGCAGCACCGTCTTGCCGCCAAGGTCTCGCGTCTGGACCGCGCCATCCCTTGCCTGGACAATCTCTGCATCGCTCTCGCTACCGACATGGCGGATTAGCCCGTCCCGCACAAGCATGCATGAGTGGAACGACGGTTGGGTGTCCTTGGTGTTTGGAGATTGGAATATCTTGCCGTTGACCAGCAATAGCGGACTAGTATCCGAAGGTGTGGGCGCCATTTTCTTAGCTGTGTGGTAGTGAATCGTAAATTACACCATATGTTGACCAAACGCGATGTGATATATAACCCCTCGATCCTCGAGACAAGCAATGTCCGCCCAATGTATGCATCTCTGATCAGTGAATGCGGGGTCGCTGTTTTGGGCACCGAGGCACGCTGGGCGGTGCGATAACGGACCAGCGAGTCAACGGTATCAACGGGTTGAGGCTAGCTCGGTCTTGGCTCCGAGTGCTGGTGGGTCCCTGCAGCTATGTGTCATTGACGTTTTGCGCGTACCTGAAAACCACTCTGTGTTTTTTGGACAGGGCGACAGGACAATATTTGCTTGGAAATACCATGGCACATTGGAACTCTGGCAGCAAAGAATAGACCCGAGGGTTTGTTCCCCTTCTTTCGAACGGGAAGAAGTGGCCAGCACAATCTGCTCTGGGATGATATTTCCAAAAGGGAATTTGGGGTATACAGGAAATACTGGTAATTTGAGGTACCAACTTTGGTGGAACGGGGCAAAAACAAGAGGTGTCAGCTTCCCGGCCATGTTCCGAGAAGAGTGGAACAAACCAAATGTTTCTCAGGTTGCAGATTCCTCTGCACCGTACTGAGTGCTGAGCTCCAGTCGAATACGCGTGCTAACAACGACAGCCAGGAAACTGAAACTGATTCGACTGAATCCAAGCACCAGACATGCCAACCTCGACGGTAAACGCCCCGGAAGACGAAGCAAGAGCTAATATAAGCATGGATGTGCCGCGGCGCTACCCTCTCAGGCGGTCCAGGGCGCTGTAGCAGATGCGGCGGCAGGACCTGCAGTGAGGATCCACGTTGACGTGTAGAGCATGGCCTGACTCGGAACATCCGCCTCTTCAACCGCGCATAGACGCCAGCGCCAGCTCGCCGACAAACACAGCGGCAGCAACCACGACGCCCCACGGCACCACGTCGGCGGCCAGCCGCCACAGGTGGACGAACCACACACGGTTCAGGTAGGTCGCCAGGCACGCCGCGCCGTCGGCGGCCACGAGGCAGACGTCGGAGACGCGGCGGCGGAAGACGAGGTCGCGCAGGTCGCGGGCGGTGAAGAAGCCGCGGTAGAGGACGAAGGCGGCGAACAGGAACACGACGACCTCGCGCAGGGACACGGACGTCGGGTCCTGCACGATGGCCGACGCGCGGCGCAGGCGCGCGCTGTGGAAGGTCGAGCGGCCCGGCGGGTTGGCGCCGCGCCGCGGGTTGTTGTACTGGTAGGCGCGCCCGTTGGCGCTGCGCGAGTTGGGGTCCGGGAACATGCCGACCGGGCCGCTGCCGCAGCAGGACATGGCGGGTGGTGTGGGAGGGGGTGGGTGAAGGCGGAAGAGGTAGGGTTGGAGGAGGTCGCTGGCGTGTCGTGGGCGCAGCCAAGTGTTGCGGGATGCTAGCAATGGGAGTCGGGACGGGGGACGCCGGTGCGGGTTTAGGGCGAACGGAATGTCAGGGAGTCCAAGATTTGGTGAGTCGAGAGTCTGATGGCGATGACAATGGAGATGGGGATGGCTCGACCAACGTGAATGAGCTGTGCTTCCATGACGCTAGGCAGCAGTCCAGGCGGTCTCACAAGGACATGCTGGCGGATTGAACCCCGCAATTTCCAGCACAGACTAAAGCCCACCTCAGGTGCTATCACTTTCATGTGGTGCAGCCACGAGGCAACGTAACGACAGAAGCTTGTATAAACCAGGTAGTATTTAATCTATAAAACATCAATAATACAGCCTCGCCATCCCCTACGAATACCGCCTCTGCTGTATCCCCTGGGGCGAAAACAAAAACAGCCCAGCCTTGAGCAGCTCGGGCACCTCTTCCTGCCGCCAGCCCGCCCTCGCCCCCGAGACGCTATAAAGCACGCCTTGGGCCTGCCCGTGGTCCAGACACTCCAACGGATCCGCGGCCGCCTGCCACCCCTCGCGCAGCGCCAGCGGCTCGACCTCGGCGCGCCAGTCCATGCACCCGCTCCCGTTGGCGGCGGCGCCCCAGGCCTGGAACCGGGCGCGCACCTCGGCGAGCATGGCGTCGCTGCGGTCCTTTGCGGCGGCCGTGTCGAAGCCGCGGTCGCTGCCGCGCGACCAGATCTCGAGGTCGTTTGCGTACATGCGCCGCAGCAGCTCCGTGGCGGCCTCGACGTCGTCACCGCCGACCGGCTCGGCCACATAGTCGCGCTCGCGCAGCTCCGTCTCGGTCACGGTCGGCGGGTAGTAGTAGTTGCGCAGCCTGCGCCCAAAGGCCTCGTCCGTCATGAACCCGTCCGGCGCGTCCGAGGCTGTCGGGCTGTCGGGGCCCGCCTCGGCGCCGCCGGCCCCCAGCGGCCGCCGCTCTTGCATGTCGTTGCTGCTGTTGTTGTCGCCCGGCAGCTCGGCCTGCGCGCTGAGGCCGAGTGAGCCCGTCCAGTAGCTGTAGATGAGGAAGCCGGCGAAGCAGGCGATGGCGATGGCGGACGTGATGCCGAGTACGACGGCCTCGATGGGGCTGTCACCTGCGAGCTTGCGGCCCGCGTTCTCGATGACGATGGCGTCGGCCGGCACCGAGCCCGGTGGCGCGTCCGCCAGGGTGCCGTTGAGCAACACGAGCTTCGCCGGGAACGGCGACAGGCCCCAGTCGGCCGTGCTGTTGTTCATGAGCTCAAGCCATATTGACCGGTTGCTGGTCGTGTATGGCTGGTCGTGAAACGAGTTCATCGTGTCTTGGTTTCTAGGGCAGTGTGGTTCGGGGCCTGTGCCAAAACGAAAGAGAAAAAAACGAAAAAACAATGCCTCCAACTTTGGACCGCGACGAAGAGCCAAACAGCACAACGTGATAAACAACAGTTGAAAATGGAGGCAGTCAAAGATGCCTTGATTCAAGACGGACGTGCCAGAGCAGCGTGTTGCATGGGCTTCCAAGGTCCAATTCCGGGGTCAAAATTCTGGAATCAACACCAGTCAGGCTCCGGTCCACGGATCGCATCACCCACGAGCCCCACTGGAACACGCCGTGGAGGTAACCCATTGGCAATCCAAAACGCCGATCCTGGCTGAAATAGGCTCTTCCGCTTGGGCGCAGCAAGACAGCGGGCCGGGCAGGGCTTCTATCAGTGGTGTGTGCAATCTGGCAACCCGAGCCTGACGTGTGCCGGTGGCTTGCATTGGCGCCATCACATTGCTCTAGACAGACTGAGGGGGCGGGCGTCCGGCTCTCGAATCCTAGCGGCTCCTCAGCCTCACCTTGGGAGACGTGGTGGTACTCGGAGATACATGACCCATGGCCAGCGAATGGAAAGCTGGGAGAGCTGAAAACCGAAAAAGAACGCCTGTGCCTCCCCCCGAAAAGCTTGGCTCTCGTTTGTTCCCCAGCCCGTCCACTAGCTCCAATGCAAGCCGCGCTAAGCAGAAAAACTATCGACCCACGCCTCCCTCGGGATCTCGAACTTGCAAGCCCCCTCCGACTCCAGCTACTGCGCCCGCCCGCTCAACCGTACAGCACCTTGACGTCCAGCTCGTGGTGGGTGCCCGACGAGAGCCCCGGTATGCCTTGGCCCCTGTCCAGGAGCAGCCTGACGCGTCCGCTGTACTGTGTGAGGCTGATTTCCACCACGAAAGTGACGCGGTCGTACAGGATGCCGCTCTTCTTGTCCGCCACCGTCTCGTACAAGGCCCCGCCGCCGCGATAGCGCGCCGCCGCCTCGTCCAGGTCGTAGTTTATCCCCACCTCACGGCGTGTGACTATAGAAAACAGATAGGGGATCTCAGTTCGTGGTTCGCTCAAGACGCAAGGGTGCTGTGAGGGGGGGGAAACGACTAACCATCCTTTGCCTCGTCGGCCGGCATCGGCGGCCTGCCCGTCCGCCAGACCTGGTCGGACAGCACGACTGTAATGGTGCCGACCTTCCTGTTTGCCCGCAAGAACTTGCGCTGGATCCGGACCGTCTTCTCGGTCGAGTGCGTGGTGGGCACGAGGTCGTTCTTTGCAAACAGCCAGCTGACGTGGTCCCTGGCCCGCTCGACCTCGTCGAACGAGTCCTTGTACAGGCGGTGGTCGGCGCCGGTGCCGCGGTAGTCGTACAGCCCGTAGCGCGTGGCGGCGACGACGCCGACGTGGTAGGGGCAGCGCACGCACTCGGGCGGCACGTCGCAGTCGCGCCCGAGCCCCATGAGCACGGCGCCCTTTGCGACCGCGGTCCAGCTGTCGTCGCCGCGCAGAAGGGTAAAGTTCCGCGACCGCGCGCGGTCCTGGATCTTGCTGTGTAGGTAGCGGCTGCGCGAGAAGCCGCCTGAAAGCACTATGGTGCGGCTGTCGTACCCCTGCGTGTCTAGCTGCACCAGCTGCTTCTCGATCAGGTTGATGGTCCCTTGCACGGACCCGCTGAACATCTTCTCGAGGTCTGCGGCCGAGATCATCAGGTGGCCGTTCTTGATGCCGCGCTCCGGGTCGTTCTGGATCCCGAGGTCCGGCGGCAGCGGCAACGCGTTGTCGAGCTGCTGCCGCTGGGTCCGGCCCGCGAACTCGTGCTTGATGCTCTCGAACTTGTCCAGCATCATGATCTGGCCCCGCCTCAGCACGTAGTGCGTCCCGTAGCCGTGCTGCTCCTCGTCCGCCCGGAGGCCCATCAGGCGCGCGTAGTCGTGCTCGCCCAGCCGCGCGGGGAGGAAGTCGTCCAGGAAGCAGCGGTCGACCTGACTCGCTCCGCATTGCTCGCCTGCGACACGTCAGCGGGGGGGCTCGGTAGGGAATCCAGGAAGCATCCTTACCCTGGGGTTCTGTGACGCGAGCGATGCGCATGTTGGGATGGGCTGATTCTACTAGGTAGGAGACGACATCCTATACGCCGTGGTCAGCATGGGCCCGGCGCTGGGAAGACTCGGCCGCTCGGAAAGGACTCACGACTGTGCCGCCGCCGGCGTCAACGACGATGAAGCACTCTCCCTGTAGTCAACATGTTAGCAAAGTGTACGACCATAATCGCACTCTAACCAGCAGGGCGGCGGACCTCTCTCATCGTCTCCAGCGATCTACTCCTAGCGTCTTGCAGCGTGTACATGGCGCAAGCCTCGGGCTCTGTCGTCATCCTGACGTATCCCGGATTCCTCCGCAGGCCGCCAAAGACACTAGAGAAGGCCGTCGTGACGGCCCTAAAGGTCAGGTTCCTCGCCCGCTGGTCCCAGACGGCCGGGTGCGTGATGACCAAGTCGATCGGGAACTCGTCCAGCGCGGCGGGGTCGCGGTTGTTGGCAATGTCCTTGTGCACCTCCCTGGCCACGTTCTTGAGGTAGGCCGTCATGACGTCGAGCGACGACTTGGTCAGGTGGCGCGGCACCTCGCCCCGCGCGACGTGGTCCTCGGTGAACTCGAGCTCGCCGGCGTGCCGGAGCGTCTTGACCAGCTGCTCGAGGGCCTTGAGGCGCGTCGGCTGCTCCAGGTCCAGCTTGGTTAGGCGCACCACGTACGAGCCCTCGCCGATGCCGTAGCCCCAGTCGCTGCCGTTCTTGGGCGCGTACGTGTACCGCGACGGCACCTTGTCGCCGATGCCCGAGCCCCAGTTCTGGACCGCCTTGATGTCGGCGAGGGTGGGCGGGCCCTCGTCCGGGCCTTTGGTGAGGATCCATGCGACTCCTGTGGCTTCGGGTCAGCACCAAGGTCGGAGGAGGTGAAAGGGCAAACAGTGGCGACAAACCCGTGTAAGTGGTGCCATAATCGACGGCAATGATAAACCGAGGGTCTGTCTCATCGCTTTGGGGCAATGTTGTGGCATTTGTGACGCGAGAGACCTGGTCGGAAAAAGACATGGTGTATGGGGACGTGTTCGGTGTTCTGATAACTCACGAGTGGGTCAATCATGAGCATTCGAGGAGAGAGGAGGAAATTGGGACGTGATTTCATCAAGGCCTGTAATATTTCTGCAGACATGGCGATCCCACGCTTAACTTGACGGGCCATCATGGGAGGGGTGACGGTAGTAAAATGAGGGGTGGCAGCCCTCTGCTGCTGGACCTCGTCGAGCTGAGTGGCTGTGTGACCAGTCGCAGAGATCGGGTGCTGAGGGCGGTGTTGGGCGGGGGCTAGACCTAACCAGCAGTGGCCCAACGCACGCATTGTGCTAAAGCATTAGCGTTCTGCTGCGCCAGTTGGCTCCCGCTGCAGGCCAGGCTGCACTCGCAGGATTTGATCCCATGCTCACGGTGGCAACCTAGAAGCCAAGGGTTCCAAATTGGCAGCCGCATCACTGCAGCTTGACGTCCCCATCTCCAGGTTGAGAACAGAGCGGATTCTTTTCGATATTGAGCTACATCACGACCAACATTCTCCCAACTTCACGTCTGGCACCTTTATCCATCACATTCGCCCATATCAAGTATCCAGGCCCAAACGGATCAGAAATCCAGCTGCAACAATGAAGGCCTTTCTGCAGGGAAGGTCGAGCCAGCGCAAAGGCAGCGATAGCGCGGGCCGGATCGAGACACAAGACATGAAGCCGCCAAAACACCAAGAATCTCATATGAAGACTGTGCCTGTCTCTAGCTCGGGATCGTCGAAAAAGGCGCTCAACAAGTTGTTCCAGAGGTCTTCAAGCAGCGGCGCCCCGGCAACACCATCTGTGGATGCCGGCTTGACTGCTCCGTCGGGGTCCTTCGTTGCGCCGTCGGCGCAGCCGCAGCCGCAATACTGGCCTGCGCAGGGACAAGAGCAGCAGCAGCAACAACTACAACTACAGCAGCAGCAGCAGCAGCAGCAGCAGCAGCAGTATGCGCCGGCCACTACGGCGTTCTACCCAAGGCCAGTCGATCAGGACCAGCATCTCGGTAGCCAGAGCGTTGTTCCTCTGTTTGCGGACTCGGCCTCTATCCAGCGGGGCATGGAGCTACATGGGGAGTCTGCCATGATTCATCCGGCGCCACTGCCCTCCCAGACCACGCAATATAATGCTCCCCAAGGCCAGATGCCTCAGCTTCCCCCTGTCACGGCGGCGGGCCCTCTTGAGCTGCCCGTCCAGCATCGCGCCACGCCAATGACGGCGCCCTATCTCGGCACACCTCTGACTCTCGATCCCCGCCAGAGCTGGAAGCCCAGCGACAGGTCACCCATGACTGTGGCTCCACCGGCACCGGCCGAACTGCAAGTTGTCCCTGTTTCCGTGACCGTCTCAAACGTGTCTGGCAGGCCGGCTACTTCGACAGAGCAGATGCCTCACCGGGAAAGGACACTGCCGGTGGCCTCGGAAAGCACCTTGAAGCTGGTGCCCAACATAGCCCCGCTGAAGACCAACAAGCGACGGTCTGTGCCACCCCGGGCGAGCTCGGACGGCAAGGTCATGGGCATGAATAGCTTCAAGAACACCGAGGGAGAGCCGCTATCTCGGGCCACCACGAGCGGGAGTGACGGGGCAGTCGTGGGCGCACCGGCCGCAAGTCACTTCCGAAACGTGGGCCCGGGAGGGAACGAGGCGGAAATGGCATCCCGAGTCGAGGCCGGTGGCTCCCAGGAGCCTCATGTCGAGAGCCGGCTGCCTGCCCAGAGCGCCACTACGAGACCGCCACAGGAGCTGGCGGCAACCACCGAGAGCGGAGGAGCCCCAGGCGGGGTGGCATCGAGGCCATCGACGGCAGGCGGCACGACCGCGAGCGAATCCGAGTCTGCACTGGAGAAATATCATCAGCCACAGATGCCAGTGGCTGGTGCTGGTGCCGACAACAATTTTCCCCAGCCACATATTGCCAGCAGCCAGCAGATGCAAAGTCCCTACTATCTGCCAGATGGAGATGCACTGTTGGGACGAGCGGCAGATGCTGCCTCTGCTGGTGCCGCCAGGACGGGCCCTGCAGACAGCCATGGGAACGCGCCGGCTGGCTACAAGGCCTTCAAACCACCCACAACGTCGGAACGCCCCAGCCGCGACGTCCGGATCCAGCAGATGATCCTACAGCACAGGCCCGAATTCGTTACTGGCGGTGATGGGGCCGTGGACTGGGTCGAGACTCTGGTGGCCTTTGTGCCAACGTTGCTGGAAAAAGCAAGAGGACAGAGCACGCAAGGTCCGGGAGCAGAAGCGTACAACGCTGTCGGGAGCCGGAGCGCAAGCAGTGGACGAGGGGGCGTCCAGGGCGGCCGGGCAGAGAGACAGCTGCGGGACGAGCTGGCCGCCCTACAAAAAACGGTGGCGTCACTGGAGCAGGAAAAGGGAAGATTACAAGATGATCTTCGCTACTTCAAAGCCAAGGCCACCAAGCGGGGCGAGGCCATCCGAGAGCGGGACGACGTCATCCGGGACCGCGAAGACGAGATAGCCGAGCTGAAGAAGTTCATGGGCAGCAAGGTCTCGGATCTGAAGCGCGACTGCGACGACGCCGCCGCGAGGCTGTCGCGCGCCGATGCGGACAGGGCCGCGCTGCAGTCGAGCCTCGCCCATGCGAGACACGAGACCGAGTCCCAGAAGGCGCAGTACGCCGGTCTGGCAGAGAGCCTCGGGAGGGAAGTGAACAAGTACAAAGGCATGAGCGAGCAGTGGGCGCAGGCGCTGAACGACGAGAGGGCAGATTTCCAGACCAGGCTCACGACCCTGGAGAGGACGCAGCAGGAAAACCTCGCCAAGCAGAAGGCGTCGTACGACACGGCGGTGCAGCAGCTCAACCACAAGTTCGTCGAGGAGCTCAAGAGGGTGCAGATGGACCACGCGGCGTCGGTGGAGCGGCTCAACAGCATCATCGCGAACATCGGGTCAAAGCACCAGGCCGAGGTGGAGGAGTCCAGGAACAAGCACGCGTCGGAAATGCAGGACCTCAAGGCGCAAAGCACAAAGGCCGTGGCGGACCTCAAGTCCAAGTTCGAAAAGGAGACGCGCGGGCTGCGCAACCGCATGGCGGCCTACAGCACGGGCACGTACACGGCCATCCCGGACAGCGACCTGGTCGTGTCGCTGCGGCGGCTCGTGCAGGACATCAGCAACCTCAGCCTCTACGTGCCGCAGCCCGCCGGCTACGTGCCCAGCCCCGAGGCGGACCCGGGCAACCACGTGGCGCGGTCGCTGGCCCGCGGCACCGGCGCCGCCACGTGGCCGCGCTTCGTCCAGAGCGTCTGCTGGACCGTGGTGCTGCGCGGCTTTTTCAGTCTGCCGCTGGGCTTTGGCGCGCTGGGCTGCCAGGGGCTTGGATACGAGATCATGGCGCCGCTGTTTGAGATGTTTATCGGGAAGGACATGAGAGGTAGGCTATTTTGTTTTTGATTGCCCGCTCCCTGGTTCCAGATCCATTGCTAACGGATATACCACCACCCTGATTCCCCAGCCCACGAAGACCTGCCCGACATCTTCCCCGAAGACAAGGAAACGAACGTGGCCCGGGCCTGGCTCATGGCTGGCATCCTCCGCGACGTCGCTAAGCGCGACGCCAGCCATCCCGAGAACGGGCCCGTGCTGGCGAGCATCTTCGAGGACAACGCGCGGCTGGTGTCGCGCGAGCTGACGGCGCAGCTGCAGCACGTCAGCAACGGCGGGCTCGACCCGGGAGCCGAGGCCCAGGTGGGCGGCGTGGTGCGCGCCGTCGGCGTCTTCGCGCTCGAGATGGGCTCGCAGCGCGCCCAGGTGGCGCTGGAGAAGTGCGACTACGGCGAGGTCGTCGCCCTGGGCGAGCGTTTCGGCGACGCCAAGGGCGGCGGCGGCGGCGGTGACGGCTGCGGCGACTGGGAGCGCGTCCAGGTGGACTTGCTCACGCAGCCGTGCCTGATCAGGAAGGGGGACGGGCGCGAGGATGTGTCGACGCTCAAGGTCATTGTCAAGGGCGACATCATATCCCTGTAGTGTAGCATACATGCGTGCTTGGTATCCGGGGTACATGGTGGTGCCCGGGTGGGTTTCTGGTCTGGCCATCTCCAATGGGAGGCACTTTAGGGAGGGTGTACGCCGGAACCATCTGCAACTTTTAGCGTTCAAAAAGGAAACGGCCAGTTAATTAAAGCACCTTCATGAACACCTTCATGAACCTTCCCTTTGCAATTTCTGGTGTGCTGCTGTTTGGCAGACCTTGAGGCGAGCTGGAAGCATGTGAGTGAAGCCGCAAGGTCTCGGCCGCCCTGAATCTTTCCAACCCGTAATTTGGTCCGACGACTGTTCTCATGGTAGTAGCCTCCCAAGCGCGGCGCGAACCGCCATCTCCGCCCCTCCTCCTTGCCAGCACGGCCCTCTGCCCTCCTGCGAAACGAACCCGAGCAGAAGATGATACGTTCCTTGCCGCATCGAGGGCTTTGCAGACGCCACATCGCTAGCGCGTCGGTCTAGACAAATCTGCCCCGTTTGATTGAACGGCACGCACGCTGCTGTCCTGGCACCCTGGGCCGCCTGCGTGGAAAAAGGCCCTGGCGTTTTAGCGCTATTGAGCGAGGATCTTCCTCCTGCGATTGGTGGCCTGGCCACTCCCCTCCCCCTCCACGACGTGTGCGTGGGCAGGCTATGCCGTATTCGGCTCAGAAGCTGAAAAGTGCCCAACATGGGGGGATTTGAGGCTTTTCCCGAGGTACTTGGAGTGACTTGAGGAAAATGAAAAATGGCCTTGGATGATGGGTGGGGTCTCTTGCTGCGGCTGTGACTGCTGGCTGCGGCGGGCTCGAGGGAAAGCCTAGGACGGAGCCCTGGGATGAGGGCGCGGCGGCTGGCTGTCAATAGAATGAGGTCATTGATGGCTGAGCAAAGCCTCTGGGCTAGAGGAGACGTCAACAGAAACAGAATTGAGGCCGCTTAGTCCTGCTACCGGGGGATCACCAACGGCCCGTTGTGGCAGGGACCCATCACTTTCGCCCTCCCGCCCTGCCCAAGTCAAGCCCTCCTCTTGTCTTCCCTCCCGCGAACCCGGCCCGAGACAGCCAAACCCCAAGTCGCCAACAGACACCGCGCCCGCCATGGCCGACCAAGTGCGGACGCTCTGGAGCCTCCCGGCCGCGCCGCTCGTGCAGGGCAACCTGGTCGGGGCCATCTTTGTCACCATCTGGCTCGTCGTGACGCTCGCCTTTGCCTTCTTCCTGCGCACGCTGCTGCACCGGCCGAAGCACACGTGGCCCGAGTTCAAAGAGACGTTTTACAGCGTCGTGGTGCTTGCCTTGTGAGTTTCAGTTCTCCTCCTCCCTCCGCCTCTCCCACCATCCTCGAAGGAGTTTCGCTGCTGACGAGAGAAAACCACGCGGCCCAAAAACAGCTGGTACTTCACCGTCGTCCTCGACCGCTGGATGCGCCGGGACTCCAAGCCCGTCGCGTACGGCTACATCGTCTGGCTGGCCGTGTGCGAGTTCGTGCGCGTGGCCGCGGGTATCTACCTGCAGTGGGGGCTGTACAAGGTCGTGTGGCGGGAGCTGGTCGCGCGCGGGCGCGTCCGGAAGGGGCGCCTGCGGTGGTGGTGGCTGGCGGCCAAGTTCGCCATCGCCCTCGTCTTCCTACTCGCCGTTTTTTACCTGGTGCTGCAGCTCACCACGGCCGTGGTCTGGCTGCAGTTCACCAGCCTCAACACCATCCAGGACATCGCGACGAGGAGGAACCAGTTCGCCGTCGTGACGGCCGTGTTTGGGGTCGTGTTTGCCGCGCTGACGGCGTTTGCGGCGGCCAACGCCATGTGGATGAGCCGCCTGACTGATGGCGGTGTTAGGAGGGTAGGTGCCTCGCCGACGATGGTCTTGACAAAAGCCAAGAGAGGCACTGCTGACATGTCGTGTGCCCTGATAGACTAGAATTGCTCTCTTCCTGGCCACCGTCGTCCTCCTCGCCCGAGCCCTATCGGAAGTCGGCACCACAGCCCAGGCCATATCCCCACCAGCCAACCTCCAGTCCATAACCCTAGCTCGCGACATCGCGTACGGCGTCCTCACAACCCTCTACTTCATCCTCATCGGCATCCACGCGGCCGGGGTGTCCCGCCCCGCCGACGGCGGCAACGAGGGCACGCGCGCCATCCACTCCAACATGCGCAAGCACATCCTCGCCGTCCTGCACGAGCGCACCGGGGGCGCGCGCGAGCGCTCCCCGGAGCTCAACGACATCCTCCACGAAATCGAGGACCACCTCGACACGCTCCTCCCGGCCCTGGCTGCTCCCCCCGGCGGCGGCGGCGGCGGCGGCAGCAGCTACGGCTCCAACGCAAACATGTCGGCGGCCGACAACCGCCGCGCCGCGCTCGACTGCCTGCGCGACCTGCGCACGCGCGTGCTGCCGGGCCTGCAGCCCCGCGACTGGCGCGAGGAGGAGCGCGCGCGCGACGAGTCGCTGCTCGGCCGCGTCGCCCGCAGCGCCGTCTCGGGCATGCGCAGGGTGTCGGACCAGTCGCTGCTGACGACGCGGAGCTCGAGGGGGCCGACGCCCGCGCACAGCGAGGCGGGGTTGCTGGCGGGCATGTCGACGTCGTCGAGGGGCAGCCTTAATCCGAATATGGGCGGCGGCGGCGGCGGTTCAAGGACGCAGCGCCAGCAGCAGATGCGGCAGACGTCAAACCAGTCCCTGATGTCGGGCCGCAGCAGCGTCCGGAACCTGTCGCCGACGGGGCCAACGACGATGCAGCAGTTCGATATCGACCCCATCCCCGAGCACGAGCGCGGCGGCGGCGATGCGGCGAGCGTGGCGCCGTCGCTGCGGACGGCGCCGTCCATCTTCCCGCCCGCGTCCTTCCAGCAGCAGGCCCGGTCGCCGCAGCCGCAACCGCAGCCCTCCTTCCAGGCCCGCCAGCAGCAGCAGCAGCAGCAGCACAACATGCCAGGCGCGTTCCCGTCCTTTGAATCCCTTCGTCGGCAGCAGCAGCAGCAGCCGCCGCCGCCGCAGCAGCCGCCCTCGGTTCGCTCGTCGGTGCAGTTCCCGCCCACGCCCGCGCCCGCGTCCATCATGACGCCGTCCCCGCCGCCGCAGGCCACGTACGCCTACCCGCCCGTCGGCATGACGCCGCCGCCGCAGAGTATGTATGGTGGTGGCGGCGGCGGGCGCTACGGCGGGCGGGGGTCGGCAACGCAGCAGCAGCAGCAGCATGAAGGCAGGCGGCCCGCAGCGCCGGTGTTCACCGTCCCGCCGGACCCGGTGGCGGCGGCGGCGGGTCCCGCCGCGGGACCGTCGATGCCGGGGCCGCTCGTCGACCAGGCCACGCGCGGGGAGCGGCACGCGAGTCGCTTGCGGTCGAACCGCGCGGCCGAGAACAGGTACGCGCGCCCGCTGCCGTCGCAGACGCGGTCGCCGCTGGGGGAGGAGGTTGAGATGATGGATGTTCGTCGTCCGGATAATTGAGCGTTGGTTTCCTTGGGGCGTAATGAGCGTTCCTCTTGTAATTGCATGGGAATCCTTCCCGCTTTAGCATATGGATAATCTGAAAATGTGTACTATCTTGAAGTTACTGGGCTGGGATTTTCGGTGGGAGTTTCTTGATTAGCGCAACATCAGCTCCAGTACTGGTCCATAAACGAACTGTATCGCAGGCTGGCTATGTACTGAAATCACTAGATGCATGGGAACCCTCTGGAAAGCAAAATGAACATGACGCTTGACAAACAAGATAATCATAACGCTCGTTTTATTGTAAACCCGCTTTGATAAAATGCATTCTTTACCGTACATAAACCCAACACAATAGGAAACAAGCATCGTCAAGGAGTCGACCTTACGCTGACAAACGACGTCCTCCCCGTCCTCCCCGACGCGAGCGTGTTCATGCTCCTGCTCCTGTGCAGCGCCGTCTTCTTGGCCGACAGCCTCTCCATCGCCTCTCTAGTAAACCCCACCACGCCGCCGCCGGCGCCGTCATCCAAAAACCGATCACCCAGCAGGCGCGGCAGCGCATCTAGCCAGCGGTTCCACGTGTCGAGCAGCAGGCCCTTGTAGTTTCTGTCCAACAGGCCGGCGGGGAGCTGCCGCATGGCGTGCAGCAGCAGGTCGCGCCAGCACTCGTGCAGCAGCACGCCGCCGCCGCCTTCCCGCTGCTGCTGCGGCGCCAGGTAGTTGGCCAGGTTGACGCACACCTGGTCCGTCAGGCCCGTGCCTAGCATGTCGACGAGCTTGCGGACCACGAGGTCGTGCTCGGTCCGGGCCTGCCGCGTGCACGCCGCCGTGAGCGACGCCGGCACGCCCGGGATGGCGCGGATCAGGGCCCGGAGCCGGTCGCGGTCGCCCGTCAGGGGCTCCGACATGATGACGTCCTCAGCGGGTGGAGGCGGTGGCGGTGGTGGCGACGGTGGAGGGCGAAGTGCGACGGGTGGTGGTGGGCGGCGGGAAGGTTGTGATGGGGGTGGGGGTGGCGGTCGTCTCCCTCCCGCGGCTGGACTGGGGCGGAAGGGCAGCGTCATGGGCGGCAGCACCGGTCTAGGCAAGGCCGAAGGCGGCAGGACGAAGAACGGCACCTCGTTGAACGCCAGCAGGCCGATGGTAGTCTGCGGCGGCGAGGCCATCTGTGGCGGCGACGAGATGCCCGACGACATGGAGGACACGTCCGGCATGGACGCAGAAGCCGCAGGCGGGCCGCCGCCGCCGCCGCCGAGCCTCGACGCGCCCAGGCGGTAGGCGAGGTCGTGAACGCGCTGGCGGCGCGCGCCCGAGTCGCTGCAGTGCTCGAGCTGTCTGAAATCGGCCTTGACCTGCTCGCGCGTCGCGGGCATTCTCCGCAGCGCGTCGACGAACTCGCCGGTCCAGTCCTCCCGCAGCCAGGCCGCACACAGCATGGCGCGCCCCAGCGCCTGCACCGCCAGGCCGGCGGCCTCGGCGGGGCCGGCGTCGTCGTCGCGGCCGGGCACGCTGCGCCCGCCGTACGTGTTGTCCTGCAGCAGCAGGTCGCAGAACTCCCGCTGCGCCGCCTTGAGCACCTCGGGAGCCCGGAAGCGCAGGCGCAGCTTGGCGCCGTAGTATTCCTGCAGCCGCAGCCGCGTGCCGATGATGGGCAGCGCGGCGGCGAGCGAGGTGGCGGCGGCGGCGACGGGCGTATCTGCTGGATTTTGCGTGGCCTTGAGGTGGTTGAGGAGGACGCGGCATGACAGGTCGTCCCGAAGCTCGAGCGCCGAGGTGAAGCGGTGCTCGACGTCCATGGACTCTGGCCTGAAGAGGTCGGCAAACAGGTAGATGAACAGGTTGACGGCCTCGGGCCCGACGTTTATCGCGTCGTCGAGGTAGTGCAGCATGCGTTCTTCCACCGACATGCCGCTCATCGGGTCCACGGGAGGGGTCAGCGGAGTCGACGCCCAGCTGTTGCTCGCCTCCTGCGGGCTCCAAGGGTAAGAAGGCTCCAAGGACGTGCTGCTACTGGGCACGACGGGCACGACGGGCACGACGGGCGACGACCCGTCCAGCTCGCAGCAGCCCTCGGCGGGGCTCGACTTGGATGCCTGCAGCAGCGTCCTCCGCTGCGAGCCCGTGGTGTCGGGCCCCTCGAGTAGGAACAGCGGCTCGAGCAGGCGCAGGTGCGGCGCCGCGGCCGGCCTGCCCCAGCGCTTCAGCCGCTCCTTGTCGGGCTCCCACGCGGCCCACATGGCGTATTTCGGCAGCACCTTCTCGAGGATGGCGCGGGCGCGGGGCAGGTGGGCGACGCCGCCGACGCCCTTGACCAGCTCGCGCACGTGGCGCCACCTATAAGCCCTGGACAGCTGCCCGAGCTTTTCCTGAAGCATGTTCCCGAGCCGGAACCGCTGTAGGGCAAAGGCGATGGTGTCGTCGGGCAGGTGCTCCAGCTGCGACACGTTGCGTCTGCCGCCGCGCGTCATGCCCCAGAGCAGGCGCCATATCAGCGGGAAGCCATCGGCGCTGTCGGGTCTGCTGCCGGACGTGGAGGCGTCCATGACGGCGAGCAGCTGCTCGACGACGACGCCCTCGTGCGACTCGGTCTCGCTGAAGCGCGCAAAGACGTCGGGCCGCTGGTCGAGCGCGACCTCGAGGCAGTGCAGATACAGCCGGAACCGGAGGCGGAAGAAGGTGAGGGCGGTCGGGTCGCGGTCGGCGGCGATGTCGTGCAGAGCCTCGAGCTGGGCGCGCAGCTGCACGCCCGTCAGGACGTGCAGACAGGCCAGCAGGGCGGCCTCGCTCACGTACAGCTCGCCCTCGAGGCCGGCCATGTGGCCGGCCAGGAGGGCGTCGCACTCGGCCGAGCGGCAGGCCACGGGCTGGCGCTCGCGCCAGGGAAAGGAGCCGGGGCCGGCGGCGAGGAGGTAGTCGTTGGTGATGGCCTGCAGGGCCGGCAGGTCGAGGCGATCGAAGCGGCCCTGGCTGATGTGGTTGATTGCGCCGGACTCGCGGATCTGCTGCAGCCAGTTCGGTCTTGGCATGGTCCCTGCTTGGCGGGTTTAGTTTTGTTTTTTTTCTTGCTCGGATCAGCACAAGTGCTTCCCTGTCCTGCGATGGGTGGCGGTTGTGGGTATATTTGGAGGTGTAGTTGGGAAGGGGGGAGGGGGAATGGGGTGCCGCCCAGCTCAGCTCTCTGGGGCTGACTGGTTGGTTGCCTCAGCTGCGCCCGTCCTGCCTGCCCTGGACTTTCTGCTCTGCCCCGACGCTAGGAACGCAACTGTCGGGCTGTGACGTTTGGTCGCCTAATAGCGCCATTTCCAACTTGTGGTCGTCATTTGCTAGAACTGTCTGGTGGCTTCTGGCTACCGAAGCATGGCTTTCCTCCTGTCGGCTGCGCACGCAAACTTGGAGGCTCAACGCGCCCCCGTCACGCATTGTCTCTGACGTGCCCACTCCCCTAAGCTCTTGGTGCAAAGGGCCAGGCGACCTAATCGAGGCCATTTTTGGTCGTCAATTTGCGTAAACAAGAACTGAACACCAGATACCATTTTGCCCCGTCTGCAGAAGCGGTTCCAATATCACGCCCGACCATATGTCCCCATCGCCTTGACCCCTTGGCGGCCGTCGGGCCACAATACTTCTGGAGCTGCACCATCTGACTCTTACGTGAAAGAAACGAGGCCCCTTGTATGACATCACGGCTCCGAGTACCTGGCCATGGCAGGCATCTTGGACTTGGTAGTTAGCGCCGGCCATTTTCGGTAGGGTATTACACTGCCCTCCGCTTGTGTGGCTGGGACGCCGCGAGAATTGAAGTAACGATATGGCCATATGATGGCGTACCTCATCCCAAGATAGCCTCTGCGTCCCGGTAGTATCCTCCAGGGAATTAGTCCGAAAAGTTGTATCGGTGGGAGCATGCTGATATTCGCATAAGCTAAAGAAACTGCGTCGTTCAAAGATGGACGCGTCAACACATCCGAGACATGTTCCAACAAGTGGAGAAGGCGCAAGCAGCAACCAGATCTTTGCATCTTGCCCACCCTACTACTTGGCCAGAAAATACCTGCCTTTTCACCCCGTGTTACAGGTCTAGCACCTGCGCCAGCCCATTCGTACCACGCCTTGCCGATTGTCAGCCTCGACATCCTTCCTCTAGATAAGGCTGCAGTAAATACAAGAGTTCGGGGGCTAGCGGTCGCCTGGCTGCCCTCGTCTGTCGGAATATCCTTAGGTACTCGACCTGCCGATCTTCCTGCTCAGCCAGCAACCGCCAGATGTTGTCGCCAATGGTGTCGCCAGGGATGCATCGGGGCACACTGGATGGGTATATTGAGCTCCCAGCCTTACCGGGAGTCATCTCCTTTGACAAACCAATAGCGCTTAGAAAGGTACCCTTCGAGTAAGACGGCGGATAGCCAAGGAGCTAAGTTATCTCTTCATACATGTGGCTGGCCACAAGGCCGGTCCAGATCATGCTGTGTCGCAAGGATACAGTGCACCTATTCCCACCCTCGCGGCTATTCCGGTAAGGCATCCAATCGCCCCGACGCACTTTGGCATGGCTCGCACCCGGGCTTCCGATTTGTTCAACCAGCCGCAGAGCCAGAGTCGAGCGCGCAGGTAGCAGCAGAAAGGTGGCGCTCTTGGCCATCCGGTCGCCCCGGGAGGAACCAGCCCCGAGGCAGCTGATGCCTTGTCCAACCTCAAGTATGTCCTAATTTCATTGCCAGTGACCGGGGGCGGCGTAGATGGGCAATGTGATTATACATATAACAACCAGTGCACCGCTATCTTCTTTATCCTACCAAAGCTCTACTCGTGCCACCGCAAGGCCTCCGCGTCGGTTCTCAACCATCCTTCATCTCTCCACACTTTTGCACTCTCGACTTACCCGGATCTACCTACAGCGATGGCTTCGTCGTCAGGAGGCGCACGGGCAATGTGGCTGCTATGTTTTCTTCTCGTGGCATCGCTATTTCGGGTCTCCTTGTGTCAGTCTGGCTATACCTGGCGCCACGGATCTTCTGGTACGTGCAAGCGCTCTGCTCGCCTGACAGCTATTGATTCACTCGAGATAAAACCAGGGTTAACTAAGTGTATGTTGAAAACATAGTTGCCGTGTTGAACAACACCCTCTTCATGATGGGCGGCCAAACAAGCAACGAGGAAGGGGACTGGGTGCCAGGTGAGTTCCCGATGTATTGCCTTCCCATACGTCGTGGAGTTGGTCCCTAGCCGCTAAATCAATGCTGACCAAGCCGCCGTGCTCTGACATATCCAGATACACGTGTTTGGGCTATCTCACTTGATAAATCCTGGACGACCGGCGATGCGTTCATGCGGTCAACAGGAAAGCAAGGGGCTGCCGTCGAATACATGTCATTGTGGCCGAGCCCTCGTGGAGACAGTATTTACACCTGGGGCGGGAGAGATCTTTTAGCCTCGGAGCGCAGGGCAAAAGACCCTGGGCTGAGAATCTTCAAACCACGCACAGTTGATGACAGCAATGGGGAAGGGAGTTGGCCAGAGAAAGGCCAAGCACCCAAAGATCTGACCAAGTCTCCTCCTCAACGAATCTATCGCGGCAGACTGGGAAGTTGGACAAGCTGCAACGGGCTCGGGTTCTACATGGGCGGGCAGCTCGACGACTCTACAGATTCCACTTGGCCTTACAAACAGCTGGACAACACCACCATAGCTCCTCTTACTGGCCTCGCGATATACGATATGGAGAAGCAAACATGGACCAACCGATCCGCAGAGGGGTTCGGTGCCAAAGGCCGTGGAGGTGTTCACATGGCGGGAACGGCAGTATGCCTCCCCAAGCTCGGGACAGATGGAAAGGGCGTCCTGCTGTTCCTGGCAGGAAATCAACGCGTCCAGAACAAAGCCCTCGAACTGGAGGACGTCTTTCTTTACGATATCGGGTCCGGGAAATTTCACCGGCAACGCGCCACCAAGGACAAGGACATTGAAGGCTCCAAGCGCCTGAGGCCGCGCAACCATGCTTGCGCGGTTGCCGCCAAAAGCGACAAGAGCAAGAACTACGAGGTCATTCTTTTCGGCGGAAACGATGAGAACGCGGCGGAAACCTACGTCTTGATGGTTCCTGGCTTCCACTGGATTCGCGCAGTCCGCGACAGCCCAGAGTCCATGCGGGGGTCCCGAATGGGCCACGAATGCGCCGTGGCCGGCTCAGGGAAGCGTCAAATGATTGCGGTGGGTGGCACGAAGGACGAGCCGCCTGAGAAATTCATGCCAACTCAAGATCCTTGGGGCCCGAACGGGGTGCAGATTTTGGACATGACCGAGTTGACGTGGAGTGGCAGTTACAAACACGATGCCCCAGCCTATGAGCCTGCCAACGAGGTGAAAGCTTGGTACTCCAACTCTTCGTAAGGCCCCTCCTTTTCTCTCGCTCCTTTTTTACCTCGAATACTACAGGGGTTGGGATCCTCGAAGGGCTTCGATGGACTGACAATCAGTGAAACAGAAATCTCAAATCCGTAAGCTGGAATACCCAGGACATCAGGGCCTTGTTTGCGGACGCCATCGACAATCCCAACCCCCCGAACGGCGAGCCTGGCCCGGTTCCAGGTCCTCCAATCTCGATAATAGTGGGAGCCGCAGTCGGAGGCGCCGCGGGTCTCGCACTGGTTGTCTGTGTCGTGTACTTCTGCTACTCCAGACCACGGCGGCGGGCAGCGCACAAGAACCCAGCGGAGCTGCCGTTCGAGCCGCATCAACAGCCCACGGTCGTGGCCGAGGTCGGCCCCAACGGCCACAACAAGGCCCGCGGGGGGATGGAAGGCTATCGCAGCGTGGGCGGTTATGACAGGTTGTCGCCCGACAGGTCCGGGGTGTCGTCGCCCCTGGGGTCTTTTGCCCAGGACGGGCAGCAGGTCCAAAGACCCGCGCCGGAGTTGCATCAGCACGGCTTCCGGCCGCCCCAGGAGTTGGCGGGTGACAGTTTCGATATATCGGCTGCGGGTAACACACGCTGAATAATAGGAGGATCGGGACTGAGATTGATAGAGAAGTATATGAATAGGTTGATCTTGGAATAAATAGTAGCATGGAAGTGTCGTACTACTACACATTTCCCGCGCATGCTTTCTCGTCGCCCGTAAACCTGCAAAGAACCTCAGTGCGCCATGTTCCACCTGTGAATTCCACGACTTCCCCGCTGGCGAAGGCGTCATGGCATAGATGCCCAAGCGTGTGCTGCGTGGGTAGGTACTCGGATTCGGGAAAAAACGGTGCGGTGGCCAATACATTTCATCTTCTAGGCTTGGCCTGGTCGGATGGCCAACGAGCGTAGTTTGTTCACGGCATAAACACCACCACCTGTGGCGGTGTGTATCGCTTGCCAATACCTGGCGCCGTTGATGCGAATACCGCCGTGTTGCACGGATGCGGTAACGGATCCTCTGCCGAATGTACCGAAAACGTTGCTGGTCGCAACACATGCTTTGTATGCCGAAAAGTCCACGCCGGTTTATTGCTTCGACTGGGCGGCCGCTGGGCTGCCGGCCTTGCGGGTTTTATAGTTGGAAGGCGCAAAGACGGTGATGTTGGCTTGGTTGTGGATCTCCACAAGGAACCCTCAGCTTTGGAGCAGAGCCAGAAGCCTGTCGGCGCCTCTGTTTTTAAAGCTAGGAAACGCGGCGAGGATGGGAAAGTGGCTGCAGAAATAGGCTCTTTGAGGCGTGGTGTGGCATTGCCCGCCCCCAAAATGCCAAGAACACAGCCTACTTTTGGAGATTCCTGCCTCTGCGGGCTCTAAGGGGTTAAGACATTTGCTTAGCGACGTAGTCTTACCGATCCGCGCTCGCTGTTCCGAAGCAAGGCTGTGGCAGGATCCCAAGGGATCGACGGTTACGCAAACATAAGCTTGGGCGCTCTCCGAAGGCGAGGGAGGATCGTCTACAGCTGCATACCCAATGGTAGGGCAGCCGCCACCGCCAGAATGGGGCTCCTAATCGTGATAGGCAATCCACCCAGGCTCCCTCATGCGGGCTGACCGCAGCAGGCCACCCGCCTGTCCAACCATGCCAGCTCCTCGACTCGGCTGCCGGCGCCCGGTGTGGTTTTACAACCATGTCTCGGCTCAAAAGCTCCATGCCGCGCTTCCCTTTCCACGCCCCACGATGCACTGGCCTGGGCACCTCGCTGATATATCAGGCCTTGTGCACGCTTTCCTTTTCTCCGTTTCACCTAGCACCAGTCCCCACGGTCGCCCGCAGAAACACCCACCGCTCTTTAACCATAGTCCGTCTTTTCGTGGCGCTACCAGCGAGGACGATGTCTCTCGAGTCGGAAGCTGCACCCTCCCGCCTAGTCTTCTTTCTAATAATCGCAGCGTCCTTTTTCCAAGCTTGCCTCTGCCAATCTGGCAGTGGCGTTATCAACACCTGGCGGGTTTGGCCTTCAGGTCTGTGTCCTGACGTTTGCTTTTTACGCGACCCTGGTACCCTACTTGCTGCCGATCTAACTGTTGCAATGGTAATTAGTCGTCGTTCTGGACCAATGGCTTTACATCCTAGGTGGCCGCACCAGCGAAGCGTTCCGGGGCAAGGATAATCCTTGGACAGATGGTGAGTTTTTTCTCTGAAGGCCCTCCCCTCGGGATCTTGATATGCATATGTGTGTTTATCACTCTGCTTGTTCCGTATGTGTCGTACCCTAACCCGCAAGATATTTCTCACTCGTAGAACCCAGGACCATGGTGCTGCGGCTGAACAGTGACTGGAACGCCGGAAATGTTCAGATCAGCGCACAAACGAACCCCGGCTTCAATGGGAGCACAACATTGGCCATGTGGCCTAGCAAGGATAAGAAAAAGATCTTCACTTGGGGAGGCGTTGGATCCGGGGATTCTGTGCGCCTACGAACCTTCACACCCGACTCGTCAGGCAACGCCGGAGGCACATGGTCCGCCGAATCCACGCAGCCCAGGGACTCGGCCACGCAGCAGCCCATCTACAGAACCGGGTATGGGTCCTGGACCAGCTGCAACGGGCTCGGCTTTTACATGGGCGGCACGGTCTCCTCGCTCACAGACACCACGTATCCCGGCCCAAGCAAGAGTCCCCAGGACCTGCCCGGCCTGATCATATACGACATGAACGACGGGAAGTGGGCCAACGTCTCGGCCAAGGGATTCGGCAGCGGCAGGGCCGAAGGGACGCACGTCGACGGAAGCGCCGTGTGCCTCCCCGACCTGGGCACGGGAGGCAAGGGCGTGGTGATGTTCCTGGGAGGGCGCCACGGGAGCGACAAGTCCGAGACGCGGGAGCGGCTCAGCCTGGACGAGGTGATGTTCTACGACATCGGCACCAAGAGGTTCTACTCGCAAAAAACGACGGGCAAGCGCTTCCCCGCGCAGACGCCCGACTACCCCTGCTCCGTCGTCGCCAAGAGCAAGACCAGCAAGGCCTACGACATCTTCATGTTTGGCGGCACGGGCCAGACGCCGGCCCAGACCATGATACTGACGGTGCCCGGGTTCCACTGGTCGCAGATCCAGACCAACGACGCGCCAGCCCCGAACGGCAGGAGGCGGCACGCCTGCGCCGTCATAGGGGCAGGGGGCCGGCAGATGATCGCGTTTGGGGGCTCCGACGACGCGGACGACGGCAAGCTCATTGGGAACCAGGACCCGTGGGGCAAGGGCCTGCAGGTCCTGGACATGACGGAGCTGAGGTGGAGCAGCGATTACAAGTCCGCTGCTCCCGACTACGAGCAGCCGACCATGGTCAAAGAGTGGTATTCGAATGCCTCGTAAGTTTCCGTTTGGCCTCCTTGACCCTGGGCAGGTTACTAACAAGACTGCCAACAGCAACCTCCAAGCCATCGATTGGAACCCAGACACCAAGCCCCTTTTCGCAACCGCCGTGGCCGATCTTCTAGCCAGCGCTACTTCCACGTCCAGCCCGGCACCGGCCGGGCCTTCGGCTGGCGTCATCGCCGGCGCGGCCGTCGGTGGCGTAGCCGTGCTCGCACTCCTAGTGACGGGGATAATCTATTTCTGCTACTACAAACCCCGGCGCCGGCGCGGCCAGGTAGAGCAGGAAGGGGCGGAGTTGCCTGCAGCACAGGACCACGGCGGACGGGCGGGCGACGGGGCGAGCGCGGTTCCTCCGAGCGAGATGTACCAGCCGTTTCCGGACGCGGAGGGGCTTGGCGTGAAACCCAAAGGCTGGTCGCCCTCGCCCGACATGGCTGAGCACCGCCCCATGCTCCATGGGGTAGTGCTGCCCCAGGAGGGGGCCAGGCCAGTGTCTGAGTTGCATGAGCAGGGATATCGACAACCGCAGGAGCTGGAGGGTAGCACTGCTGGGTTATCACCGTATAATGGGGCTAGATAAGCACTAGCAGGAGGTTGTTGAGCTGTGTGTTTGGGGTTCCAGGGCATCAAAATAGTGGTGTTTTCTAGTAGTCGGTTCATGTGCATTGGTTCACTTGCAGTCCCATTTGACATAAATATGCCCGAGCAAAGACGCCTCAGGAGGTATATGTCATCACCCTCGTCCGCCCATCCGCCCCCTCCTCGTACGCCGTGATGGCGCCGCCAAAGAGCAAATCCGAGCGGCTTAGTCCCAGCCTTTGCATCCTCCACTCCACGCCCCGTTCCGCCCCCCACAACCCGTACAGCTCACGCAGCCGGGCCGCCAGCCTGGCCTCGAGCTTCCAGTACGCCGGCCCGGCCATTCCGTAGTCGCAGATGGCCATGCCCGTCCTCGGCCCGCCGGGGCCGCGGTAGTCGATGGTGAGGTGATTGTCGGGCCCGCGGTCGCCGTCTTCGTGGAGGTGCAGCACGTCCAGCGGCGAGTGGCTACCGACAGCCGACTCGGCGTTGACGTCGGCGCCGTGCTGGTGCAGGAACGCGCCCACTGTCTCCGAGTAGTGCAGGCTGACGATGTGGAGGGGCGTTAGGCCGCGCGTGCCGCCACGCGCGTGGATTAGTGTCGGGTCCAAGTTGTAGAAGTACTCGAGGACGCGTAGGAACTCGGCGCGCCCAACTGTGGTACCTGAAGCCGTGGGTGGCGTGTTAGCTTTGGGTAAGAGTGGAAGAAATGCTTAGTATCAAAGGCAAGTAGTAAACCAACCGATCAGTTTCTCCTCGGCAGCGAGCACGTGGAACACGTTGAGCCCCGTGCTCGTCACCACCAGGCTCGGGGCCGGCGTCAGCCCCATCAGGAACCTGATGGATTCCATCCTGGGCAGAGCCGCCGCCAGCGGTGACTGCAGCCCCTCGTCGATGCTGTGATCCCCCTTGAGCCTGTACACGTCGTGCCTCGCCCCTCTGGACACCAGGTGCCGCGCCAGGTCGAAGTTCCCGTATTCTAGCGCCAGGTCGAGCACGGTGGCGCCCCACTGGTCCTGGAACTCGAGCACCTCGGGCTCACGGCCGGCGCGCTCAAAATGCGCCAGCAGGCCCGGCACCAGCGCCGGCTGGTGGTGCATGGCGCCGTGCAGCAGCAGGTCCCGGGCGCCGATCTCGCGCCGGCCCGCCATGAGCGGCAGGAGCAGGTCTACCGCGGCGGCAAAGCCGCAGTCGATGGCCGTCTTGAGCGCGTCGACGCCGCCGTCGCCGGGCCCGAGCGTCCGCGCCGTCGCGGGGTGCGTGGTGCGCGCCGAGGGCGGGACGGCATCGAGGATGGCCTGCATCGTCTCGTCCTGCCCGTAGTAGCAGGCCAGGCCGAGCACGTCGTGGCGCACGCCGCGGCAGACGTGCGGCAGCTCGGCGGCCACGTCGGCCCCCAGGACGAGCTTGACCGTCGCGCCGAGGTCATGCTTGTATGCGGCCACGTCCCGGGTCAGCTGGACGGAGCGGGGCTTCTGCATGAGGCGCAAGAAGGCGCACACCAGCTCGTTAGCCGGCTCGGGACGCGCTGCGGTCGCGGCTGGCGTGGCGTGGCCCAGTAGTCCGATGGCCTCCAACATGAGGTTCACTGATGCGACATCCAGGTCACCGACCGCGGCAAGCAGGGCACTGGCGGGCCAGGGCTCCATCGTGGTTCTGGCAAGGGGGTTGGCGCCGCTCTCCAGGAGCGACTTGATCGCAGCACTTCGCCCGGCCGGCAAAACGGGATCCTTGGTCAGCAGCACGTTGAGGAGTGCAGTGCGGCCCGTCGTCGGGTTTCGTCCATGGATGGCCAGCTCGGGCGCCATGGAGACGACGGCGTCGACCACCTCCTCTATAACGTCTTCCGGAAGACAAGCGACGTTCTGTAGCGGGCAGGTCCTAGGACGGAACGGTGGCTCGAGCAGGCGGTGTTGGCTCAGGAGATAGCGCACCATCTCGACGTCCCCGCGGCCCATGGCCAAGTCCAGCGCTGTATAAGAGTCGGCCAAAGTAAGCCTGCGGACGTCTTCTCCGTCCGTCTCGACCAGGGTTTGGACCTTGACCAGGGCCTCGTTGATGGTGGCGCCCCCTATCACCGATGTTCGGGAAGGCTCCAGCACGGCGCAGTGGAGGGCGGTCCAGCCACCTTTCAGGAGTAGCGCAGGCATGCCACCGGCCGAGATACTCTGGTATTTCTCCAACATGTGCAGGTGTGGGGGCCCTCGCTGCTGGAGACCGAACCGCCCCGCCACCCAGCCGGGCCTTGTTTGCGGCTTATGTGCCCTGGATAGTTTCTCGCAGACGCGCGCGCGGTGCTTTGCGATGGCCTCGGCGCAGGCGTCCGGGTTGACCTTGTGTAGCGCTTGCACGGTCCCCTGATGGCTCTCCCCCTGGCTGATCGTGTAGGATGCCCAGCTGAGGTTCGCGTCGGTGCTGTCGCTAGGCGCCTTGCCTAGGGATACGGACAGGGGCAGGAGGTCGGCGCGGGCGGCGATGCTCCCCCACTCCGCCGCGAGCCGCATCCACTCGAGCGCCTCGCTGTCGTCGCGAGGGCGGCCGAAGCCCTCGAGGCAGGCCACGCAGAGCTGGTAGGCACAGTCCGCCGCCCGCTTCAGCTGGGATGGGGTGACCAAATCCTCGATGCGCCGCGGCGGGACGACGAGCTGCTGGAGGGATTTGACGATTTCGGCGTCCTGTTTCAGGTCGTTGTTGATATCTGTTTTCAGGTTGCTCGTCAAGCTTGCACGAAATACACTGAAGCTTTTTCGGATCTGCGCGTCACTATTGTCAGCATGGAAGTGCAGTGGAACGGACGCCATTGTTGGGGCTTGTCTACCAACGTACATCAAAAACCCCACAGTTTATATCCGACAAGCCACCAGGGAACGCCGGTAGGACCTTGGAGCACTGCTCTCCTTGAGATCTTGGGACAAAGTCAGCATAACTCTTTGAAAGCAGAACAGGGGCGCCACGGCTCACCTTGCACAGACATTGCCGGTAGAAAAGTAGTCCTTCCCGCCCATTCTCCCCGAAGCAAAGGCGCGGAAGGCCTCTGGCTGGGAGTAGGACAGCTGGTTGTCGACATGAAAGTTCCCTTGCAGCGCCCGGTGCCACGGCGCGAGGAGGTCCGTGGCATTCTCAACCCGCGCGCCCGCGTCCGTCTTCAGCGCCAGCTCCAGGACGGCGCAGAAGACATCGGCCACGGCCGGGTGGTAGCACGGGTGGCGCGAGACGTAGAGGCGCTGCCCCGTCGCTGTGACGCCGAACGCCGTGGTCTCGAACCCGCGCACCTCTTCCTGCGCCAGCTCCAAGACCCTGTCGCTCATCTTGAGCGCGCGCACCGTCTTGTCGTCGAGCGGGACGTCGTGCTCGTGCATGGCGCCGCGGTCCACGGCCTGCGTGAACACGTCGCGGCCTTCGAGGAAGATGAAGGCGAAGATGAGGCCGGCCGAGTAGATGTCGACGCGCGGGAGGAGCGCCCGGGGGATCTCGGCTCTCGAGTGGCACTCTGGTGCGCACCAGCGAGGCGTGAACACTCTCGGCCGGATGCCAGTCCCCTCCCTGTCGTTGTCGGGGAAGTCCGCCATGATGATGGAGCCGCCAAAGTCGGCGAGCATGGCGACAAAGGGGCTCTTCCCGACTAGGGCGTCCAGCGCCACCTGCCCGGCCTCCAGTTCGGACTTACACCTCAGGACGGCACCGTTGCGACCCTGGCGCCGCCGGATTAGGATGTTCTGCGGTTTCAGGTCGCAGTGCACGACGCCGTGATGGTGCAGGGCCTCGACGCCGCGGGCGATGTCGAAGCACAGCGACAGCTTGACCTCAGGTAATGTGTGGCGGTCGAAGCGCATGTCGACGTCGCGGTAGAAGGAGTAGAGGTCGCCGCAGTCGCCCTCCTGCAGCACCAGGTTGGGCTCGGTCAGGCCCGTGGCCGTCGCCGAGCTGCCGCCCCTAGAGGGGGTGTGGGAGACGCCGAACAGGTAGACGAGGTTGGGGTGGCCGCGCAGGTCCGGGTGTGCCAGGATGCGCAGCTCGTCGGCTAAAAGAGCGAAGGCGTTGCGTCTGCTCGAGGAGGAGGGCGACGAGGGCGACGATGAAGCAGGCGAGTCGTCGAGAGATGCAAGCCGCTTGACGGCGTAGTAGTCGCCCGTGCGCGTCATGTCCGGCTCGTACGCCAGCAGCTTGATCTCGGAGCTGTCGTTGAAGACGTTGAAGTTGCGCCCCGGGACGTAGCGGTGCACCTCGACGGAGCCGTGGGCGCCGTGGCCCGCCGAGATGGACCACGGCCGGTGCGGTGTGCGCGGCTTGAAGGGCGGGTCAATGGTGGCCACGACGGCCATGAACGACGCGATGCCCGTGGCGGCATGCGAAGACCGGTCTGCCAGGCGTTCTTGTAGCTTTGCGAGCTCGTTCTCCCGCTTTTCAGTCGCTGCTTGGATCCTCTTGGCGGCAAGGCGTGCTGTGCTTGTCCCTAGGGGAGCGCTGCTAAACGAGCCGGCGGTGCTCCATCTTAATCGATTTGGCAGAGCCGAGCCATAACTGCTCATGGTCGACCCTGCTACCGAATGCGTTGTAGTGCGCTGGCTATCGGTGCTCCATTGCAGCCGGTCCGGGAGGTTGCTGGACGTAGTAGAGTCCGCCATCAAGACAAGATGAATGTTGTGATTATCTGCAATAGGTTCAACTGGTGGAGGATTAGAAAATTCAGTGCAGGGGATTCCATAGTCCCGTAACTTAACGGTCCTCACTGACAAGCAGCCGCTTTTCCGACCCTTGGTTCTGGTATGGAGGGATAGGATGACAGGGAAGCGGCTGAAATGCCTTTCCCCTTGGAGCTAGCACGAGCGGCCATGCCCACCATCACGTCGCTGTGGTTGCATCATCCGTGTTCCAGACCCGTCCAGGGGCGACAGAGCGAGGCATACCGGCACAGCCACTGGCTAGCTGAGGTTTCTGGCTTCACATACTGGTTTTCAGCCGCACTGTCATTACCACGCTCGGCAGTCACTATACCGAAGTGTTTGGCTGCCCCTCCATTTTTCAGGATGGCCCAGACCCACGACATCTTACACCCCCGAGCTCCTTGTCAGGGGACTCACCAGCCCATAACCACCCAACCAAATCGTAAATGGAGGTCCCGGGCTTCGTCATCGGCACATCGGGCCTTATCGCCGTCGCGCAGCTGTGCCTCGACATCGCGCGCGCCATCGACGGCATCCGTGCCTTCAAGGAGGACAGCGCGTCCCTGTACGCCGTTTACAACTTTGAGCAGGTCCGCTTGGCGCTATGGCTCGCCCACGTTGTCGGCGTCACGCAGCCGTCGCCCGCTGTGGACTCGGAGGCCCTACGCCGGATGGAGATTACCGAGAGCCAGATGCCGGTCGTCCTGACCTCCGGGTCCCCCATCAACTTGCACGAGCCGCTGCGTAATGCACTGACCGAGGTCGCGAGGATCCTCGGCAAGCTCAACAAGCTACTCACCAAGTATGAGACCGCGGGCGCAGGCGACGCGACTGTTATGACGCGCATCAAGTTCCAGACGCGGCTGTTCAAGGAGGGCGGGCGGGATGAGATCAAGGCGCTCCTGGGGCAGCTCAAGACGTGGAACGACAGCCTCGACAGCGTCGTCGAGAGCAGGATGCGACACCACCTGGCAGCCACCATGCACGTCCGCCTGCTGGCCGCCGCCCAGACGGACGAACAGCTTGAGGTCGTCCAGGGCGCCGCGCGGGAGACGCACCCCGTGCTGGGACAGGAGGCGGCGTTCCGGCGGGAGCTGCTCGGCATCGAGTGTCGGGGAGATGGCGGTGGGCAGCAGAGCAGCGGCCTCAGTGTCAGTCTCGACCATCTTAGCCCCGGTTCACCGCCAGCGGCGCTTAAAGATGGAAGTTTGAGGTGCATGGGCCGGTTGAGCAGACCGGGGCAGCCAACCAGTGAGTACACCTCCCGAAGCATGGCATCGGCCGATCATCCGCTACCATCATTAACACCCCTTCCCACCTCTTCCTAGTCCGCATTCTCCAGGAATGGAAGCTAGGCCAGCCCAACTGGGGCGACCTGGAGCGCACAACCGCAACCGCCCGCGCAGACCAGCTCGCCAGCATCCTCCGCCTCGAAACCAAGCCCCCGCGCCTGCGCTGCCTCGACCTGGTCGCCTACGCCCTCCGCGACGGGCCCCGCGGCCGCCTCGACTTCTGCTTCCTGTACCGCCCGCCCCCGTTCGCCGACGGCTCGTCGTCGCCGCCCACGACGCTGCACGCCGCGCTGTCCCTGTCCGAGCGGCGCCGGCCCTCCCTCGCGCAGCGCTTCCGCGTCGCCGCCGCCCTGGCCGGGTCGGTCCTGGCCCTGCACGGGGCCGGCTGGCTGCACAAGGCCGTGTGCGGCGCCAACGTGCTCTTCTTCGCCGACGCGCAGACGGAGCGGCTCGACTTTTCGCAGCCCTTCGTCGCGGGCTTCGAGTTTGCCCGGCCCGACACGGTGCGCGACCTCACGCTCGAGGGCGGGCCCGGTGGGGGTGATGGCAGTGGCAGTGGTGGTGGCTTCTTCGCGCCGTACTGCCACCCGGAGCTGGTCGCGTCTCTTGCTGGAGGGGCAGTGGCGGGAGGCGGTAGGCGTCGGCATCAGCGGCGGTTCGACATTTACGGCTTGGGCGTGGTGCTGCTGGAGATCGGGTGCTGGATGAGCGCGGCCACCATCTTGGCGTCGCGGAGGAGGGGGGGCCAGGACAGTGATTCTGCGAGCGCGCACGAGCACTTGATGCGGACCGCGGCTGAGGCGCTGCCATCGAGGGTCGGGACGCGGTACAAGCAGGCAGTGTGCGCCTGTCTAACATGGGAGGCCGATACCGAGGGCGAAGATGGGGAAGCGAGGCAGAGACAGATTGAGGAGTTTGCGGACCGTGTGGTGGGCGTGTTGGGGGAGTGTCACTGCAGTTTCTGACGGGGATCGAGGTGCTGACAACAGGTAACATAGTAAACTGACATGTCTTTCCTAAACAGGGTATATGTAGAGATTGGAAGCGAATACAGCTTAATTACAAGGTAATATGGGTCCTCGAACGTGGTAGCGTCCTTCTGGGCCGACGACCACATGAAGAGCGTGTTGCGTGCTGGGATGACGGCCGCCGCGATGGGGATGATGGGCAGCGGGATCAGGTTTCCCCACGAGCCAGGCTGTGACAGCGGCTGCTTGGCCGGAACCGAGAGGGTCGACAGGTAGGCGTAGTCGCCGCCGCCAGGCTGCAGGTTTAGGTCGCGCCCGTAGATGCTCTGCAGCCAGCACGACTTATCCGACAGGTACGACACAGCCGTGCAGCCACTGGCACTTGCCTTGTCGCACGCGGCCAGGCAATCGGTGAACGAGGCTGCCGTGACGGTCACCAGGTCTCCTTGCCAGGGGATGTCTTTGCCACAGGCCGCCGTGTAGGACCGCCAGCCCGGTACCGTGAACTTTGCTCCGGCCTGCGCCGTGACATCCGCGCAGCTCTTGCCTCCGCCGCTGCCGCCAGAGCTACCGCCAGAGCTCTGCCTCGCGCTTGTCATCAGCCCACTGTCCATATTGCTGTTGGCACTAGGCGGGCTGGAGCCCGAGGACGACCACTTCTTCATGAAGCAGATTTTGGTGGGCTTGTAAAAGCTAAAAGAGTTGCAGCCGGCCGTCATACCGCACTGGTAGAAGCAGTCATCCATGCCCCCAGCAAGAGTGACTTGCTTGATGTCTGGTAGCATGAGGCTTCCTAGTCAGCAGACGCATGTCCAAATGGGGTTTGAACGGTATCAACGTGAAAGGTGAAAAGAAACAGGCGAGTAGACAAGTGCGAGAGGAATACGTACCTGACCCATACAAGTCCTGGTTGCATAGAACGTCATACTTTTGCTGATTCTGATCCACATAGTTGGCGCCCAGGCTGGCGCACGTCGACGAGACAAAGGATCCCACGCGGTAGACAAGATCGGTGCCGCTGCCAGGGTCGACTGTGGCGAGCTTGGCGTTGGTAGTCGGTTGGGACTTGAGGTAGCACTTGCCCTTGTAGTAGGTGAAGACGCGGCACTTGGCGTTGGCGCCACACAGGTTGAAGCAGCCCTTGAAACTTGAGGCTGCGATGCTGACGAGATCGGCGTTCTAACCAAAGTCCTTGTTACAGGCCAGCATGTACTGGTTGCCCTTGTTGTCCTTGAAGGCTGTTCCGCTGCCGCCCATCTGGCTGCAGCTCTGGGCTGAGGCAAGCTGTGCTCCAGCCCAGAGCATGCTAGCACGACATAGCTGTCCGCCAGGAAGCCATGATCTTGTCTGGGCGTTGCCGATCTGATATATACCAAAGGAGAGTGTGTTTGCTAGGTGGGAAAGGAATGTGCCGGCAGGCGCTGGAGCCAATGCTTGTGCTCGTAAGGAGTGACAATGATCGGTTTTATCCAAGAAGGAGTGTGTGGCGTGATGCCTCAAAGAGTGAATGGCGGCCGATGATAGGTCCCTGGGCGTATGAGGATACAGCTTCTCGCTCCCATGCTCGACGAGGGACGCAGATTCTTATATCCCCAGCACATAGACCAAGAGACACCCGCGCGGGCGTTTCTCGCCATCCGACAGGCGTTCGCATCTTCTCCTCCACAACGCCAAACGCTGCCCGGTTGTGGCCGCCCACCGTCGAAACTGGCGCTTTGATCCATGCCAGGCCCGTTGACGACAAATGTCGACGCCGTCACTTCCTAGCACACATTCGCCAATGCTATTGCACTTCGATTCATTCGCCGACGACCCAAGCGGCACGTCATTACCTCGTGTCGGGGTACCGTCGTGCCGCTCAGCTCATAGTCCGACCGCGGCCGGGCCAGATCTCTAGTCGCGGCAAGTCCAAGGGGCCCCTCGCACTAGGAGGCGCATCGGCATGACAGACACCCACGCACTCGAACGTAATCGAGCGTTTGATCGTAGCCGGTGCTAGAACTTTCTCAATCTCGGCCAGGGCCGACGAGGTCATCCGATTGTGCTGCTTAGGTAAAAACGGCGTTCATTAGCCAAGATGCCTCCGAAGAACCCGATGAGGAATACTACAAGATATGATCCCGCTGACGTGTCACAAGGAGAGGTCTCGAGAGGCGCGTCTACTCCCGTGGAGCTTGAGCCCAAGGTTAGTGATGTCCTGCCAGCAATCAGACCAAATCCAGCTGCCGCGCCTAGGGGAAGCGCCCACAGCGACAGGAAAGTGGGCGGTTGTTTGGCACCGTCAAACAAGATCAACCGCCTTTCCACCGAAGGCCGCGCCGGAGCTAAAGGACGATTTGTATTCTGGGTTCTGCGACAACGGGACTGACGATCCTCTGTGTCCAGTTTCTCGCACGTTTTGCAGAGCCGCCAGGGGACTCCTGTCCCGCCACAGAGGCCGATAGCACCATGTTTGGTTGGGAGAGGGTAGAGGTCGGAGGCGTGCTTTACCGGCCGGGACGCGACGAATGTGGTCTATGTCTAGCATCAGCGATTAATACTCGGCGTATTGTTTTTTGGATCAAGGGACAAGATTGGGATTAGGAACCAGCGCTGTCCGGTCACGCAGCAGACGATTGAATGGGAGCGATATAACGCATGTAGTCTCGTCTGAAATTTCGTTGGCCCAGCACGACCGTCACGCGAAGTCCCTAAGCGCGACAGCTCCGCTCCACCTGCAGACCACGTGCACCGCATCACATTTGGACGGCAGGAGCGAAGGAAATCTCTAGCTTAGTATATTAGCTGCAGCACTACCTAGAAGCACCTTTGGATAAACGAGTGACACTGCGAGCAAAAAGAAGGGGGCTCCAACGACACCATCAACATGTCGACAGCCTGCAACAAACCAAACGACCCAAACTCAAGAACCCCCTATCCAAGGTTACCCCCATCCACATCAACGCACAGCGTGTCACAAAGGAGGCTATCACCAAGGGCCGGCACACTGTTCCAGGCTTTGGCTCGGACGATTTGCACGGGCACCGGTGCCGCATAGGGTAGACGCTTACCGAGCACTCGTCGGCAATGACAGGGGTGCGGTAGCGAGTACCGCGCCTGCAAAAGAGAGGATTACTAATTTACTATATATAAGGAGGGCATAGGGCCCTCGGCCCTGTGCCCGTCCTCCTTTCTTTTTCAGAGATCTAGCTCAACATACAATAGACCCTATCTTGCACCCTTTGTCCGTTATACAGCGCAGATGAGATTGCTCGGCCCACCCGCCCGCTGGACCGCACGCACAACGCAGTCCACATTGCTGTTTAGAGTGAACTCGGCCTGGGCGGCGTCCCTGTCCCGCGTCCATCTCCAGTTGCCGACGCTGCCGCAGGTCCCGAGGTTGCCGCGCAGCGCCCCCTCCGGGTTCTGGCTGAGCCAGTTGCGGATTCCGCCGATCCTCCACGTGTAAGGGTCGGGCGCAGGCAGCGACCGGCTGCAGGTGGCCTCGGGCGCCTGCGCCATGCCTGAGCCGAGGAGGACGGCGAGCGGTGCGAAGATCTTTGACGCCCGTCAGTGAGAGAACTAGCGACATCCCGTGGGTGGGGGCTATCACCTTGAACTGCATCGTGTTTGCTATTGTGTCGTTTTTTCTTCTGTTTGCTTTGGGATTATAAGGATGCCATCCAAGGTCTGTTTCCACTTCCTTCTGTATCAACAACGGGGGAAAGCTTCCTTTTATGCACCAGATTTGCCAAGACCTGACATCGGCTAAATGTCGCCTTGGATCGAGTCCATCCCCCATGAAGTACTGTCTCACATCAGAAATTCCAATCACAGTAACGTCGCGGCCTGTCTGCTCCTAGCCATAGCAGAGCAGTGTGTGCGGTCAGTCTTACGCGTCGTCAGGAGTCGGCTTGGACGACGTCACTCGCGCCGAGCTCACCCCATTTGGCTGGAGCTGAACCCGAGCCAGAGCCGAGATAGCGCAGCCAGTATCCTCACCGAGTTCGTGCCGGAGATAGCTGTAACCAATCTCGGTGATAACAAGCAATTACGTGAGAGAGCTAGCCGTTCCAAGAACGCCAAGCTCCGAGGGCTGAGCAGTGATGTTGTTAATGGAGCTGGTTATTGCAGAGCCTGTGGCTCCTCCTCTGGCCAAGCCCCTCACATCGGCAGATATTCGCGCCGCTCGCCATCGTCCTCGGCTCGGGCCTGGCCCAGTCAGCACCCCAGCCGCAGGCACGGTGCTACAACAACCAGATCATCCCGCCGTTCTCCCAACTGCCCTGGCTCGTCATCGGGCCGGATTGGCGCGCCGAAGACCCGGAGGCGGCACTGCGGAACGCCGTCAGTACTAGCTGCGGCACCGTCAACACTTGGAGATGGAGCAGGAGCAGCGAGGATCCAAACGGCTTCACTGTCGAGTTCGACCTAAGAGGCCAGTGGACGGCGGCGGCAGGAAGGGTTGCTTGCAGAGAGCCATCGCCCTTGCCGGAAAGCTGCATTATAACATCGTGTGCATATCATGACGAGGACATGGGCATGGGTGGGGATTGTCAGTGGAAGACACGCAATGGGAAGCAAGAAAAGATTGATTGGCATCCGTTACATAAAGCTTGCTTTAGGAGAAGGACATGACGCGTCTGCAAGGCACGGGGGGACATGTGCTCAGTGCTGAGTTCGCCCACCTTGTGCTGCATAATTTCCCTGATCTGATGCTTTGCTCTTTTTTGTATTGCTGGGTATTAAGGCTGGCGGAAACCCAAACGACCCGTTTGGGGCGGGGACCCATTACCCAGTGGGTCCGTTTTTGGGTAATGGGTCCAAATTCTGGGTAATTTTTGGGTTGGGTCTTTTCGGTTTTGGAAACGGGTCCCCGTTTGGGGTTTTTGGGTCCAAGCCGGACCCAAAACCCATGGGTTTGAACGGGGACCCGTTTGTGGGGTTTCGGCAGCCTTAGATAGAATAAAAGGCCCTTAAGAGTAAGCAGCGAGGCGGGCTTGGCGGGCGCGTTATGACAGCCTCGAATCGGCTGCTAGGGATACGCGAAACCGGGGCTAGTTGCGAGGATGCATGAAAGGGCTGCAGCTTTGCGGCTTGACGAGACACCCAGCTGAAAGGCTCCTAGCTTACAGGTGCTGGGGCCGGCTACCGTTCCGAATTTCCAACTGGCACAGGAAGGATTTCCATCTCTTCTCACACCAATCAGATTAGTAGTCCTTCCGAGCCTCGATGTCCGAGTGTATGCAGCTAAATGTAAAGTTACATTTATGCGTGATCGTCCCCTTCCGTTGCTGCTACCACAGCCTCCATGCTGTATCTGGGGGTATTCGGAACTCTTTTTTACCCTGCTCAGTTACCCCCCAGTATCGTTGCATCGTCAACAGCCTTTTCACCGCTCGTCTTCGCCGCAATATCTTGCATAACGCGTCAGCATCATTGTTATAACTTGCCCTCCTCCTTGTTGAAATTTGGCGTTTATTTTAACTTACTCTCGCCATTGGACCTCTGGTATGTACCACAGTATGTCCCTCTTGATATATACGTGGTTTGTTAGACTTGCATAGGGCTGCATTGGTGTGTTGTGGCTTTCTTCCGTGTTTAACGTTAACCTGAGCCGGAACTTTTCAATCTTGACTAGGATCCGCCCAGCTTCCGCCGGGTCTTCGTCCTTGTACACTCTCCCCTGAATCTCTATCTTGACGCTTGGCGAGCTGGGATCGTACATTGTAGAGGCAGCAGGCTCGTCTTTGAGAAACGCGTACGACATTGCCTAGGCGTGGGAGGAGCGAAAACTTTGGTTGTGGGTTGATTTTCCTAATCACCCCTGCCATCTTTCAAGGAGGCTCAGCACTCCTTAAGTAGCTCGAGTAATGGGGCAATGGGTGGTATGCTGGCAGGTGACGTAGTTGTTTGCGGCGACTGAACAAGTGAACGCCCTGGCTTTGATGACCGTAGCGTACAGGCAGGCAGTCCGACAAGAAAAATAACGACCCATTCACTGACTTGTTATCTTTATGACAGAGTGTAATGAAATATCGTATCTTGTGATATTCCGCATTCCCATTTCCAAAGAAGACAATTATGGCTCGAGAGTGAGTTGCTGCTCCATTTCCACCCACCCGGTCAGGCGTTAAGCCTAAAATCCCATGTAAGCGCGGTTACCAGCCACCATGATCTTCTGGTTTCCGATTTCTATTCCAGCTTAATCCGCTAATCTTTGTAGCTGGTGTCCCTCATGTGCTAAAGCAAGCATTCCCTGCACGCTTGCTCTCTTTCCTCGCCCCGTTGTCCTTCTTTACTCTTGCGGCGTAAGATTGAGTTTCAAGGCGTGCACTAGCTTAGATATCCTTACGTGGTGTTGTGATTTGGGGCTCCGGTGCAGCAGCCGCCTGTAAATTATCGGGGCTGCCCTTCTTGTGCCGGTCCGTAGGAGTCGCGACTGCCTCCTCGCTGTCTTCCTCCCTTGAGGTTGGGATGCGCCATACGCTTTTTCTCTCGACCGCAATCGAAGTCTGCACGTCTTCGTTGGTGTTCCAGTTTTCCCAGGTCCCCTTCCCAGTGCCGCTCGCTGGCTTCGCCAGGACGCGCCGAGGCGTGACGAAGATGTGCTGGTAAAGTCTGTCGGGCTCGTCGTCGTATAGAACATCCGCCTGTATTTCGTATAGTACTCCGTGGACCTTAAGCTCTGTGGATATCGTGTCGCCGGCTTTGAAGCTGTTGTTCACCATCGTAATGCGAGGGAAATTTTCTTGAAGTGTTCTGAGATTGATGGCTACACGCAATTTCGCTGGACGTTGAGGTGTTGATGTCGTGGGGCGGGGACATGGAAAAGGAGGCTTGGGGCTAGACGCGTTCCCAAATTTATAAGTACCCTTTTCGCCCGCGGACATGACTTGCTCACGCGCCGGCACCACTCTTCCGCTGCTAGAAATTTCGCAAGGACACGACACAAAGCTTTCCACCAGTGGCACGTGGAGACAGCAACACGGAGTTCTACAACGGGATGGGCAACGCTGGGAAGGAAAATGTATCTCATGGTATGAAGGAGATGACATAATTGTTTGCGAAGGTTGGACGTCGTGTACCCCTATTCAACTTCCGGGGAGCGTAACGGAACACCCAGGTCAGATGCTGCCTTGCAGCCAAACTAGCGTGGAGTGATGTATCAGGGACACGCATTTCTCAATACTGCTTACGTTGGTTCATATTGCAGGATAGCCAGCCACGGTTAATAGGGACATGTGCTTTCTACGTAGCAGAGGAGGAAGCGAATGCAACCGGATTCCTTCGCTACGTCCCGTCACAGTGTTTAACATCGGCCGCTGTCTTCGACGTCGCCCGCGGCCGGAACAGGTGCGGACGGGTTTGCCTGACTGCAGACGCGGATTGGCACCGTTGCACCTGCAAGTCAACCACCCAAGCCCTGGAACTTTGAGCTGAGGGCACTTTGGGCCGGCGTTTGGCTGGGCCAAAGGGGGTTTCGAATTTGGTGAAGCTCGCAGCGATTTGCCTGCGACATCCCGTAAGTTACGAGCGGACCTCCGTCGCCCACCGCCGCCCCCCGGCTGCCTAGACAGCCGAGTGCCCGAACACAGCGACGGCGGCGAGCTGCAATCGTAGGCGGCGCTGACTAGTATGGGCAGGCGAGACGTAAGGGTTGGCGAAAAGAAAGGTACCTACGAGATACCTTGGCGCCGGGCACAAGTGCAAGACATATGTGTATGTCTAGCTCGAGCATGGGCTAGCAAGCACCGCCATGTTGACTCGGAGAGGAACAAGCCCTAGCCTCTAATGCCGGCGAACTGCAAGCCACAGCGGCAGGAGGTCGGCGTGTAATTGCCGCTGACAGCCAATACTGCCTGCGGTGTGTGACTGGGTATCATGGCTCCGTTCGGGCTGCGGCGCCATAGAACTTCTCCCCGCAGCTTCACACCCGTGGCGTCAGCCGAGAAAGCAAAAGTGGATAATGAAGATAGAGACGACACTGTCCACCCTGACCACGACGTTCCGGGCGTGCGGTGTACGACTAGTAGCAGACTCGGCGGTTCATGGAGCTGCACTTGCGCTTGCGCTTCACGATCCACTCTCCATGTAAGTTTCGCTGGCTGCTGGCGGCTATCATCGTGTCGCTTTACATATACGTGGCTCGTGGCGGTGGCCAAGGCCGGCTGCGGCGTCGCGGGAGGCTGGTTGAGATTTACGCGACGGTGGTGGAGAAGAGAGCGGTCGGATTGCAGCGACAACGGCTACTGGACAGCTACGACGCCAGGGAATGTGACCCCGACTCGAGAGCACAAGGTACCGGAGGCTGTCCCGGAGAGACAACCAGCCACATCTGCTGTGATGCCGGCTGGTGATACTCTGTGTCGACATTGGGGTCGTGGGTATCGTGACAAGGCGGTGGCGGTGCTTGTCCTGTTGGTGGGCATTGGATGGATTCTCGTCGGCAGTGTCAGAAAGTCTGCCGTTTGTACGAGGGTTCCGTCTGACGAAGGACAGGTCTGTTCTGTGGTTAGCGAGCTTCTACCAGCAAGCGGAAATCTCGGGGCTCGAAATGCTATTTCTGAGAAGGGTGTAGGCGGATGGCTGGGGAGGTGGATACTACATGTACGCTCTAGTTCTAGGCTGAGTGTAGATGGGTAGATCGGTGGATGGGTGTCGATGTTGCAGAGCATCAGAGTTTACCTCGCTGCTACGGAGATGGCGCCGAGGAGAAAGCCATAGCAACGACCTTGCTGATGTTCTTCTGGACGCGCACAGCCGATGGCCTGTCGTGTCGCGTCTTGTGCCCGACGGACAGCACTGTCAGTGGAACCATGTGACGCCATTGTTTGTGACTCGGGTAACTCTCAGCATGGCACCAGCTTGTGAGGGCAACATGAGCAGGATCCAGGAACGGGTCAGTCGGGAAACTCTCCTATACTCTGCGGGGTGACACCCAGTGTGGCAGGTCCTGCCAAGGCTGTCAAAATGCCAGCGGTTGAGGAATACGATGTCCCAAAAGCCCATTCGCATCCTCCTTGGCTCTACTTGAGACAGCCATCCCAACGCAGAGCTGTAGGGCCCAGATTGTTCCATCCACAGGCTGCATGATTGGCCGCGGCCTCTAATACAGTCGCCTCCGTGGCACCATGGATCGAACAAGGCCCGCCTCGCGCCCCCTGTATCAATCAGTCAGTGCTGATTCTTCCGAACGGCTGGGTCGTCCATCGGGGCTCTCCACCGAGACCTCCACGCCCTAAAAAGCCCCGGAAGGACCCCTGCACCGCACGTATCGTTGGCAGCTGTGGAGGCGCTGGCAGTGGCCCGATGGGGGCTCTTCCCCGGGCGCGACTGGTGGAAATCCCGCGATGTGCGACAGGGATGCGCCAGGCGAAGTGACCCCGTCCCGTCGACGTGAGACCCGCACGTCGATCCCCTTAATTCGCTAGGTATATCCAAGAGTGTCAGGTTTGCCTGTTGGCATTGGCAGCATGAATGGGAGCAAGTCATGGTCAGGCAAGGGAGGAAGGGAGAAGCTGTCGTCAGGCTGGTTTCGGGTATAAGGTCCCACGGAGGCAAAGGAACATATGCCCTGACCTCTTCTGTTTCCTCTGTTCCTACTGCCACGCAGGGCAACACCCAGACAGTCCCGACAGAGGGAGCTGCTGCAAAGTGCCACTCACCGGTATCATGCGCCGCCTCGCATCGACCCCCCACCTCCACCTCCTCCTCCATGTCCTCCTCCTCGTCAGCGGGGCCGCCGCCGGCGTCCTCCGCGCCGCCATCACCCTAAGTCTCCCGACCGCGACGGCCACCACAACGCCGCCCCCGAAGACAACGCTAGCCCCGCACCTTCAGCTGGCCGTTTTTGCCGCCGCCGCCGCCGCCACCACCCCGACGCCCCAGGTCCAGTTCACGACCAACAGCCGCATCCTCGCCTGCTGGGCCACCATGGAGCAGCTCGGCGGCTCGGCCGGCGGCCTCATGCACGCCACGCCCACGGCTCCCGCCGCCCTGGCGCTGCACCTGGCCACGCAGCCGGCCGGGTCGTCGCACTGCACGACACGGCTGCCGCAGTCGGTCATGTCCGAGTACGCCGACTTCACAGAGTCCTGCTGGCGCTGGATGTCCACCATCTCGACCAGCTGGGCCCGCTTCGCGACGCAGTGCCCCGAGTTCGTCGGCACCCGGCCCTTCATCCGCGGCGACTGGGACGTCACCGTCCGGGGCTTCTGCCCCACCACCGCCACCGTCTTCTGGACCGCCGCCGCCGCCCCGACCATCCTCGAGGCCGTCGCCACCCCGACGGGGCTCGGCCACCTCATCGGCGCCCGCGCCCCCGCGCCGACGCCGGTGCGCGCCATGGTCAACTCCACGACTGTTCACACGGCGGGCGCGGCGCGTGCCGGCAGCAGTAGGGGACTGGGGCTTTTGGTGGCTGGTGTGGCTGTAGGCAGCGCTAAACTTTTTTCCATTCTATGAAAATATTGTGCCCGTATTTATCGCCCCAACAGGGACATTCAGCCCCCATTGCTAGCTACCTGTGGCTGTGGTTGATGGGCGCGGCGGCGCCGCCTTTTTAGTTCCGACGGTGGTGGATTGGCAAATCCCACATCACCTCCTTGCCCTTGCCCTTTCCCTTTCCCTTTCCCTTTCCCTTTCCCTTCTTCGCCTTGCCGCCCACCTCTGGCGCTCGCTCAGAATCCGCCTCAGCCGGCGCTTGCTCAGAATCCGCCATAGCCGGCTCTTGCTTCCTTCTCGGTGCCTCTGCTGCTTGCCCATTCTCCGCTCCCTGTGACTCCTGCCTGGATCCAAGCACATCTGCTTCTTGCCCCGAGTCCGCTGCCCGACTAGAGGTAGGCTCGGGCTCCTCCTCCGCTTGTGGACCCTCCTCCGGTGCCTCGGGCGCAGATGCGGCGCTAGCCTCGCGCCGCCACACCTCCCGTAGGTTCGCTAGCTGCACCCTGGGGTCCTCCGCCGTGTAGTCGGCAGTCAGACCCAGCCAGTGCCTGTAGACCCAGACGGGGTTCCCCGCCGTCCACTCGCGCCACTTGTGCTGCGGCTCGCTGGGGTCGATTGTCTTGATCCGATACTTGTGCACCATGACCTTGATCCCGGGGTCGCTGGGGTCGTCGTCGCCGTGCACGAGGCCGCGGAACTCGTACAGCGTCCTCGCCATCAGCAGGTTGCCCTCAACCACCTCCCCCGGCCTGTGTCGTTGGACCTGCCTCGGTTGCATGTTGCGTCGACGGTGAGACTCTGATGTAGGCTTGGGCGTCAAGATGGATCTGGGGCGCTCTTCTGTTGATCTGTGGCGCTATCTCTTTTTCTGCAGGCACCGGCACATGTCAACGGCAGTGCTTTATATCCCCGCAAAGCTAGCCATGACTGGTGGCAGCTCATTTGCCTGGGTGTTTGCGGCACAAACTCTGGTTCAGTTATACCATCCATGCCGCCCCTTTTGGCATCATTGGCCAGGCTCATCTTGCGTTGTTTGCGCTTGACCTTTATCGCAAACAGCACGGCGAGCGGATGAGCGTGGTGTGCCACGCCGGAGACCGGCTGGGTAGAATCACCTGCGATAAGCAGCCGTTTGGTCCCCTCCTCGGCCTGATCAAGAAACCTAAGCTTCCTTACGCGGCCGCGCCCCCTTTCGCCGAAAATCCGGAAAGTGGGCTGGCGAGAGGTCCACGGGGCCACATAAGTCCTTCAAGCTCGCGCCCAACTTCGGACTCAAACCTTGCCTCCACTAACGCTCAGAAAGACCTTGATGCTACCCACACGGCTTCTATTTGCCATTAGAATATTACAAGACCCGGTTTCGGGGATGCCGCGGATGGAAAGAGGCAGAACTTCAGCGCGGAGTTTGTGAATTCAATGCCGAGAGAAAGCAACGTTGGGACTAGAGTTTTGAGTTACGGTGCAGTTTTGTGGTTCTCAGCAACACCAACCATCAGACGTTCGTGGGGAACCATAGCTGGCACAGCATGTGGATTTTCTCAACCAATTGGGACGGAATGGCGCGCTACCAGGTTCTTCAATTGGGATGCCAATCCAGGCATGTTGATTGGTCCTTTGTCAGCCAAGATCACACCACTGTAGAGCTTTCCTCTTTTCATTAGAAACCACGCCTCGAGTCAACGACAGAGCGAGCTTGCAGCTTATGGCAGCCAAAGTAACTTTTAACTAGTCTACATGGAGAACAATTCAAACAATTTGGAAGGCTCGTTCGAGAAATCTGCTGCTCAGGCCCTCTTGGGGGCTTGACATCAGTTTTCAAGCACACAGACTTTGGAGTACAAACAAGAGATACACACGAGCAGTGCGTCAACGGCCGGTAACAAATGACTGATCGCAGGAGCTGGCTGATGAGGGGAATCCCTATATTTAATTAGCCGTCCTCTCACCCCCTGCTCTCCTATGATAGAGACCACTCCTCATCCTATACTCTCTACCATTAATCTTCTTCCTCCTATTCCCATGAATTTCTTGGAAAATCCTTGAAAGGCGCGCACAAGCGAAGTCTTGAGCCAGTTAGGTCTCGGCCTATCTCCCCTAGTCCGTCTACCCGAGCACGCCCTGGCGTCATGTACGTTCCACACAGTTGCTCGCATCTTTTTAGGCCAAGGCGCCACCTCCCGCTGGGGTTGCCATGGATCACAGTCTTGGTCTCTGGAAATGCTGGTGCTAATTATGTGCGAAGAAACGGATCGGGATGGTCTCATTATGCTAATCAACCGTTTTGTACTTTCATTTTCCCAAGTTTATCGCCTTTTCCTTTTCCGGATACCCAGCCGCGGCACCATTGTCTTTTTCTGGCAGCACGATGTTGAATTAAAGTTGTATAGATCCTGGCCGGTGGGACAGCCGCCGCAGGGCGGCGTGCAAGACAAACAGCACGAAGTCCCCCACATGCAAAAGCGGGCCACTTGCAGATCGGACACTAGGATAAACCACACCACAGGAGGGCGTGAAGAACTACACATTCCGCTCAGATATATATCACTTGAGTACCATGCAGGATACAGACTACACGGCCGCTATTAGCGGTGGTCAAAGCTGTGGAAAGTGGGCCAGAGAAAAATTTTTACGCTTCCCATGAAACACCCCGTCCACGCTCCAAGCCAACGACCAACCTTCAAAAAGAAGCATTTCCATCTCCGAGCAAAACCAAAGCATATCAGCGACAAAAGAGCAACGAAAACAAAGCTCCGTCCGGACAGCAAGGCCTAGCAAGGCAGTTAATCGCGCGCGATCCTATTTGAGCACTTCATTGCCATTTATCAGCCAGCCAGCACAAAAAGATCACTGGCAACATCTCATCCTTCTCCCATCTCCCTTCCACACAACTCACATGGTCCTGGTTACTGGGCTCCAGGGTCCGCCCTTTCCCCATTCCGCCCACCAACCACTACTATGCCCACCGCTGTCCTCGCCGGTCGTAGCTCTACTTTGACAAGAGCATTACTAATTTCCTTTGTTGCACAGATGTCCAATCCGCCGCTTCAAAGCGAGTGGACCCCACTCGCCCAATGCCACGATGACATCGCGGCCGTCGCTGCCACTATGACTAAGAACGGCATACTCAGCGTGATGGAAGAGAACCAGGGTAGGCTGGGCGTCGTCATAGCCGCCCTTCGATGCCCACTGATCGCGAACATCGAGGTGGAGATCAACGACAGCATTTCCATACTGGGGACTCGACTATATCGATCTGCGAGGTAATTGAGAGAATTGCCTTGCGCGCGCTCAGAGGCAGTGGCCTCAGCCGGCGGGAAGCCGATGATGCATGGGCCAATACTGTTGAGGCTATAAACGGCCTTATCAACCCTAACCCTAATTCTCGCCTTGTGATCGTAAGTTAAGGGGGGGGTGGGGGGGGGGGGTTACAGCTCTCGCATCGCCTAGCCCTAGCCGTGCCATTAAGTATGCAGCCCTGATCGCAGCAAGGGATCAGAGAAGCGGAGAAATCATTCTAAATGACATTTACAAATACCTCGAAACTGATAGTAGCTAGAGTCATATCTCTTTGGAAGTGCACGTTGCAGGAAGAGAAGCTATCTACAGTGGGGTCCAGCGAGAAATCAGAACAGGGCCTCGCACGACTCGTCAATTGATCTCCCGAGGTCTCCACCTCAACATATATCTGATATAACCGCACAGGTCTTGTCACGGCCTGGTTCACTTTAACGTATGCGACCGGCTGCGACCCCCTCCCTTCCCGTCCGCGAGGACGCCCACCCTCTCGGCTTCCTCACAATTAGGACGACAGAGGGAAACCAAGATTGGCGGCGCCCGGGCCAAGGAGTAATAAGCACCCAAGCCTCCAAGTATCCCAAGCAATGCCGCATCCGCTCGTGGTTGGCCCACATCCCGCCACAGCATGATGATGGCAGCCGAGGCGCTGAGGCGCGACGTGCATAAACGCTGACCTGCAAGCACCAAAAGCCGTAGACGACATTGGTGGATACTTCCGACACGTAACAGGAAGCGATCAGCCATGGCGATGCCATTCATAACGCCCAACCCCGCTTCCCGGTCCGGGGCCGCCCTCCCCACGCACGATCTGGCTGCATCACCACCAACATGCGCCCCCTCATCGCGTTCCTCACCCTCGCCGCCGCGACCGTCGCGGACCCGACCGCGACCTACGACTTCATCGTGGTCGGCGGCGGCGGCGCAGGCCTCGTGGTGGCGTCCCGCCTGTCAGAAGCAACCCACACCCACAACGTCACGGTCCTGGTGCTCGAGGCGGGCGGGTCCCACGTCGGGGACGTCAACGTCGAGTGCCCCGGCTGCTTCGGGACGCTGTACGGAAACAGGACGTACCACTGGGACTACGAGAGCGTCCCGCAGGCGCGGCTCGACGGGCGCGCGCACCGCCACATGGCCGGCAAGGGGCTGGGCGGCGGGACCGCGGTCAACTTTATGTTCTGGACGCCCAACTCGCGGCGCAACGTCGCCGACTGGGCGTCGCTGCTGGGAGGGGCGGGGCGGCGCCTGTGGTCCTGGGACGCATTCCGGCCTTTCCTGAAGCGTGCGGAGCGGTTCGTGCCGTTTGCGTGCGGCAGCAGGGAGGAGCGCGACCTGCAGACGGGCTACGTCAACGAGTCGGCGCACGGCGACAGCGGCCCGACCGTCACTTCGTTCCCCGCGGCGTACGGGCCCCTGGTGGAGGCGTGGCCGCGTACGTACGCGAACCTGGGCGCGGCTGTCGACGGCGACCCATACGACGGGGTGGTGGGTGGCGGCTTTACCAACCTGTTCAACATCGACCCTGGAACCGTGGCGCGCAGCTACCCCGCGAACACGTACCTGGCGGATGCGCTGCGTCGGAATCCCAACGGCATCCACGTCGAAACGGGCGCGTTCGTGACCAAGGTCCTTCTTCACACGACCCCCGGGACTCGGCCAAAGGCCACCGGGGTCTCGTACATGCAAAACAACCGCACCTTTACAGCAACCGCCACCCGCGAGGTCATCCTGTCGGCGGGCGCCATGCAGTCCTCCAAGCTGCTCGAGCTGTCAGGCGTCGGCAACTGCACGCACCTCGCCACCCTGTCCATCCCCTGCGTGGTGCGCAACCCCAACGTCGGCGAGAACCTCCAGAACCACCTGCAGCTGCCGCTCGGGTTCCGCGTCCGCCCCGGCATCGCGACGGCCGACGACCTCGCGGCCGACGGCGGCGCCTTGTTCGCCGCCGCAAAGGCGCAGTACGTCGACTCCCGGACGGGGCCCCTGGCCACCGTCAACGGGAGCAGCGCCCTCCTCACGCTCGCGCAGCTGGGCGGCTCCATGTCCGACCTGCTGCCGTTCCTGGACGCCGCCACGCCATCCCCCGGACTCGAAGCGCAGCACGCGCTCCTCAAGGCCGGCCTGGCGACGGGCCACGTGGCGCAGGAGATCGGCCTCGGGGCGGGCATCATGCCGTGGCTGTACAACGACTCGGCGCGCATCTTCGCCAGCCCGGGTGACGGCTTCAACTACTTCACCCTCATCTCGATACAGCAGCACCCCTTTAGCCGCGGCGCCGTGCACTTCCAGTCGTCGGCCGACCCGGTCCTGCAGCCGCGCCTCGACCCGCGCTACCTGGCGCACCCGCTCGACCGCGCCGTGCACCGCCTCATGGCCCGCCACCTGGTCGCCGTCGCGCGCGCGCCGCCGCTGCGGGACCTGCTGGTGCTGGACGAGGACGGCGAGCCGCTGACGCAGCCCGGGTACCCGACCGCGCGGGAGCTGGCCGAGGGCGACGACGCGGCGGTGGACCGGTTCGTGAGTAGGTATTTGATGCTGGCGTACCATCATTCGGGGAGCAACGCCATGATGGCGAGGGACAAGGGCGGTGTCGTGGATGAGAGATTCGAGGTGTACGGGGTCAAGGGTCTGAGGGTTGTGGATGCGAGTGTGTTCCCGCTGATTCCGCAGGGCACGCTGACAAGCACCGTGTTGGGATTGGCAGAGCGGGCTGCCCATTTTGTCAAGGAGGATCACGGGATTCTGAACTGAAATTCTGCATGGGGGTTGTGCCGTGCGAGCCCCGTCTCAAGAGAGGCTATTTCGGACGAAAGAAAATCCACCCTCCATCGCCTCTCAGGAACTCGGCCAAAGGCTCTTCACCCCGGCTCGAAAAAGCACCTGGACGATTGGTCGAACCAAACTCTTCTCTCTTGCCCCAATCAAATCCTTCTCTCCTGTTTCCATACCGGGATGCGAGGGCGACCCAGACTTGTATCTATCACACCTAACAGCTTTGTTCGGGGCGTGTAGCAAACAATCCGTTGGCATGCCGACACCCTTCGTCCACTCGCCTACTCCCACTCCTCCCAAATTGCGGCCAGATGCATAATTTGCGCTAGAGGGCCATTTGACGCTGCCATGCCGGCCGACATCTTCTGCGAGAAAGCAGCACTAGTCGCTCCCTCGTCGGTGCTGTGCCACCCGAGAGTGTTGCTACCGTGCAAGTGTCCATCCGTAATCCCCGAAACCTGAACAGAAAGATTCCATCAGTTTAACTCGCGGCCTGAGGAAGGGAGAGTCGCCAAGTCAGGCGGAGATGGACGACCAGGAAACTTACCTCGCGGAAGCTGGCCATGCCGGAATACATGGTGCTCATCAGGCCGTTGTGCATCGCCTGCGCCATCTGCAGCTCCTGCATCCCCTTCAGGAACCTGATCTGCGGGATCGTCTGCGCGTACACCGCCAGCCGCTGCCTCGAGTGCGCCACCAGGCCCTCGGGGCTCCCCCGCTCGCACGCGAGCAGCCACTGCTGGCGCATGCGCGGCGAGTACATGCAGCACATGCGCTCCGCCGCCACCACCACCCCGCCGCGCAGCGGCAGGGACGCGGACAGGGCGGCGCCGCCATCGGTCGCGGCGCAAAAGGACAGCTGGCACTCCTCGCAGACGGTGCAGTCGTCGTGGCCCCACCAGCGCCGGCCGGCCGCCATGTCGGATCGCGGGCAGGGCGGGACGTGGGCCCAGGTCCGCGCGGCCGCCAAAAAGGGCGCCCACACGCCCGTCTCAACAGCCTCGCCGAGCCGCGGGAGCAGAGTTTGGAACCGCGGGTGCGCCGGGTTTAGGTTGCAGAGGCGGGCTGCGCCGCCGCCGATGGGCGTGAAGAAACCCGTCAGTCCCCACGTCTCGATCCAGCCGGCGTAGCACGCCGCGCAGACGGCAAAGTCGGGCGAGGCCGGGGTCCCGTTGCCGCTCTGGAGCGCGAACCAGGTCCCGCCGACGACGCCAGACTCGGTGCAGGGCGGGCTGGCCACGATGGTGCGCGCGGCCGTGCGGAGGACGTCGAGGCTTTGCATGCCCGCGGCCGAGGCGAACGCCGCCGTCGTGGGGAGCGTGGTGCCGAGGCATGTTGTGGTTGTGGTCGGGGCGGTGCCCAGTCGAGCCATGAGGAGGTCCAGGACGTGCTGCTGCTGCTGCTGCGGCGGCGAGACCACCTCGAACCCGCTCTCAAGGCTGGTCAGGGACACCTTGTCGCAAAAGCAGGCCTCACACAGCACCAGCTCCTGCGCCTTGTCTCCCGGTGTCTCCGCCGTCGGGCGGTACCATTGCAACACCTGCAGTCCCGCAGGCTTCTCGACGGGGACGCCCTCGCACTTGGGGAGATGGGCGCGGCGGTTTGCCGCCTCGACGAAGCTGTCCCAGAGGTCGCCCGGCAGCGACGAGAACCGGAGGAGGGCGCGCTTGATGTAAGGGACGCAAATGTCGCAGGCCCAGATCTCGCCCTCGGGCTGCGCCGGGGCGGCGACGAAACGGGCACGGAACGGCGTGCCCTGCAAGATGTCCTCGCTGCAGGCCTCACACGCCGCGAACCAGTCGAGCCGCGGGTCCCTGGTTCTGAACCACTTGACCTCGGCCTCGGCGCCGACGCCACTGTGGCCCTGGCAGTCTTGGATCTGCAGCCGCCGCTTTGCGAATTCTCGGATGGGCTGGACGTCGCCGCTACGGCAGGCGGCCGGCACCAGGGACCTGGTGAGTCGCGACACGTTGAAGTGGCAGCGGCCCCTGGGCAGCTCCACGGCCTCGAAGGACGGCTCGATGGCGGTGTCCACGATGTACATCTTGTGGCACAGGGTGCAGGCGAGGAAGTCTGGGACATCGGGGAGTCGATACCACCGGCTGGTGTAATCCAGCTCTCGCTCTTCCTGGCACTCGAAAATGACAGGATTCGGGCTGCCAAACAGTCTCATTGGAGGGTATGGCCGCTTCCACAGCTCTGGCTCAGGGGGCGATGCCATCTTGTCTGGTGAACATGCAGGGGATCTCAATTGTCAGGTATCTGAGGCCGCTTGGAACCATGGGTTGCGGTGTTGATGGTAAGCCCTTGGGCTCGCAGCACCCCCTCCTTCCTCGTGGTTTCCTGGTTCAGCCAGGGAAGGTGCAAAGGGCTCACCCAGCCCTTGACGGGGGCTGGCGGCTGACCAATAGAAGCAGAGCCTCCTAGCGCTGGGCACGTCCTTGGAGGGGCCCAAACAGGTGGCGCACAAGCTTGACCTCAGCCGCAGCTGAAGGCCCTGTTTCCGCTCTCAAAACCTGCCTTTCCCCCTCCACCACGCCAAGAATCACGTCGCATGCTCTCAGCATCTCTACTTCATCCGCGCGCTGTTACCAGCCATGAACTCTGCTAGTGGCACGCCATACTTTCCGCCTCCTCCAGGGCAATTCGGGCGCCTGCCTCCTCAGCCTCCATTCCGGCCACAGCAGCATGCTCCCCCGTACACGCAGCAAGCGTATCCGCCCTCTCAGATCGCCTCAGAGTACGTCCCGACACGCTCGGCTGGGCCTGTGCCTGGTTCGTACTGTGCCGCCCAGAAACCTCCTCTCTCAGCTGCCCCCGGACAGAAGCCCCAGCAAGTTCATGGATATGCCCCATACGGACCTATTCCGGGACTGGTAGCTGGCGGCACTGCTCCAGGGCCGGTCGCACAGAGTCACTCAATCCCGGCGCCAGCTATTCACACGGCAGGGACATGGCCCCAGGCAGTGCCTGCTATGGCACCAGGAAATATGCCTCCGCCCCCGCCAGGACCTCCGCCGCCGGCATCAGCGCAACATGAGCAGCAGAATGCAGGCTACGCGCCTTCGCCCACCACTTACAGCGTAGCATATGTGCCTTCACCCATGTCCTCGGTCTCCTCGCCCGTTCATGGGTTCGGCTCAATCGTGCGACCACCAATGGCCGCGTCGGCTTGCGTACCACCTTGTGACACGCCACAGGTGCCGTTCCAGCTCCCATATACCCAGACATTCACTGTGTCTGGCCATTCAGCTCCAGCCCCAATTCCTTCTCCCGTGGAAAGCACCAGCAATGCCTCGGGAGGCTTTGGAGCGACTCAATACAGGCCGGACCCAGTCCTGGCAATGACCACGTTGACCAATATCAGCATGCAACCTGTTGATGGGGTCGGACGCCCGGCGGCCCAGAACCAGTCAGCGCAGCCTACACATCACCCGTACCATTTCGCTGTCACGGAGACCCAACCAGCGCCCAGACCGATGGCTACACCAACTGTTGAGAGCGCCCAAACAGCCTATGGGGGCTGGCCGGCATCTCTGTCGGTGCTGGACATGGCCAGATTCTTACCATGTCCCACCTCCGCAGCCGCAAGGACTGATTGCAAGCCACCGCAAACAATCTGCCAATCTGCCAGCGCGGTCGTAAGCCCCCTCGTCCAAGGGAACAGCTACTACGAACTGGCAGGAGAAGATATATGTCCGCCCGCACACATTAAGCCGGCCCCGCAGAAGACCGGCGCGATGGTAACGCCCCTTGTGGAAGAGAATAGATACCACGAACTGGCAGGAAAGGATATTTATCCGCCCGCACATATTCAACCGGCTTCGCAGAAGACCAGAGCGGTTGCAAACCCCTTTATGGAAGAGAATAGCTACCACGAACTGGCAGGAGAGGATGTGTGTCCACCCGCACACATTGAACTGCCCTCGCAAAAGACCATCGCAGCGGCTCCGGAGAATGCTGTCGATACTCACGCCGGTGTGCGCCCGGCGACTTGGTTGATACCTGGGCTGGGGAAGGAGATTTCCAAGCACTTCAACGAAGGGCCTCAGACGAGGTGAATGGGAAGTGAGGCCAACTCCTAGTCTCGGAGGGCACCTATGGCAGTCCGCAGACTATACCCAGGTGTAAGATAGAATACATGGGCAATAGGGTTTCCAAGAATGTGCATAGCAGCCGTTTGCACTGCTTGATATCCCAGCATGAAGCTCTCTAGCTCACCCGCCATGTCGTTCTTCTCGCTGTCTCCCTCCCCGTCTTCGTCTTGCTTGCTCGTTTCTCTCACGTTCCCGCCTGCTTGGCCCGGCTCGCCCCCCTGCGTTTGTTTTTCTGTCTGCGTTTTTTCTTCCACGGCGTTTCTTTTGTGACCCTCCTGCCATGCCGCGAGCAGGACACCACCCATCGGCTGCGCAAGTTCGGGGTGCGCTACGAGGTCGCCTCCGACAGGGGCGGCGAGGCTCGCGCCTTATTCGCGTCAAAGTACCCCCCGCGTAGAGCTTGGCAATGCTCTCCGGAGACATCTTACTGGGCTCACGGCCTGCCTGCACGTCAAATTCCCAAAGGGGTCACCATTGCGAAAGGCTGGCTATCTGCAAGCCAAATACTGATATCTGGAAATAGTAGCGACTTTGCTGGCAACCCGAACTCTGTTTTGCTTTTCTCGGCACTACCTCTCTCTCCCAATTTAGCCGGCCTTGACCACCCGGGTTGGCGGATTTCCCGGGTGGACGATGATCGGCTGTTACCTAGCCGCTTAGATCACTAACCTCGGCCCAAACAGGCAGGAGAGGAGCACAACTCGACCTTTATGCTACGCATGAGGTGGGCCCCTGACCTAGGCCGAGAAAAGCCCCGGCCCCTAGCGCATGGTCCAGACCCCTTGGCTCGATACACCGATGCGGGACCGGGCTCGTACGCGGGGTTGGCAGCTCTGCACCGTCCAGGCACAGCAGGTCGGATAACTGCATGTTTGCCACCAATTAATCTGTCCCGCATGAGCTGAAAGATCAATACCTTTACCTGGGCCTATAGGCTAGCATCCGGATGTCGGCAGGGTCCCGAAGACTGTGGTAGATGGCGAGAGGTGGTGGTGGCAAGCGTTTGGCAAACATTTGTCCGACACGAAGGGTTGAGAGAATAGGGTGACAAGAAGTTTTGGCGCAATGCCCAAGTGTATAAGTACGCCGCTTTGGTATGCTTGAACAATGAGACCAGGACCGATTCCTCAACACGCAGACCAACAAGCTCGCAGATAGCAGCAATCCTGATCAATCAACATGAAGTCGCTCCTCGTCGCCATCCCGCTGCTGGCTGGACTTTCCACGGCCGCCATCAACGACCTCTGCCAAGCCCAAGGGGTAAGCTGCCACAGGCATGATTCCTTGGACGCAGCGACTAACCTCACCGCCGTTCTCGCCAACAGTACCAGGGCACCTGCCAGACCACCACGTGGTGTGGAAACCGCGGCGGCAGCCAGCCAGTCGTCGGGGCCTGCCCCAACGACCCCAACAACGTCAAGTGCTGCCTTTTCCCCAGGTGCAGCTCCAGCCGCGGGTACTGCATGGGCACGGCCAGCGGGCTCTGCAGCACCAGCTTTGTGTCGTAAGTTGGTTGGATGCGCGGCCGGACGGGGTCTTCTCTGCTCGCGCACCTGCTGACTATCGTGTTGTTCTCTTGCAGCGGACAATGCCCCGGTCCCAACTCCTACAGGTGCTGCCTTTCTCGTTGAAGCAAGAATCTTGCCGAGGGGTGTGATGCGCACTCGGGATTGTCAGGGAATGACATGGATCATATGGTGTGGGCTTGATGGCGAGACATGTCGGAACCGTGACCAGGGCGGCACCAACGTCACGACGGCCGACCGGGCAAGCATCCCTCATGCTATGGCAATCACCGAGAGGGTGGGAAGAGAATCCATGATAGCAACGCGGCGTAGATCTAGTGCATCGATATATGCCACAAATGCATGGAGAAATCAGAATTTTTGCCACTCGAACGTGATATGATGATGCGCGTCCCCAAGTCGCGAGATCCTGGCCCTGTCGCCCGACTTTTTTTCAATGGGCGCGGCCTCAGCACACCAGCAACGATTCCCCCTGTCCCCGAAATTCTTCCCCCGCAACTTCATCCCTCTGCTGCTCTGAACCACAAGGCCATCGACTCCGATCCTCAAGCCTCCGTCCTCCAAGAAGACTCGACAAAGCCAACGAAGCTTTGCAAGCGATAGGTGAGAAGGCAGCCCCCCAGCCCCGGACATATGTGAGCAGCCGGTGAGTAACAGGGCTCCAGGACTGACGAACCCAGCCTCAAAGCATCCCTCTCAGCATCATGAAGATCTCAGCCACTCTCGCCCTCGCCGCCAGCCTCATGCTGGGCCAGGCCGCCGCCGCCCCCGCCGCCGCCACCACGTCCGTCGACGTCGCCCCCATCCCGGCCGGCAGCCTTCTCCTCGTCGACGAGAGCGGCTCGGCGATCAACGCGACGGCGTACGCCGACGACGCCGACGCGGAGCTCGCCGAGCGCGCGGTGCCGGGCGGCACGCACATCTTCTCCATCGGGTACGCCTTCTGCAGCTACACGACCCCGGGGCCCGGCGGCACCCCGCCCACGGGCGGCAACCGCGAGGACCTCTTCACCTGGGGCAGGAGCCCGACGGAGCTCGGGTGCGTGCAGCACTCCGACGCCAACGTGATCCCGTGGGGCTGGCGCACCAAGCCCTTCACGCACAACAAGGTCTGCGGGCGCTCCGTCAACTTCTACCCCAAGAACGGCAATCTCGACTTCTATATCAACGGCGGCAACGGCCAGCTGCTCGGCACGTGCTACCCGACCTCGGGCAAGAAGCACAACTGCGTCGACTTCCTCGCCGGCGGCACCTGCGTCGTGCAGACCCCTACCTGTGCCTGTCCTCGGGCAAGGACCCGGTCATCTGCGGTTAGTGGGGTGTGAAGGATTTGGACAGGTCGATGGCGAAGTGAATGGGTGGTGACTGGTAGTGTGTGGTTTGTATCGTAAAAAAAGACGGGACAGGATGTGCTACATGTGGTTGGTTGGTCTGGGCTGTAACAGCAACTACCCACATGAAATTAGGTACCTATGTAATCCAGCCTCCTACTCCTCCCTCCCTTGCGCCCGTGATCCATGAAAACTCTCAAGCTCTAAGATGCCACCGGCTTCCAAACAGCCCTTGTCCACCCGTCCCCCTTTGTCACGTCCACCGTAGCATACCATATCGACCCGTCAGCCGCGGTCGTGACCATCTCGACCCCCGACGAGCCCACCCGTGCGAGAGACGGAACACTACTAGCCACCATACCAAGATCCTCCCACTTGGCGCCGGCGACCGAGGAAGTGTCAGCCCTAAAGGACAAATGCTTCAACCTCCCATCCGCCCCCACCGCCACCACCTCGACGCTTTCCTTCTTGGCACCCGACACGGCCACGGCAGGCAGGCTAACGAGCTTCTCGTCCCCCAGCCTCTCGGTCACGCTCCAGGCGGTCGTCGACGTCCAGCTCCAGTGGTACAGGTGGCGGTCACGGCCCAGGCCGAAAAAGTCGAAGCGCTGGCTCGACACCTCGAGCAGGACCGGGTGCGTGCCGGGCATGTAGTCGCCGCCCAGGTCCTGCCAGTCGCGCCAGGCGGTGCGGTCGAACTGGCGGTGCCAGGCCGCGTTGCCCTCGGTGCCGTTGCCGTAGACGACCATGTCGTGGTACCCCGCAATGTCGCGGCACACGACCGAGAAGCGCGAGTTGGGCACCAGGAACCCGCCGGCCGAGTCCTCCCACAGCGGCGTGCCGGTCCAGTACTTCTCCTCCTCGGCCCACTTGTGCTGCAGCACGGGGCCGGTCCGGTTCTGCGGCACGTCGCGCGGCACGTCGCGCGTCTGCTCGACCCGCGTCCACACGTCGACGCGGCTGGTGCCGACGGCGCAGAGCCCGGGCGCCTCGGCCGTGTGGTTCTGCGCCGGGTAGCCCTTGGGCGTGTAGCTGATGTCCATGATCCACGTCGCGGTGCCCGGGCCCGGCCCGAGCCCGACGTGCTTGGCCAGCAGCTTCTTGGTCGTCGGCGACACCCCCAGCACCGTGGCCGTCGGCCCGCCGCCCCAGCTGCTCGCGCCCGCGATCCAGCCGATGGCGACGGGGTGCCGGTCGAACTTCTCGCCGCCGCGGCTGACCCACCCGCCCCTGTAGGAGCCGCCGCCGGGCGCCGACGACGCCTGCTGCCACGAGCCGTCGGCCGCGCGCGCGAACAGGTACACGGTGAGGTTCTCGCCCGCCTCCCCGACGTTGAGCGGCGTGGTCACCGCGGCCACCTGGTCGGTGCAGATGGCGTCGGCGCTGCACTTGCTGGTGCCCGTGGGCGGCGGCTTCGGGGCGTCGGCCGTCGTCGTCGTCGTCGTAGTGTTCCCCCCTCCAGGGCCGCCGCCGGGGCCCGGCGGGTGCGATGGCGTGGGAGCCGGGCGCAGCACGATCAGCCCTAGGACCGAGCCGAGGACACCGCCGATGATCAGCACCATGACGCCGGCAGCCATGAGCCATGTCCCCCTCTGTCGCCACCACGGCAGCGGTGGACTGTACGCAATTTGAGGTCCCGGCATGTTGGCCCGGCTACCTTGATCGTCGGCCGCTCGAACATCACTGGTGGCCACCTGCTTCTCTGGCCTATCAGATGGGGGCGAGACCTCGGGTAGGTTGTTCGACGGCCAGTAGACGATCGGATAGTTGGGCGACTGTGGGGCGAGCTCGAGGTGACTGGTGTCCCTATCAGGCAGGCAGTAGATCTCAGGCGCCTTGCCTGATCGCCGAGTCGACTTCCTTCGGGGTGTCGAGGATGCGCCCCCAAAGCTAGCCAACATGCTCGGCGCTATTGATTTTGCGCTTATTTAATAGAGTTTCTGAAAAGCAAAGGCCGTCGTCTGCTCGCGGGCTCCTGTTTGCTCAAACTAGAAAAGGGTGAACGCTCAGCGAGGGGAGAGAAGCGGGAGAAAAGAATGTAGGCCAAGTCAGCAATCGCTCGTAAACCAGCCTACCACTAGAGCCCGTCGCCACTTGTCCACTCCCGAATATTACTGATCCGATCAATCTAGCGCCTCGGGTTGGGTGTCATCTAGTGACACTTGAAGTCCCTCCTCGCTCAAGGTAGCTGAGGGCCTCGGCCAATCTGTATCGAACCACAGGATACTTTGGTTTGCCATCACGTCGTACAATGCTGCAGCCAACACCTCAGCCCCTGAGCCCCGATCGCTCTCCACCGAGCCTCGGTTCGGGGTACATAGCAAGGCCAACCCACGACTGGGTTTCCTAGGGGCGGCCCGGGATTCCGATAATATTCAGCTCGTCAGTAAGCCGCAGGAGTATGCGGAGCCAGCCGAAAGGGCTGCTCCCGAGACAAGGCGCGCTAGATATAGCAACTCAAACAGCACCTGGCGGGCAAGCCACTGCAATCTCCACTAGGCTCTTCCAGGTTCTCGGTGAGAACTATTGATCGTTCGACCGAGTAATACAGCCTGTCAACAGCAACGCCGAGAGCACCACTCATCCGCGGCTGCCAGAAGTCTGGGCTGGTGGAGCCACTGCCGACGATACACTCCTGCACCAACCCTCGGCCGCGGACACACTCAGTAGCCACTTGTTGGCGAGCGCTAGCATTCTAGCGGAGCACCGGTGGAGCATAGATAGGTATACATACTCTAACGTGCCTTCCCGATACCAAGTGACCACTGGCGGCTACCCCAGGTCAAACTCCAGAACGCTAGCAGTCGAACTGGGGGTCACAGATGGCAACTCTGCATCGTCAAAATACCCGCGCCTCGCCAACTTGTTCAAGATTCCAAGAGGATAATCACGGGGCGGACGGAAAAGTTCTGGCTCCCACCGGTTTGTTGAAAGAAAGCAATCTCCCACGAAATCCAGTCGAGGAGTGCGGAGGCGACAGAGCGGCATGCCATCGGCATCCTCGGCGCCGGCACCTCGCAGCCAGTCCCCCTCGCCTGCCGCACCCTGGCCCTCTCCCCCCGGAAGCCCGCGACGACGGACGACGTAAGTGCGGGTCCAGTGATGTTGCCGATCAGGGGTCCCACCATCCTCCGGTGGGTGGCGCAACTTCATGCCCGAGAAGGACAGGTCACTAGTGCCGCGCATGAAGGGGTCGACGGCAGACGGACCAGCCGGCGCGCTGCGCTGCTGGCAGAGGGTGAACGCATAATCGCTCGCCTCCCAGCGGCCTTCCTTGGCCTTGAATAGCGACATTATCCTATCCCCTTTTACAGTATGGGATGAGGCGATTCCTAGCACCGCCATGTCTTCTTCCTCACTGGGACGCTCCGTCATCGAGTAGCGTCTGCAGGGGGTGACATAGTCGCAACCGATGACGCAGCGTCCCGCCATCGTGGTGGATATGAGCCGTAGAAGACCCGGTGCAGTGGCCAGGTCGCTTATCCCATCAAAGACCTGTGCGAGTAAAGGCACCGCCTTTGTGATCCGCAAGTTCGAGACTTTGATGGCGTCGAAATATACCAGATTTCGGAGATCGATTTTATCCGCTCGGCTGAGCTGTGGGATAAACATGCCGCCTGCAGTGACAACAAACGTAAACCTCTCGAGATAGGCGCCTGGGAGGCCCTCCCATCTCTGGGGACCATGCCTGGCCTCCATAAAGATGGAAAGCTGTTGGGGCGGCAACACTTGAGAAAGGAGAGCCGAGAAAGAATCTTGGATCCAACCAACAACCCCTCGCAGATCGTCCTGTTGGGGAAAAGGACATGTCTTGAAGGCCACCGAAAGTGGGAAGAGCATGTCGTGGCGAAACGGCGCAACCATCATTCTGACCCTTTTGGCATGTGTCATCCTGCGTACTGAGTGCATCGTCACCGCTGGATTCTTTGCAGATCGTTCCAGGTCCGAGGCCCAATGGTAGGTGTGACAAACGGCAGCACGGAGGCGGTGGCCATTGCCATCGCTTTTTCGAGCAACTGCCGGAATCAGAAATTCTGCGTTCTGCAGGAATAGGTCTTCATCGTATCCGGTAAGCAGTCCATCGGATCGTCTCGTTGTGCTCGTTTTTCCACCATGAGGCGGACAAGGCCATAAGTCCCACTGACTTTCAATCCAGAGCGGCAGTCGCCGGCGCGGGCTCCTCCAGTCCGGGACCCAGGATGGCAGGCCAGATGTGCCAGTCACCCCATCAGCTCTCGCCAGCGCTTGGCCGAGCACCCAGACGAAGGAGCCGGCGTGGGCGATAAACTCGGCAAAGCGAGTAAAAACCGGCTCAGGAGGTGCTGCATAGCTGAGCTTCATTCCGGGTGCCGGCGATATTTGACTGTGGAATAGGTTTTCTCTGACAATAATCTCAAGGTTCCTGGTCCGGGAACCCGTCGTAGACAACAGCCTGAGCTGGACATCCTGGGCGAGGGATGCGATGGTAAAGATGCGATCGACAGGGTCGGCGCATCCAAAGTGATCAAAAACACGCATCAGTTGAAGCAAGCCGCAGTCGCCCGACAGCTCCCCGGAGATTGTCTCGTTCCATAGCTTGTACATGGCGAGGAAGGATTCGGCGGATTTTGAAAGCATTTGGTCCTGGGACGTATATAGGAGTTTGATGATGGCGACCAGCCGGAGAAACGCTGTGCTCTCGGTCCCTGCGAACAGCACGACGTCGGGGCTGAAGACGACCTCTTGGATAATCCATCGCCGGCTGAACCACGGCATGCTCAAGAGAGCGCATGCGCATCTTGCGAGCTCGCTTGTGTCCTCGGCAGACAATCTGCTTTCGCGCCGCAGAATGAGATTCCCTAGTGCGCCGACCCTGGCCATCGTCTTTTCCGTCTCGCCGTCACTGCCGAGCCAGACGAGGACTCTTTTTGCGCTGCGATATATATCAACCATTCCTGGAATCTGGGAGTCCTTTTCTTCGACATCTCCTTGATTGATGCAAACGGCGTCGGCCCAGATCACTCGGGGTTTGGACTTCTTTCTGAATCTGTGAAGGGCAGTCCACAGATTTTCCGTGACGTGCAGGACCCCCCAACCTTCTCCGATGCTGATGTACAGTTGACGGGTCATCTCGCCGTCTCCCCAAGTGTAGGACAGAGCCTCGTAGGAGACCAAGTCTCTGTCACAGTCGACAACGTTGAGCCTGCATCGAAGTTCGTCCAAAGGATCTGTTGCTGGGAGTAGCTCGAGGAAGCGAGTGCAATTGGCGTGTGGAAGCGAGGTATAGTGGTACTCCGCGACAGCTATTGTTGAAGTGTTGTCCATCGCAGCCGGCAGCGCGATTGATAGGGGTTCGAACAGAGGGCGATGAGGGCTGGGGTATCCGAGTCGACTGTCTCTTCCTCTTGTCTTGAAGTGACGGCGAAGGTCTGAGAAACCGCCCGCGCGCGGTGCGGGCTAGCCAGGTCGTCTCCTGGCCAACGCTGGGCCATCAAAGAGGTCTCCCCGATGTTGGGCAGAAACTGGATCGGCTAAGGTTGGGCTAACTTCATGGAATGAGGAGCTGAGCTGCACCGCCCCGCGGGAGGGGCGGCGCAACATGCGGCTGCTGCCAAGGTACATCTCACGTCAAAATGAACTGTCTGTCGTCCTGGTAAACACAGCCAGAAGGATCAACCTGGTAGAGGTTAAAGTAGAGGCTCCATTAAAAGGTCGATGGATGTCAGGGAGAGGCGAGAGGCAGCAGATTGTGTGGTCCGTCGTGCCGTTCGTGGGAGAGAGAGCTAGTTGGCTACGGAAGGCTGCGGTCCAGGAGCGGGGCATTGAGGTGCTGATGCTCCTGCTCAGCTGTTGTTCGGTTTCTTTTCCCCCAAAACTCAAGCCACTGCCCGCCATATTACTCGTCGTACCTTCCCATCAAATTGCACAACAAAGACCACCTACTAAAACACTGTCCGCGATTTTACCCGTCATATCTTCCAGCCAAATCACACAACTTCTGTGGGGGATTATTCAGGCTGGGCAGGTGCCCCACCCATTTCTAAACCCCGATGACAGCCTTCATACCCTGCACGTGACTTTTCGGCGATATGCCTTCGACTAGGTGTTGAACAATGGGGAAATACTAGATTTATTTCCATGGAACACCCGATGAGGATGGCAGGGGAACTTGCGGTCTCCCTCCGCTGCACATTAACGTGACGAATGAATGGCGTCAGAAAGTTAACGCCGTCGCGCTGCAACGCTGTCCACGTCGGAGTTTCCCGATTGGGAAGGATGTGGTGGTGTGAGCCCACCGTCAAGCCTAAACGCCGTCGCCGGGCTAAGGGCAGTGGTTGTCGACATGCCCTTTCTGCGCGGGCCTGGAGCGAGTATATCTTGCCAGCCTCGCCCTCCCACTGTTCCATCTCGACCCGTCATCCGACATGCTCAGCAAACCCTATCCAGACAGCAGACATTGATCTCATCCCAGTACACCCAAAGCCCTGATTATCCCTACTAGCCATCTCTACGCCAGCCCCTGAGCCCCTTTCCGCCATGGACCCCAAATCCACCGCTGTCTCCTCCACGGCCACCCCCCAGCCCGAGGCATCGCCCAAGAAGCAGGGAAGGCTGTCCAGCCTACTCCGCGGCATGCGCGCTTCCGTCAAGCAAGGCAGGCGCGACAGCGAGACCTGCGGCGAGTCTCGCAGTTCCTTTGAGTCGACCGACACTGTCGACGAGCTAAAGGACGCGCAGACAAGGACGGGATCCGCCACAGCAGGTGAGCCAGGTCTACATGGTGCTGTCTACTTGAGGGCGGGAAATGCTAAACCTACATCAAAAAATTGCTCTAGCCGATGCACACAAGAAGATCTCAAGCCCCCGAAAACCCGCCAAGCAGCCCATGACAAACATGGAAAGACTCGCCGCCGGGTACGGCGCCTGGGTTCCCGAGAGGAGCGTCGAGCCACGCGCCGCACCAGCTCCGCAAGGCAGCACCGACGCCAAGATCAGTTCTACAAGGGGCGGGCGGAGGCAGGTTTCTTCACTTGACAGACTTCTTGTCGGGCAGGGTGGTTGGGTGCCCGAGGAGCGGCGCTGAGAAGTCGGGTTTTGTTGATGGCTACGAAACGCGGCGGCAGATGCGGGTTGATTTGTCGAGATTGCGATGCCACCAATGGTTGTGGCAGAGGGTCATTACTGCGTATTCATGGGCACAGAGAAACGAGGCGCGTAAGAGTAAGCGGTATTATTATAATAGCCAGGAGGCGAGCGCCCCGGATTGTCATGATAATTCCAAAGTGTATGATCCAAGAGAATGATGGAAGCCCACAGGGACAGAGGTCCAAGTATCAGAACGCCGGCGCTAGCGAGACAGGAAAAGAAAGAAGCCAGACCTGTGTAAAGGCAACATGGATAGACACGGATGAAAAGAAAATCCCACAAGTCATAAACGGGCGTTAAAAGCAGCCAGCCCATCAACCGAGCGGCGTCAGGCCACCCCGGCACGGCTTCTTGAGCTCGGCGAGGCGGTCGCCGCGCAGGCGCCAGACGCCCTTTGTGCGGGCGTCGTGCAGCTCCCAGTCGGTGCCCTCGGTCAGGCGGTGGAAGGGCTCGTGGTCGGCGCCGTCGGAGCTCGCGAACAGCAGCGGCTCCCACTGCTCGCCACGCTCGAGCTCGCCGGCACGCATGCGGCGCTGCGCCTGCTCGAGCTTGGTCTTCTCGGCCGCCGCGGCCTTGTGGTCGGCGCCGGCGCCGAGGCCCGCGATGACGCCGGCCCAGGCGCGCCGCGACTCCCAGTGGTCCTGGTCGTCGAGGGGCGCCACCTCCATGGGGGCCGGGGCGTTCTCGGGCGCGTCCACGTCGTACCTTTCGACGACGGCGCCCGTCTTGCCGCACTTGACGGTCCAACTCTCGCTCCAGCAGCCGGCCGTCTTGAAGAGCGTCTTCTTGGGGTCCGACTTGTGGAACAGGCGGGCCTCGAACGAGTTGCGCTTGCCGCGCAGCACGCCGGCGCCCGTGAACTTGAGCTCCGAGACGTGGCCGGAGCTGGACACGATGTGGTAGGTGCCGAGCACCTCGGGGTACAGGCAGGCGCTCAGGAAGCCGCGCACCTTGACGTCGGGCAGCGGGATCAGGTGCTCCTCGTCGTGCCTGTCGACGCGCACGATGGCGTGCCCGACCTGCCGGATGTTGACGCTGCCGTTGAAGGTCATCTCGACGCGCGCGTAGCCGTCGGCGCGCACGCCGTGCTCGGGCGCGCTGGCGATGTGCATGGCCGTGATGGGCGGGTGGTGGCTGACCTGCTCGGCGACGAGGCGGGTGGTCGTGCGGGTGGCCGTCGGCGGCAATGCTGTTGTTGTCGTTGTCGTTGTCGTCATCGCCGTCTCCTTCTTGCTCTTCTTGTCGTCCGTCTTGGGTTCTGTCGATGCCGCGCTGGCATCATCGCCGTTGTCCGTCCATCCGGCTAGGAAGAGTTCGCCGAGGAAGGCGTTGAGCGGCTTCTTGATGCTGACGCCCGGGGCGGCGGCGACGTAGACCTCGGGGCGCAGGGCGACGAGGACGAGGCGCTGGACGGCGAGGGCCCGACGGGCCGGGTCGTCCTCGAAGGCGGGGGCTGCGAAGACGCGGGGCCGCTCGGCCCAGCAGTGGCCGACCTCGACGACCGACTTGGGCGCCAGGAAGGACGTGGGCCCGGTGACGTTGGAGAGGTCGCCCTTGATGGAGGCGAGGAACTGTGGCGGAGCAGGGCCGTTGTCAGCGGGATCGGCCCCAGCTCAGGGGGAGCTTGCCTGAGCCCCAATGGGCCCCAATGGGCCCCAATGGGCGAGGGTTCGTGGTGTTGGACTTACGCTTGCCAGCTCGCCGAAGCGGGCGGTGATGGATTTGGACTCGGCCATGCTAGCGGGTCCTGTAAAGAAAGGATGGCCCAAAACACGGCAACCAAGGATTATTGGACAGATAACCAAACAAGAATACTCGAGCGTCTCTTCTTGCAATTGCAATCCTACACCGTTCAACAATATCCAAATGTTAGCAGCAGTTGGGATGCGCAACCCAGCCGCGGGAGCAGCCGGACGCCCTTTAAAGGAAGGGGAACGCAAGCCCGCGGGGTGACGCGTTGCGATAACAGCGATAGGCTTGAACAGCAAAAAGGGTGGGAACGGTGAAACGGGCCTCCCCGCCTGCCTCACGACCGTTTCAGCGCAACAGCGGGGGGGGGCTCGGGTTGATTGGGCTGCGGTGCTTCCACTGCCGACTTTAAAGATGGGCCGCTCAGCAGAGAATAGGCTCACCTTTTTCTTTGTTTTTGCCGGCTTCAAGTCAGCACAATGGGATGAGGAGGATAGCTCTGTCTGCCGTCGACATGCGCAGGGCCCGGCTGCCATGTATATATCGTTTGCACCTTTTTGACTTTGACAAAAGTACGAGGAGGCACTGGAGAGTCGCAGCATAAGTGGCCCCCGGTATTTGCCTCGCCCTCGCCCTCGCTTGCGCTGCAGAAAGGGCTGGTTACCTGCTGCTGTGCAGGCTTGGCTGGCGAGTGCGCAATCATGTGCCGCCGGGCCCGAAAGCCTCACTCACACGCACGTAGCGCATCCTTGAAGAGAGGGTGTGGGTGAGGATTAGAGCAGATCCCAAATTTAGCAGGCCGAGGCCGATTGAGGGGCACGGCGGGATCCAATGGCACGGCACGCTTGTGCGGCATGCAAACATCACAAAATAAACCCAAACATGAGCGGGCTAGAAAGCCGCCGTCAGTTCATGTGCGCCTTGACTCGTGGTTCGCTTCCCCCGTTTCTTTACAGCCGCGCGCGCGCTGCCCCAGCCAAAAAAAAACCCCCCAAGCAGGAATTGACGGTTTGAAACGATCGAACCCCGCGACTGACGCCCCCCTCCTCGGTTCCCTCCTCGGTTCCATTCGGCCAAGCCCGTCGAAGCTGCTGCATGCCCGATTGTCGGGGCGGGTAGTAGGTATGTGGTCATCCGGATCCCAGCGCTTCCGGCGGACTGCGCCCGATTGTGAGTTCGTCACCGCGTGCGCCATTATGGGTACCAGTTTTGTGGGTTGGGCAGTGGACAAAAGGCGAACTGTTTCCCCGACGGCGCGATTGTCGACCCGCCGTCGCAACGAGCCGGACCCCAGGTCCTGCAACTCACTTTCGTTTTTTCCCACCCATTGGGCCGGCTGCAACGTCGTCGAGATGGGCCCCGTTTTGTTTTAGCTCGGGTCGATGGACCAAGCCACAGAGACACGGCCTTCGACGTTCCCCCTTCAATCTTCTTTGCCAAACATCCTCCACCCCGAACACGTCGGCATTCATATCAAATGCCATGCTAGCATGTCAGTTGCCATGTAGCCACTTTCACGTGAGGAAGCGTTGTAAAAGCTTGAATCGGCTTTGTTAATTGTTCATCCGTCTGTCCGGAAAACGCGCCCCACGACACACCAGCCAAATGGCAGGGTGTGATGAAGGGTTCGGCGCGCTTGCTCTAGGTGCTTTGTTTTCGCATCCTAGGGCGGGAAAAGAAAAAGGGTAGAACTGAAGTGGTTGGACTAGTATATACACATCGAAAGGAAAGGGTCTTCCGTCCCTATAACATGGCCAATCCATGTTCTATCCCGCCCAGCAAGCTCAGAGGAGCCACGGTTGGTGTGCTCGTATCTCGCTGCGAGCAAGGAAGGAGAAGCAGACAAGGAAGACAATGTCGTCGTCAAATGGGAGGGAATTCTGGCTCGACACCAGCGCATCACCGCCAAGGCGCCCTGGGTTTGGCCGACAACTTGCGCCGCGCCGTCTCCGGGCTAAAAACAGAAAATGGTTGAAAGGTGCTCAATGGCAGGTGTTGAAAGTGCCGAATGACCGCGGTCCTCGTGAGAATGGGGACCGACAGCACAAAAATGCGAGTTCACCGTGGGCGGGGACGAGAATCAGAAGGGCATGAATGTCACGAAATGAAAAGGAAGATGGGGTTGGAGCCGCCTTAGCGGGTGGGTGTCTGACCAACACTGCAGGAGGAAGAACCAGGTTAGTTACCGCACGCTAGGAGAAGGGCAGATCATCACATGGGCTGCCAAGACGAAGTTTTTGTTGGGGAGACTCACAAGTTGCCGGCAGGGTTGTAGCGGGCGACAACGTAGACGCCGCCCTTGCCGTCGTTGGCAATGCCCAGGCCGACCGTGGTGCTGCTCTTCCAGATCATTTGAGCTGTGCGAGTATGATATTAGCGGTCTGGCCAAAGAGAAGGGGCGCATGGGAGGTGTCACAAGGGCGAATGTCCGGATGTTGCACGAGAATAAAATATCCGGTGTCACCGCATCGACACGAGGAAAGGGAAATTTCCGCGCAAGGGTGGGAAACTCACTGTAGTGGCCGTAGGCGGCAAAGTCACCCTGGCCGACAGGCTGGCCGCCGTACAGGCTGACCTCGGAGGCCCACGAGTCGGCGGCGTTCTTGCAGGGCGTCTTGTCGTGCGACTGCCAGTACAGGTTCTCGCCCTGGTCGCCGCGCTGGCCGCTGGTCGAGTGCTGCAGCGACCCGACCGAGACGAGGTTCTGCGCCCACGACTTGGCGTCGGCGGCCAGGCCCGCGTCCCAGGCCAGAGGCTTCTGGCCCACGGCCGCGCGGGCGGCGTTGTGGGCGTCCAGTGCCTTTTGCTCGTCGCCGCTCAGGCCCGAGGCGGGCGCCGCGGCGGCGGGCGCGGAGACAGGAGCAGGAGCAGGCGTGGGCTCGACCTTAACCTCGGCGGGGGCCGGGGCCGGGGCCTTGACCTGTGGTGCGGCGACGGTAGGCGGGGGAGTGGGCGTTGGCTCGGCGGCCGGCGGAGGCGCCGGGGGCGGGGTGGTCGGCGCCGGCTCAGGGGCGAGCGTGGTCGTGACGATCACAACCTTGTCCTCCACGGGCGGGGGCGGGGCCGGGGCGACGGGCTCCGGGGTGGGCTGGGGAGCGGCAGCCACGACCACAGCCGGGGCGGTGGTGGTGGCGGGCAGGACCGAAGACGAGGTGGTGCAGGGACGCTTGCTCTGGCGGAATCGGCGCCCGCCCTTGTAGTAGGCCTTGCGCTCGCCGGGAGTCGACTCGTTGGGCAGGGCCAGAGCGCTGGAGACCAGCAGAGCCGCCGTGAAGAAAGCCTTGGTGGAGAACTGCATCGTGACGAAAATGGTAAAAAGATATCGGGTATAAGATTTTTTTTCGTGCGGGTCGTTTGTCTAATCGTTCTTTTCGATCTAGTCGGGTGCAGCAAGGACTGTCGAGACACTGGATATCAAGGAGTGACTGATGGCTCGGCGTTGTTGTTCTTGCTGTAAGCTTCGAGCTTGGAAAAGGAGTGGTCCAGCGCTCTGCGCGACTTCGGTTGACAGAACGCCACGAAAAAGGAGTGGACAGGCGGTGATGGCCGAGTGTGCGTGCGGTGAGGGTAGGGAAAGGAAAAGAGGTGATATCGCGGCGCGGAGGGCGGGCGTCTTATACCATGCCCAGGTGAGCGAGGATCAGGAGGATCTCCCCCCTCCATGCGGTACCCGCCCACCCCCTTCTCTGCGGCCCCTGGGGGAGCCCACCACCACACCTCGTGCGTGCGGCCGACTGTGCGGTCGCAGCCAAGGGAGAATGGAGCATGGGGGCACGAGCAGGGTATCCTCCCTCGAGGCCCGCATGCCAGTTCTCTCTACCCCTCAGTTCCAGTTCCCTTCCTTCGTGCGCCGGTAGTTGGCAGGGCGCTAAATTCGCAAGCGACGCAGCCGCTCACTGTGCAGCAGCAATTTTTTCCGACGCAGAGGCCAGTTCGTCCGATCACCAACCATCTGGGCTTGGCCTGAACGGGGAGAGGGACTCGCCCTTGTCCCCTTTGCAGGGGTTTTTATTAAGGCCAAAGGCACAATCCGCCCCACGTTTCACGCAAGAGAAGCTTGAAGACACGGAGCTGGGTGAGGTGAGGGCTGGGCGGACTGGGCTCGGCGTCGTCTGTGTTGGGGAGAGAGAAGCCAAGGCGACGAGCCTTGGGTTAGGAGCTGACTTGTCGCGTGGCCTGGACAGTGCTTTCAATGCTTGGCCCCCGCCGCCTGCGCAGGAGCAACGTCAGATTGCCAGTGCGCCGATGGCCGCGTCGACGATCTTTGCCATGGGCAGAAGGTCGTCCGTCGGATGTGCTTCCAAGATTGCTCAGGCCCAAATTCCCTGGCAGCGTCATCAATCTAACCGCCGCCGATAAACAAGGAGTGGGTCAATTTCCGTTTGTCGTTGCTGCCAGCAGGGAGCTTAACAAAATCACTCATTTTGTTTGTTGGGTGTGCCTTTTTTTCCTCGAGTCGGGGCGTGGTCCCTTGGTGCCTGGCCCTTGCAGCTGTGCAAAAGGAATGGGATGGCAGGATCAAGACATTGGACGGCAAGACCTTTACCCCCTATTTCCATGGCGGTTTCACCATGGAAGCCCGAATGCGACGCGTCTGTCAGGGGCAGCATTGGCAACGGCAAGGGTGTGGGCCCCGCACCTGTGCCGCTGACGTAAAGCGGCCCTGGCGCCGGGCGGATTGGTGGGAAGGAGAAGAAGAAAAAAATAAATGTACGCTTTATTTGGGTTTGGCAATGGCTGACCAAGGATGCACGCATGCCGGTACCTGGAATGGGCCTCCCGGCGTGGAGTTACCGCTTGGCAGGGGTCTCGCCAACTGCCCGCTTCACGCGGCTGACGGGCGAGACGGTCTAAAAAAAAAAAGAAACAGGAAACGCAAAGTGATTAATCTCCTCGCTTGCGCAGCCCGCGATGGCGCAGGGCTAGTGAGACTCGAATCGCATGGGGCAGACTCAGCCTGAGAAAGAAAAAAAAAAGCAGCTAGCAGCTGGAACATATCGATGCCTTCCTCGATCCCCGCTCGATAACCGCCGCGTTTCACCCCCGACACTTCTGGCTGCTCGCCATGGGGTGAATGAGATTGATTTGCACCTTGGGCTAGGAGCGCCCTGGGTTCTGGGGTCATTGTCAGGACATGACGCAGGCAGTTCGATATTGGTCAAAATGAAAGGAAGGCCTTCTCATCGAAAGGACGGCCAGCTCATCACAACCACAAACACTGATGCCGTCCGCCCGGAAACCACAAACATGACCGCGGGATTTCACTGTGCGCCTGGGGTTTGGGTATTTTCCAGCTTTCGCGTACCGTGCTACCGCCAGGATGGAGTGGCTGGATACACACGACGCAGCCTTGGTTTGACCAAACAAGGTGCAACCAGCGCAGCACAACCTTCGGGCTTAATCTCGACACAACCTCGATGCATGGCCATCCCGTCCGGGTGTCCCGAGTTCCCAACGGATGCAACTTGACAGGCGATAGTGTGGTGCGCGCCATGGCCAGAGAACTCCCCAGTCGCTCGCAAGGGCCCAAATCCTCTTGGAAGCCAGTTGCCCTTGGGTGTTCACACCGTCTTCCCCATCCATGCCCCCATACATGCCTAGAATCCCGCACAGTTCGCCCGCCCTGTTGGCCTGGGGCCCGCTGCTTCTGGTTCTGGAACCTGCCAGGTAGGTATCTTGAGTCTCTTCCTTGTTCCCAGCCTACTAGGATCCTCATCCAACTTTGCTCTCCCACGGTATCCTCTTCCCCTCATTTCACCGCCTGGATTCGAGAAACCGGCTCGCGAGGTCCTCGCCTCCCGGATATTACAGCAACCAATTATCTGGGCCCTTGCAGCAACCCTCGGGCCTAGATGCCTTGGCTCGAGCCGCCTTGGTCGGAAGCCCTGGCGCCCAGCCATCCAGTCCGGCTCGCTCTTCGCTCTAATTTTCCGTCATTTCATCGCCCGGCCCGAACGTCATGTTTCCTGCACCGCCGCCGGCCCTTCTCCAAGACAAAAACAGCAAAAAGAAGACGGCCAAAGGACGATGCGTTCAGCCTTGACCACTCTCGCTTTGCTCGACAGATAACCGTTCCGGGGCTGAGTGAGGCGCCTTGATGTGTACGTGCGTTCTCATGGAGCTCGGCCTCTTCTTTGGATCTCGATAGATCGTCCATGATTATCGTCCACCTTGGCCTCCATGTGTTTTTTTTTTGTCCCGCCGATCGCCCTGCCCAACTTTGATGTGCAGTGGCCCAAGCACAACAGGGCGTGGTAAGTCGGACGGGCTTCTAGAAACGCAAATACCGCACAAAGTAGCGCACGACTTCTTATTTTTCTTTAGGGTCTAGGTCATCCAACCGATCCTCGTATTTCATGCGCCGATGTTGCCGCGGCATGCCCGCTACTCAAGCCACCACAAGGCGGACGCCCGCGATACAGAAAAGGCAACGTGTGCAGCTGTGCATGCAACTAACATGGAGCCGTCCACCACCAGCCCCTTCGCCAGCTCGCTGCTCTGCTGCGTCGGCGCTTTTTTGTGGGCTACCTTTTGGAGACCTTTCCTTTTAGGGCTGTTTGCGCGTCCGAATGCGTTTGCGAAGCGAAGAAGCCTTGCATACGATCTCGAGTGTTCTAGCGCGGTTGCCCGGCTTGGACAGTCGGCCTGCATGTAGATCCGCGATTCTAGCTGTTTGTGTAAGGTGCCGTATTTGCTGGTATCTTCCAACACTTTACAAACAAGTGCTACTCTGGATTGGTCGCGGCGCGCGCTCTACTCGGCTAGGTTCCGGACCACGTCGGAAGCTGTATCCGTCTAACGGTGTCTGTTTTGGATCAAGTTCAGCGCAGGCAAGCCCTGATGCTGAACGCCCTCGCGACTGCGCATCGTCCATACTCGACTACCCTTACATGTTTTCTGTGCGGTGGGCGAGTTTGGTTCGCGAGTAGAACATCACAGCAAACGCTGAAGAGGAAACGTCAGAGCTGACACGGCGGTAGCGTCTTGCTAGGCTTATCCTTTTGTCATGGTATATCTCCTACGTGCCTGGACCCAACCGCGCTCCTTACGTCGCCACACTCGCAGACATTTCGCCCCGGTAGTGATGTGTCGAGTCTTTTGGTAGACACGCCTGATACCAGGACTAGAATAGTAATTGGTGATGTTTAGCGTACGAGAATATATGCCTCGATATGTATGTCAACGCCTAAAATGATATCGACTTGGCCCAGATCTTGCCCAGCAACAAGACTATCCCTTCGCCCCCTGATGCCAGCGTTCAAGAGATTCTGTCCCGAAGGTCGACTTCAATATACTCTTTTCCCGTTACTCGCAATCGCCGATCCCTCCGAATGTCCGCTTGCGATACGCGGTGATCCTTACTACCAGGCCATCCACAACATACCCTGCCAGCAATAGCCAGTAGCCGGGCATATTGATGTATGCTAGTTCAAACATTTACACAGCTTACGCCGCCCATCGGAGCGAAGGCGCGATCTGGTGACCCGAGTCCCCTCCGACACCGAGTCTCGGAAAACGGCCCCCGTCCGGCGACGGCCTCTGCTCGGCACCGCAAGGTCACCTGAAATTCCTGCCGTGTGCAGGTCCGACAAAGACAACATGAGTCCGCCGTGTGTATCCCTTGGGACGGCGTTGGCGGCCTTGGGTAGCGGTGTTCCGCCCGAAAGGTCGAAACAAGTCCAAACGCGTCCCGGCGCGTCGCCACGAGCACTTTGCAATATGGCGATACGTGTGCATATTTCGACTCGTCAGCTCACCTCGAAGGCCGTGCACATGTGGTTGTTGGGCGCTAGTGAGAGGAGAGGTAGGGGTCGCTGTTACATGATGCGACCACAGCACCGGCGTCGTCGCTCGCGCCGCAAAACCCCGTCGATGGGATGATTCTCTCGTGCCGAAAAGGCGATAGAGATAGTAACCCGATGGCAAAAGGGCCTGGTTGTGCCGGGCGGCCTAGGGCCTGAAAGAGACCCCGGGGAGTTTTCGCTTTTTGCGCTTCGGATGAGCATTTTCGCCCCGTCTTTTTTGGCCCTATCGAATTTCACGGGCTTTCTGGACTAGTTCATATTCGTTGTTGGTGACCTCGAGCCTTGGGTGCCAATCTCGCTACGAAATGCCGTAGTTGTTTCCTTCAGGAATAATTTCCCTGCTCACATCACGAGATGTTCGCGCCTAAGATCACGTGCAGACATGGTTCCCCAACAACCTAGATTGCCTGGCAGCCCGTTGACAATTTTCGAGGCCAGATAGAGCGCGACGCCGACAGGAGGTTGGTAGAACGTCACTCACGGCGTGTGGCGTCGTAAGGGCGCAGTCAAGCATTGGCAATGACGGCACGGGAAAGAAGACTTGTCGAGTCACAAACTGGCCTGCTGGAGGCTGGCGCTCCCAGCCACTTGGCAGCCTGCCCGGCCCGGCCCGCGGTTCTGCATGACCGTTGGAAGCGGTTGCGGGCCGGACGTCTTGCGGTTAACCAACGCGTGTTTTTATAGTTTTTATCGCCGAGACGACCCGAAAGCCTTTTCCGTCTGGTCATAGAAGGCGGGAGGCTTGGGGGTGGGCCCACCAGGCCTCATCGTTTAGTTGCATAGCGGGCCCACAGCCACACCTGCGGCGCATGTGACGTCGCGCAGCTTTCGCGCCAATTCCAACCTCAGCGACGAACCGAGCCGCCATCGCTGCCACGCTGACCCAAGCAGCACAGGCCTCCACAACAACAAATTCCCCCTAGCTGTGGGCTGCCGAGGCCGGCAAAAACAGCAGCATGTCTCGGAGACCACCCAAAGGAGAATACATCGAGACGGTATGAAATCCTTCCCGCGTATCTCCAGGACCGACGCCGTTTGGCAGGCACCTTGCCCACCGCCGTCTTTGGGCGCCCCACCGAGCTAGGCAAGGCTCCTTACAGGCTCCCCACGCCGCAGACACTAACACGGTCCCAACCCATCAGGACTCGGGCAACAAGGTGTCGCGCAAAGCCATCCTCGTGGGCACGCAGAACATCATGCTCGGCGGCAAGACTGTCATCCAGCCAGAGGTCATGATCAGGGGCGACCTGTCGCGCACCGCTCCGTCGTCCTCGTCCTCGTCCTCGTCCTCTGCCTCTCCGACCAGCAACACCGCCGTCACTGTTGGCCGCTACTCATTCCTGAGCCGGGGTGTCTTCTTGCGACCGCCTGGCCGTATCTATAAAGGGTTTGCTCATCTCCGATTCACTCTGTTGTTTCTACATATCCAGTTGCGACTGACCACCCCCACCCCACACAGGGACTTTACGTACATGCCTCTGCGCATGGGAGACCACGTATTTGTGGGCGAAAGGAGTGTCGTCCGGGCCGCCACCATCGGGAGCCATGTGCACATCGGCCATAACGTCGTCGTTGGCGAGTTCGCCATCATTAAGGACTACGTTCGCATCCTAGACGGCACTGTCGTCCCTGCCAACACCGTCATCCCTAGCTTCAGCATTGTCGCCGGCCAGCCGTCGAGGATCATCGGCGAGGTGCCCGAGGGAGACCATGAGGCCTTTGAGCTTAGAGAGCTCTATCGGACAGTCGGCAACAACCCACAGCCGGCTGCTGTCTGACCCGCCTTTGCGGCGTCACGTGTCTTCCATGCATGCGCCCAACACGGACCTGACTGGATTAGACTTTATGGATTTCTGGGAGCTCGCCGGTCTGAGGGGGAGTCAGGCTCGGCGAAGGGGCCTCGGCAGAGTATCTCAACGCCCATCTCGGAGCTCCGGGGGCGGCCTCCTGAGCCTTGTAAAGTTTCCTTGTTCCGTCACTTCCCGGCCCGGCCTGTGCTCTGACAGCACGGGCTATCCGTTGGTCATAGCAGCCAACGGATACAGACGTCATCACAGAGAATAGGAGGTTGGGAAATCTTGTTTCGAGCCACGTTGTTGGCTTAGCCAAATTCTGAGACGATGGAACCGGCAAAAATGAAAGTCTTAGCACTAGGTTCGATGCTGTTAGAGTCTAAAAGGGCAAAATGGTAGGTAGTTTGTTGAACAACTAGTTCACCAACCACTACCAAAACTTTATACCAACCACTCTCAACAACTCGTTCTGAACATCTGTCCTTTTAGCAACCAAAGTATAGGCTCCACAGGGGTGGTTTTTGGGAGCGCACCCCCCTGCTGGACTGCACCTTCGAGCATATTAACCCCCCTACTTTCCCGCTCTGGAACCTGGAATTCGGTTCCCTTCTGAAACAGAACATACCACTTTCTGACAGACCGTCTTGCTGAAGAAATCTCTACCTGCTCAAGAACTACCACAAAGCAGCCAGCATGCACCGTCGTGAAGACTCAGACACTGTGATGGAGGATGCCTACCCAAGGCCCCCCTCCATCACATGGGGCCCTACCATCTCCTGGGAGGCTGAGGTCGACTTGCTGTGCTACGCGATCGAGGATCTGAGCATCGACGATGCTCCTGTCAAGATCCCTGCGCGTCTGCCTACGCCTGAGCCGACGGTGGTCGTCGCGCGCGCGGTCATTCCTGATGTCAAGGTTCCCGTGGTTCAGCCAGGAGAGAGTGATCCCACAGTCGCTTCGGCTGACGAGGGAATCCTCGACTGGTTGGGCTGCGAGAACGCCTTCGACAGAGGAAGGATTGATCTCGGGCTCGGCGATCCCCGTTTTCTCAAGTGTGGGCGGGAGTACAGGAAGTCCGTCAAGGGCGTCGTCTGTGCGCAGCCCCGAGAGCGTGTGGCACAGCCGGTCGTCCCCAGTCGCCCAGGCAGAGTGATGGGTGGCAAGTCGGCCGTCGACCCATTCGTGGCATTCATGCTCGATGGGATCGACGTCGACGGCAAGGCTGCAAAGAAAAAGAACAAGCAAAAGCCCAAGAACCTCACAGAGGCCTTGCTGTATCCCTACTCTCTCTACTAAGGGATGGCAGCGGTGATTCCCTGGCCGGGTGACCCGCAGGCGCTCTGCCAATAGACAAGGCATCGCCGACCACAGGCACGTTGTCGCTATCTCAAAGCACACTGCCGCCAGAACAAGATCCTATAGAACAAAGGAAGCCGTGAACCAGACGTGCTCTCCCTACCGCAACACAGTCTCTCTCTCTCCTGCAAGGAACTGCGTAACCAAGCACGTTCGGGAGACGTCTTCTGCAAAGAGCGCCTCAGGGTCCTGCTCGGAAGACTGCCGGTGAAGCCGTGAAGCCTGACAAGCTGGCAAGCCGCGCAACCACTGGAGTCCGTCTGCCCTCACGGGTGACGCTCCCTTTGCCTGTCCGTACTCTCAAGCGGCTGGCATCGTATCCGACCAAGAGTCTCTCTCTCCACTCATCAAAGTCCTCGGACCGAAAGGTTCGCAGGCAGACTCAATCACTGGTCTAGCGAGGTGTCCTGATCCTCGTGAAGCAATCTCTACAAAGAAGCTCAGGACGGGGCGCGCATGAAGCCTCGTGAACAAAGAAATCCTACGTCTCCTGCGGAGGGCGCTAGGTCGGCATAACAGAAGTCACAACTGTTGCGGGTGCCGTGAACCATCATCTGCCTCTCCACAAACAAAAGAGCAAACCAGAACAGACTCGCCGCAGACTACACCAGCTGCCGCATCTCCACTGCCAGTGTGCGGAGGCTTGCCACCTCTCGACCGCTGATGAACAGCAAACAACCCTCACTCTCTCTATCCCAGCTGCGAGCAGACTAGCCATCCCTCAAAGCTGAAGGCGCGGAGGCTCGTCACCTCTCGACGCATCACCACTACCAGTGCGCGGAGACTAGCCATCTCTCGACCGCTGATGAACCCCAGCATAGCAGAGCCTAGCCACCTCTTGCCGCGCTGATGCCAGCAACAGAAGCGGGGATGGGTGACGCCTCTCTCGCTTCGCTGATGACTACAAAAAAAACCCTCTCTCTCTCTCACATACACACACACACACTCTCACTCACTCTTCATGGCAGGGTTTGTATGAACGGAGGAATTTTCTGTTTTTGCTGTTGTGTTTCCGTTTCCTTGCAGCGAGAAAAAAGGGCAATACCCACCAAAAAAATCTTTTGTTTTGTTGTCGTCGTTGTCATTTCCTTGCAAAAAAAAGGGCAATACCCACCAAAAAATCTCCTTTTTGCTGTTGTGTTTGCGTTTCCTTGCAGCGAGAAAAAAAAGGGCAATACCCACCAAAAAAATCTCCTTTTTGTCGCCGTTGTCGTTTCCTTGCAAAAAAAAAAAAACCATGGGCAATACCCATCAAAAAAATCATTTGTTTTGTTGTTATCGTTGTCATTTCCTTGCAAAAAAAAACCCCCAAAAAAACATGGGCAATACCCACCAAAAAAAAACCTCCTTTCTGTTGTTGTCGCTTTTGCTCCTTCTTTTCGTTGTTTTTGTCGGTGTTGATTCACGTCTTCATCTCTCTCGTTTTCCTGACTCCCCCCAAGAAAGAATGGGGCAGCCTCAAGAGGTTTGACGTGGGTCTTTCATCAGTTGCGCCCTTCCTAAAGAAGAATGGGGTAGCCTCAAGAGGTTTGCTGTGGCCAACGCTGTTGCATCTAGTTTTCATTTTCTGCTGTCGTCTCTACTCTCCTGTACTGCTGCCATGCTTTGTCATAGCGTGATTCCCAAAGAAGAATGGGGCAAGTCGGCGTCACAATACACACGTGTCGTGCCGAACCATCTCTGTGTTCCTTTATGCCGTGACTTGTATGCAAGGTGTGATGTGATGGGATGTTTTTCCTGGTACCACATCCAGCTGAGCCGATCGGCCAGCCCTACCCACATCGTCAAGTAGGTACCTAGATAGGCGGCTGACTGCACACTACGCTCACATGGCACGAGTAGCGCTACAGAGTTGACCTACTAGCCATGTTGGCAGAGATATGACCCGAGAGAAGTGAAAGGAGAAGCACGCTCAGTGCACAGATACGGCCACCAACTCGGCAGAATCGTGTAATCCGCCCAATTGACCGTTGCGTCCTTGAACACCTTGATGGGCCCCTCTACCCCGTGCGGTCCGACACTCTAGACCCCTCGCTCGGCCAGGCCTGCCTAGTGGTCTAGCACGGGCCGACGCCCTCACTGTAGACGCCTGGCGGCACGCGGGTACGCTGCCGGCACCTTGCCCCCGTCGTCCCAGCGGCCGCGGGACGAATGAGCGCCAGCCCGAAACGTCGACCTGCGGGGCGCCTGGCGCGCTGGGGAAGATGTATACTGGGGCGAGGTGCCGTTCTCTACCGTGACGTCCCATTTGGTGAAGTGCCGGGGCAGGTGAGTGTAAGGCTGAGCGGCGGCAAAAGCGGCGGCGGACGCGGGTGGGGGGCAGGGAGAGTCCTGGTGCGATGTGGTTGGATGTGGTGGGGACGGCGTGCTATGCCCAGGAAGGCACGCGCGAAGGACGGGGGGGCCTGGGCTGCGGGTGCTCATCCACCGGAAACGCGTAGTCGGCAATGTCATCTGGGTGGGAAAAAGAATGTGGCGAGGGTGCGCTGGTGGCACAGCATGCCGCCGCCCCACACAGCCTCGCAGGAGTCCATGTGGGTGTCGTACAGGCGCACGATGGTGTCGTCGGGCTCATCCAAGATCTCGAACGCCGAGCCGTCCAAGAGACCGCCCTCGTCCGGGTGTGCCATGCCATTTACAAAGTAGAAGAGCGGGGCATGCGGACTGCGTGTGGCAGCGAGGAGGTCTGTCCGCGGCGGATTGTTGGGCATGACGAGCTGGTCGTCCCAGCGACTACCGGAAAAGGATCAACGCGTGGTGCCAACTCTCGACTCCAGGTAGAAAGCACCACCAAATGGGGCCCGGCAGCCCAGTTAGGTATTGGTTGGCTGGGACCGCAGGCAGCCGAGCACTGCACACCTCTGTCTCAGAAGCCAAGGGCATCTATAGTAGCCATCATGGGCATGACCAAATGGCCAACATAGGACCCGCGGGCCGGCCCGGCGCCGAATCAGACCAGTTCAATCCTCTCCGTCTCCTGTGCGGCAAAGATGCTCAACCCTCCCATTGCGGCCCTCGAGAAGAAGTTCCCCACGCGCCAGTACTTGCCAGGCTGGTCTGGGACGGGGCAAAGGACGATGCCCCAGCAGTCCCTGCCTTGGTTGGGATTCGCGCAAACCCTCGTGGCCGCAGCCCAGTCGAGCTCGCCGTCTTCAAAATGGGTTGCAAACTCATGTGCGTCCTGGCCCACAGGCCAGAGCCCGCAATGGCTCACCCAGACGTCGGGGCTCTCAGGCATGTCCTGGTATGTTCTGCCTTTGCTCTCCAAGGGAGGCTCGCTTTCTTGGACCGGGTGCTCTTCAGGGCGGGATTCCCCGGGTTCCGTCCAGTGGACAGTCTCTTCGTCCGGAACATTGGTGCAGTTGCTTGAAATGACCATGAGACGCAACCCATTCTCGATTTCTAGGTCGGAATTGCACAGAACCAATTTGCTGTACGCAGCCTCGGAAAGATGCTCAGCCTGGTCGCTGCCCTCGCCACCCTCGCCATCCTCTTCCATCCCGTTGCTGCCGTCGCGGGGGATGGAAGAGGGTTGCGCAACAGGCCATTGCCAATCGGCGTTGATATGAACGTAGCGACCGTCACCAAACCCTCGGAATAAAGTTCCTGAATGCCGGAGGAGCCTCGAAAGGGACACGGATCGATAAATTATTGGAGGTAAAGGTGTTAACCTGCCCATTAGGACTAGAGAACTGCCCACGGACACTCGCCCGAATGGGTTGCCGCCGCCGGCAGCGACGTGTGCCTCGACGAGCTCGAACTCTGGGCGGAGGTGTGCGCGGGGACCTCGGGGCCTGCTATAACTCGTAAAACCCAGCCCCCACAGCTCGGATCTGCGGCGAGACGCCCAGCTCCAAGACGGCGCAGATGCGCACAGGGAAGTGCCCTTGCCGCTGGCCAGCTCATCCAACAAACCGGACAGGCTCGGCTGGAAAAACGGAGGTCTAGCAGAGGTCCATAAAAGACCGGCGTGCAGGTCGCTCTGCCAAAGGCCGGCGAGGTATCTGTCGCCCAAAACGGCCTCGAAGCTGCTTGCCAGGCCGGAAAGCGCAGGAAGGACATCTTCTTTGTCGGTGAGCTTGCGCAGGCGTTCCGTAAAGGCCGTGACGATACTGTTCCACAGGGCAAAAACCATTTGGCGGTTGCCAGACAGTGTTCGGTCGTCAAGGTGAGGGAGATAAAACGGGCTTGTCTCGGGCTCATGTGCCTTGATCTGTCCTGAGGTGCCGTTCTCGCAAAAGATCATGTCCCCGAGCTGGGAGTAAAGCATCCCCACGCCAAAAATGACCTTTCGCTGCGATAGGGCCATCTCCTGAAACACCCACGCCCTCGAGAACCACTGGCAAAACTCCAAGTCCTCTTTTAGTAGTGAAGTGGTGCAAGTGGCGACACTGCCGCTCCGAAGTCGCGCGGGATCGACTGCTCTCAAGTCGATATGCAGGCGGCCAGACGGGTCCAGCGGGGATCGGTACGGCAAAGGCCCTGTGACGGACCAGCGCTCTTCAGGGCTGAGAAAGCCAGACTGACACGAGCGCGATCCCGCGGCACAGATTGTGACCCATGCATTCTGGAACACGCGGCCCATATCGCCACTTTGCTCCTCCCAGTCGGCCTGGTCGCCCTGTACAATGCAGAGTGCATCAATCCACAGGTATCGTATTTTAAGCCAGCGGCAGACACGGACTGCATCCAGCATTACTGGTGACATGGCGTCGAGACCTTTGCCGTCCAGATGATGCTTTAGGCTTTCTGCCGTTGTTTTGAGCTGCTTTGAAGCGTCCTGGGGGCCCCAGCAGTAACTGAGGGCGGCATACGCCATTATGTCTTGTCTGCTCGCCTGGTCGAGAGCAGCAGTTTCGACGAGAATTGGCGAGCAAGTGTCGTCGGGGCCAAGATCCAGCAACCTCTTGGGAAGATAGGAGCCCGCGGCGCGGCATGTTGAAGGTGGCGTACCAATCGTATTTTTCAAAAACTCCAGCTGCGATTCGACCAGTTTACTTGCTGGTGCCCCGGGGAGAACCCCCATCTGCGCCAATTCGGATAGTTCCTTGTCTGGGTGTTTGGAAAAGGGTTAATGCTGCATTTCGCACGAAGCCCCTTCCTTCTGTGAGAACACCTTACCGCCAGTACTGGGACTCGCCTGTGGACGGAATGCACAGGCCACTCGAGCGTTGCCGGCTCCCAGAACATTGCACAAGGGGGGGTTCTTGGCATCTGGGCGCCAAACACCTTTGGCATCGGCCATTCCCTTGCACAGCACCCGCACAGCAGCAAAGTATCTGCCCTCATTCTGGTTGTGGCTAACCCTTGGCTGATCGGTCCCAAAGGACCGGTGGGTTGAGAGGTGGTGGGCAACCCAGACCTGCACACGGGTCGGCTTGTTTGGGTGCCAGAGTTGCTCGGTCCAGTCCTTGCCGTATTCATTGATTGCCTCGCAGAGGAAGACACAGAATGAGCAACCACGTTCGTATTTAAATTCGAAGGTGGGCCAATCGGTGACAGCGACGAGATGGTAGTAGATGCCGCCATCACTGTTTTTATAAGTCGGCTCGGCGGCGCCGCCGCCAGGAGCAAGCCCCCTCAAGCCGCGGTCAAAGGCCCAGGTGCAGTAACGACAGAAGGTAGCGCCGGTGGCGTCCTGGGCTGGGTTTGGTGAGGGGCTTTCGGTTGGGCCTTTGGCAGCGCTGAACAGGAGCCCCTTGAGGCGCATGACCAGGTACGGCAGCCTCGCAAACAGCCGCTGTATCGAGCGCACCCCTTGCATGTCTGGCAGAAGGGACATGCCGTCTCCAAACTCGGTAAAGAGGCCTCCCGTGGGCTCTGCGTCGTCGAAGCATGCTATCGACGCCAGTGCCTCGAGAGTTTCGGTCGTTACGATGGCCTCGTCGTAGTTGTAGTCGTCTCCGGTCTCCATCTTCTGCGCCAAGAGTTCCCCACCCTCTGCCAGGGTCTCTATTTTGTTGAACTTCCATGGCCAATTGCCGATTGCTGGAGCTAGGTGTTCCATTTGGTTGAAGTCCTCTGTGCGTCTTCTGGGCTTGCGGGTTCGTGGCGAGCGCTTCTGTTGACTGATGCGTGAATTCTCGACAGGAGCGGGGATGCGACATCTGGATACTGAACTGATCCCCCATCGCCCGGCGGGGATGGTAAGCAAACGAGCCTGCTTACCTGGGTATGCAAATGATTGGAAGAAGAGACCCTGTTAGGTGGGGCCGGCTTGCCCCCGCAGCTCCATGTTGGTTGGCCCATCCCTGGTGTTCCTGCCACTTGGAGTCAACATTACGAGGTTCCATCCATGGATGGCATAGGTATGCTCGCTGGCGAGCGTCGGTTCCTTCGAGGCAGAGCAGCTCTGCCCAGAACCTCGTGGGGGCGCACAGCTTCCTGTCTCAAGCTGCCCCCCGCGCCGCAGCCGGACCTGGCCCCGTCAGCCAACTGCAACCCTACATGAACCGCGACGACGTAATCGGCCGACATTGGAATATCAGCTTTGCAGTCCAAACAGGCTCCTCATTGGCGGCACACACCGGACGCCCACTTGCGGCAAGCATCATGGAAGGATTTACGGGAGTAGGCGCCGTTAGACGCTAGGGCTGAAGAATAAGGACAAATATATCAGGTTGGCCTGATCTCCCGGCTAATATACCGTTGTGCTTTCGGCGCAATGCCTTTATCCTTCCTCCTAGGCATTCCTCATCGAACGAACAGCACTAGCTACGCTATGGAGCCTTTGAGCATTGCAACCGCCGTGGCCGGTTTTGCTGACGCGGCTATGCTCGTCGGAAAAGGCATCCGGCTCCTGCGTACCATCTCAAACGTCGATTCCGACTTCCGCAGTCTCCTCAGCGAGCTCGATGCCCTACAAATCTTCGTTGACCAGGTTTCCCGAGTAATCGAGGAGATCTCGCAGCCCTCCATGAAGGCTTCTGAGCCCTCCCTCGAGCACCTCGAAGCTGTCCTTTACCGTCTTGTGCAGACTACCAAGGAGCTCGAGTCGCTGGCAAAAGACCTGGTCTCTGGCGCGGAGGGACACCTCGGCCGGGAGGGAGGGACCAAGATCTCAAAAGTCAAGTGGCTGAAGCACAGGTCTGCGACTACGGCGCTGCGCCAACGCTGCCGCAGCTCGCGCGAAGATATGAATTCTCTCCTGGGCCCTGTAGGACTTTTGCTACAAAGGTGACGATTCCGAGTCCGTTGAAGCTAATGGCGAACGTCCTGGGCTGACATAGTCTCGCGCGTAGTGCACGCCATGCCCAGTTGACGCTCAGGGTCACTGAAGTCCAGGCCGCCATCACACAGGTCATCAACCAGGCAGCAAAGCGAGCAATGAAAGAAGCGGTGACGCCTGCTATCCAGCCCCGGACGACCGTGGCCGCATCCGCCTGGGGGGCGAGTGAGAGTCACAGCAATTCGGCGAGCTTCGATGCATTTGCGGTAGACGCCTCCGCCGCCAAAGGTTGTGGCTATAGGTGCCGATGCCGATGCCACATAACATCGCGAATCCAGACACCTTCCTGGCTGTGCTCGATTGTGGGCGAATACCTACTGCGGTACAATGCAGTCCCCTTCTTCGACAAACGGCCGTGTGACTCGGCAAGTTGCCTTGCGGGCACGAAAAAGTTCATTCGCCTACATTTGCATTTCCCTCCCTGGCTTCTGCGCAGCGCCATCCATGTTGCCCTGTTGTGGCATGCCTTTGGCAGCCCAGGAGCTACAATGTTTTTCGCCGTGTCCAGACCAATATCCTTCGGTCCAATTTGGGCAGCAATCCGTTTCAATAACCTCAGTCGACTTCGTCAAGAGTTATCCGCCGGCGAGATCCTCCCGACCGATATCGACAGCACAACCGGTGAGGCAATACTGGCAGTAAGTTCTATATGGTTTGAACATTAGCCTCAAGTCACCTTTGAGGGAGAGGTCCAGGTTTGCAGCTTGCCTACGTGCTAACCACGCGCATGCGTCGCCTGACAAGCCGGTTTTGCGCGAGTGTCCCGACAATCCTGCTGTCATCAACATCTTCATCGAGTCCTGGAAGCATCACCTGCCCAGGGTCGTCGGCAGAAATGGACTGTAGGTGTCTTATGTCTATCTTGAAGGCAAAGAGGAAAAACGCGAATGTGCCAGGACTGACAACTTTGATCCACGAGAATAGGTCTGCCTCAGGCATAGCCCAAACGATGCTGTGGAAAACCCCTCAGCTTTCCGCCGAGGTGAGGCGAGCTTTAGAGCGCATTGTTACCCTGGCCTCCAACCATTCGCCGCCGCCTTCCTTGATACGCGACGCAATTCTTGGGATTGGCCCTGTTGGTTTGGGCAAAGCTCTCGAGATCGAGCCTCGCAACGTCAACGTCCTAGATTGCTACGGACTGTCCCCGCTCCACTGGGTCGCGTACCGTAACGATGTGGCATCAGCTCGACTCTTGCTGGAAAACAAGGCGAAAGTGGAACTCAAGGACATGCCGCTGGGGCGAACGGCGCTACACATCTCGTGTCTCCTCGGCCTTTTCGACTTGGCACACATGCTACTCTGCCATGGCGCCGACCCAAATTGCGAAGACTCGATGCAGATGAACCCCTTGCACTATGCGATGGAGTTTCCCGATATCGTCCGGCTCCTTCTGGATTTTGGCGCGCTTCCAAACGGCTCCAGGAGGCTCGAAAGGGCCCCTCTGCACTACTTATTCGGCCTTCGAACGGGTGCCAAGGCAGGGGAGGCCATAACGACCATCGCCGCCGCCGGTGGGGACACCAACCTTAAATCCCCCCTCGGCGTTTCCACCCTTGACCTTGCCGCTGCGTGGGGGGATATTAATGGCGTGGAAGCCCATTTTCTGTGTGATGCGCGGCCTGATCTTTCGGGCCTGGGGTTGGATCACCTATCCCAGTGTGGGTGCTACTCCATGAACCTGCAAGTCATTGAAGCCCTCAGGGGAATCGCTGGTCGTATCCAAGTTGACATTGACTGCCTGGGCAGTACGTCACTGGCTGAGCTGCTGCAAGGCAGGATGCAGTCCCGGTGGCCGATTGAGGTCCCCGAAAGATTCCCCCGCTTCCTCAACCCACAGCAACGGACCTTCCCTCCTTTGACGTACATGGCCGTCTACAATCTCAACGCGCTGATTGTGGAGATTAGGGAAGCCAATTGGTCAGCTGGCTTGTTTCTGGAGTCAAGGGGAAGGCTGCTGGCGGGTGGTTCACATCAGAAACTCAAACGCTGGCTCGGGAAGCAGCTTCTGCGCATGCAATACGAGCCGAGCAATGTGGATCGAATCTGGGATGACCTCGACGCGGTTGGGTATCCGTTAGGTCTTGGTAACCCAGTGACCGACTCCAATACCAGCCTGCCCAGCAGCGGTGAGGATACTGACCCCTGGGACGGAGAACAGTGGGCACAGGCGGGACTCAACGAGGGGTCTATCTTTGGATTCGACAGTTTGTTCGGAGAAGATGAAATCGGCAGCCCGGGCATTCTTATAGGCACCCCCGACGAGCCAGAAGGGGACGAAGACGAGTTTTTTGACGCCCTGTAAGAGTGTGCGAGTCTGCCAACCGCTCGCCCCAGCTAGTCTGTCTGAACCATGAACCAGCATACAGCTTAAGAGAAATAATAATAAAAAAGGAAATAAAAAAATAGGGATGACAGAGAGCTGTCACCAGCGCCGAGCAATACCAAAAGCTTCGTATCTTGTTTACAAAGGGTCTTGAGCACAGGTATGTCGCGCCGAGCTCTAAGCAGGACACACCCAGCTCGTCGAGTTGTTCACGTCGCCGCCCTTGTACTCTGCGCGACGGTCAAACAGACAGACGGGCCGTTGCGGGGGCGTCAGGCTGATTGGGGTCGAGGTTATGATCTGCGACGGCCCCCGCGAGCCGCCGCCGCCGCCGCCGCCCTCGACCCAGTCGATCAGCGCCAGCAGCGCGTTGGTCTCCTTGGTGTAGTAGGGGACGTCGGGCACCAGCAGCACGTTCTCCGGGTTCTGGTTCGCGCCGCCGAGCCACCAGGGCGCCTGGCCGTTCGGCTCGCTCAGGACGCAGTGGCCCATGGCCGGCACCTTGAAGTAGCGGAAGAAGTCGGCCACGTCGCCACCACCGCTGCCGGCCAGCGCCGCCCGCGTGCGGACGTACAGGTCGTCGCTCGACCCCGGCGGGATGACGGCGTCGGCCAGGCCGTGGTACATGATGATCTTGCCGCCGCGGGCGCGGTAGGCGGCCATGGCGGCGAGGCGGTCGGCCGTGACGTTGCCCGGGTCTTGGCGCTCCGAGACGAGGCCGATGCGGTCCTCGTAGACGTTCCAATCGATGGGAGGGTTGGTCGGGTTGAGCGGGTCGGTGCGGTCGAGAAAGTGCAGCTGGTACTGCGTGTCGAAAAAGTTTAGGGCGACGAGGCTGGTGAAGACCGTCCAGCCGCGCTCGCTACCGGGGAGCAGGGCGCCTGGGAAAAAAAGGCGGCCGTCGATGGTGTAGTTGCCGTACATCAGCTTGGCGATCTCGACGTGGCTGGGCAGCAGGCACGTCGGCGGGGCCTGGCCGTTTTTGCATAAAAGGTCGTCGACCGGGGGATGGCAGGCCTCGGGCCGCATGATGATGCTGTCGCGCGGGTCGTTGGGGACGGTGGTGGTGTCGCAGGTGCGGACGGAGAGCTGGTATAGCAGGTCGAACTGCCACGTCTCGTTGAGCCGGTCGGCCGCGGGCCGGCTGACCTGCCACGACCCGACCTTGGCGACCCAGGGCAGGTAGTGCTTGTGGTCCCAGGCGGGCGCGCCGATCAGCACGCCGTCGAAGGCGTCGGGCCGGTCCTGCACCTGCTTGAGCCCCTGGCGGCCGCCGGTCGAGCAGCCCATGTAGTAGGCGCGGCCGAGGTCGCGCTGGTAAAAGCCGCGCGCCATTGATTTCGCAATGTCGACGGAGAAGTCGAGGGCGCGGTGGGCAAAGTCGGCGAGCTTGTCGCGGTCCTCGGCCCAGGTGAGGTTGAGGTCGTCGCGGACGTACTCGGCGTGGCCCGTGTCGGTCGACACGGTGGCGAAGCCGCGCGCGGTGCCGTAGACCAGGTCCGTCCAGGTGATGTTGGGGAAGTAGGCGCCGTTGCCGACGGCGAGGAAGCGGTGGGCGTTGGCGGCCCACGCGGGCGCGTCGGGGAGGCCGAGCCCGAAGGCGAAGACGCTGCTGGATCCGGCCGGCCGGACCGACACCTCGACGTAGCAGTAGGGCAGGTTCGAGCCGGGGGCGTGCCTGAGCTCGGGGCCGTACCGGATGGACGCGATGGAGGATGGCCAGGTGGGGGAGCCGGTGAAGGTGGCCGCGACGCAGCGGTCGGCCTGCCGTCCGTCAAGGGTGGCGGTTGGCGATGCCGAGGCGGCTGTGGCTAAGGCCACGAGGCCGAGGAGGATTTCAAACGCCATGGTGAGGTGTTGGATGGGTGGGTGACTTGTCTTCCGCTCAACTAACAGGGAGTCTGTGATCTAGCGGCGAGCGCGTGGCCTCGGTTGAAGCCAAGTCTGAATATTCTGTTCGTTTCCGTCAGGTTTTATAGCACACCCTGGCTCTACTCCCCATCGTTTGATGATGGTATCCTCGCCATTGTGCTTGGGGTGTTCAGCCGGCATAATTACGGCCGTGATATGATGGTGAAGCACATCCCAGCGAGCTGCGGCACCTCTGAGATGGTGTGGCAGCATACCAGTGCTGGCTGAGCTGTGGGGGGTCACTCACGTTGCCAGACTTCCAACCAAAAAAAAAGAAAGAAAAAAATGCACATTAGAAACGTGGTTCGGGAGGATGCAGGGCTGACGTGCTGACACAATGCGCCGCTCCCTGATGGACCACGAGGCTGCTAAAGCCGCTCTTCCACGCCTCGAACGTCTCGCATTTGGGCTCGCACTTCAGAGTTGAAGCTTGTGGGGAAATCACGTCCTCATGCATTAGGCGTCGGGAGGGTATATGAGGCAAGCATCTGGCACACTGGGCCTTGAGAACCATCACCAGACCGCGAGCGAGCGCTTGGTTCCAGTTATGTTCATGGTTTGGTACTGGGTTGATGAAAACAGCATGCGGTTTGTGATGTGCTGTCGTGAGATTTGTCACAGACTCATCGGCTCGCGCCTTTTGCAATTCTTTCATCACGAGACCGACGGGCGATGCGGGAATAAGAGGTAAGCTCTCCAGGGGAGACTTCAGGGGTTGGAGTTGTGGAGATTCCTCTCCGGGTGTGGAGAGAAGGTGACAGAGAGGCTTGGGAGGAACAAGATGCGGTTAACGTCCAGGCTTGTAGATGATTGCCTAAATACAGCATATATACGGCACTACTATGCATTTAATATTTACAAGACAGAAACACGGCTTAACTCATGGAAGCCCTCTCCCATCAAGCCTCGACCCTCGCCGACCGCTTCCGCCCGCGGCCGGCGGCGGCCAGGACGTCGCGGACGCGGTTGTAGGCGGGCTTGGGGTTCAAGTTGCGGTCGAGCAGGGTGGCGTCGCCCTGGCCGGGGAAGGTGGAGGGAACCCACGAGTAGGCGTCGCTGGCGCCCCAGATGGTGATGCCGACGCAGCGCTGGACGGCCAGGCAGGCGGAAACAATGCTGCCGTAGTCGTCGGCCTGGCGCTGCAGGGCCTGCGAGTTGGTAGGGAGGCTCGAGTGGCGCACGTCGACCTCAGTGTAGGCGACGTCGACGTCCTTGGCCACGAACTGGTTCAGCACGCTCGCGAGCTGGTCGCGCGACCCGGTCTGGCCGACGATGAAGTGGCCCTGCAGGCCGACGCCGTCGATGCGGGCGCCGCCGCGCTTGATGATGTCGACAATGGCCAGGGCCTGGCGCTGCTTGTTGCCGGCCTGCTCGATGTTGTAGTCGTTGTAGTAGAGCTTTGCTTTCGGGTCGGCGGCGGCGGCGGCCTTGAAGGCGATGGGGAGGAAGTCGGTGCCGAGCACGCGGTAGAAGACCGAGTTGCGGAAGCTGCCGTTGTCCTCGAGCGCCTCGTTGACCACGTCCCAGGCGTAGCACTGGCCAGCGTAGTGGCCGGCGACGTTGCTGATGTGCGTGTTGATGACGCGCGTCAGGGAGTCGCGATTCCAGTTGCCCGACGAGACTGGACGTGGGTGTTAGCGATGGCGAGCCTGACATGCGGGTGCCTTTATACAGATAGGTATACAAAAACAAAAACGTACCCCATCCTGGGAGCTGGTTGTGCCAGACCAGCGTGTGGCAGCGCAGCATCTGGCCGTTGGACTTGGCAAAGCTAGCAATAGCGTCCCCCTGGCCGTAGTCGAAACGGCCCTGCTGGGGCTCGGTGAACTGCCACTTTTGCGTATTGCCGGCCGTGATGAAACCGAAGTCGGCCTTGTTGCCGAGGATGGGGCGGTAGCCGCTGTTGTTGATCTCGGGGTTGTCGACGGCGGTGCCGAAATAGAGCTTCCCGGCCGCCCGGGCTAGCTCGTGCAGCCGGCCGTTGGGCACGGCGCCCACGAGGCCGGGCCCGGCCACCAGGAGCCCGGCCAGGACGGCGCGGAGTGAGAAGCGGTTTTCGGGCATTGTGGTCGGCGGTTTCGGACAAGGAGCCGAGGGAGGGAACGGGGGAGTGAGGAAAACTCCGGTTGGGCGAGGGATGGAGGCTGCCAAGTCCAGGACGTTTCACAGTACTATAGACCGAGGCGGTCTTTATATACAGAATTCCCCTCACGCCTCACCATGGCCACTGCCCATGGCCATTGCCCAAGGAAAACATGTTTCCGTGTCTAGCGTAGGCAAATTCTCCGAGATCCTGTCCCCGCGTGGCATCCCAGAGCCGATCGTTCAAGCGCCAGGCCCGCATCGCTGCTCGACAAGGCCCTCGCTCGGCGGTGAAGGCCCGTCTCTGGCGCGGATAAAAGAGACGGTGCAACCTCTGGGAGCCCGGAACCCAACGCTGGGGAGGGGGCTCTGCGACGTCAACCCCAAGACTGGAACCCCGAGACCGGACTCTTTCGAGGGCAGCACCCAACGGCACGCGGCCAAATGCCGGACCGCCCACGGCAATGCAGTCTCCGGCATGCCAGAATGGGCAACCCCACCGATGGCACTGCTCCCAGATCGAGCCTCCACGTGCTTGGATCTGGTCCCGTCGGCGTGGGGTGTCGGGCGCGGCTGAATGCCATGATGCATTGATGACATAAAAATCGCACCAACGGGGAAGGGGCGCATGGGGCGCATGCACCCCGCGGCGGGGAGAGCTCTCCGTTCCTGGAATGCTAAAAAACAAACAAGGTCGACTAAACATCAGACGGTGCAGCGATGCTTGATGTGGTCGGATTTTCACCTGGCTGAGCTCAGTGGACACAATGAACACGAGGTGGCCCCTCCGCCCACGGCACGCCTCGACCTTGCGGCGGGACGTTGCTGCTCCTCGAACGATCAAGGCGTGATGCTTAATTCAAAGACATTGGGTGGTCCGTCCGGCGTCATGTGCGCACCCAGACATTGGCTGGTGAGGTCCTGTTGATTGGTAGAAAAGGGGTGGTGGAGAAGGGGAGCTAGGGCGGGAGTTGGTTGGCACTGTTGGGACGAGTGGTTGAAGGGGCCAGTGGTTAAAGTGGCCAACCAATGTGTGCAGTTTGATTCGATGGCATTTTAGGCGGAATGCATTCCTTCAGGCGCTCGAGGCTAGGCATTGGCCGCGGGAAAGCAAAACACACGACAACACTGCACGGATGGGGCGCACGAGTTCAGCGTGAACGGTGCGTTGACCCAATAACGTTGGAGAGGTTGGAGTCGCAGCGACTGCTCAGAAGCAAGACCTGAGCTGCTCAAAACCCTGCTGGCAGTTCCGCGGCCCGTCTTGGAGAAGGCTCGGGGTCTGCGAGGGACTGGTTCCACCCCAGGGCCCACCCAGTACCCACCACGGCTGACCCAGCCCGGGGGCGCATTTGGCCAGGAATGGAAATTCCCAACAGCAACGGATGCACTCTCCCCTCAGCATGCCCGGCTTGGAGCATCGGTACAACACGCCATGTTCGGTATTAACGACGGCACAGAGGCGGGTAAGGCGATTCGGCTGGCTGGACGATTCCAGAAGGCAGATAACGCAGCATTTCGCTGGCGCTCGTGTCCCTCTCGGCTACAATCAGCATGGCCTGCTGTTGAGGGGCCGTGCAGGTGCAGTCCCAGCCCCCAGAGATGAGGCGTGGGGTCGCTACCCCCCCAACCACCAGGCCAGGAGAATCTGTGAGCACAGATGCGCACTCTCCTTCACTGGATTGCAGAAAAGTCATGTCTTGGGCCCGGCATCGATCGTGATTCTTTGCATGTGAGGGTTCATCTTGGAGGGTTCATCTTGGAGGGTTCATCTTGGAGGGTTCATATTGGGGGGCGGACCCACGGCTGGTAGAGCAGATGGCACAGGCTGATTGAGCAGTGAGGAATGCGGCACAGGCGACGCACATATGCGGGTGATATTAAGCACCAGGAACCAGGCACCAGACGCCGCGGGGAAGGTTGTACTAGCACATCCCCAGATAGGGCTACCAACCCTCTTTGCTGTACTGTGGTTGTACATCTTCTGGAAACGACCTGCAGGCTGTCATCGCAGCTTTGATCTGCCAGTGTTTTGGCCTCGACGCAACGCGAGTTCCCGCTTCGACGCAAACCAGGGTCGTCTTGTACATTTTTGCACGCATTCCGACGCAGACGCCACCGTAAAAGTTACAGAAGGCCTCTTGGGTGGTACCTTCTCTGGCGCTCCTCTGGAATGCCCAGCGTTCCTGAGCGGCAGCCCCACCCAGGGGCTGTTGCTGTGAAACGACATGAATCGAGATAATAATAGCCCCCTGCGTCAATGCCACGGCCCCTTGTTGACCTCCACGTGATGTCGTGCCGTCTGTGATTTCCCCTCGCTCATCTTTCTACCAGCCACTCTTCACTCAAAGGCCAGTCGAGCCGGCTCTCGACAACGTCCTCGCAACAAGAAGAAAAAAAAGACACCTCCCTCAAGGGCAGGCAACCAAAAGCGAAAACATGTTCAGCAAGCGCAAGAGCGTCGACTGGACGAGCCAGCGGCAGTCCTCTCCCTCCTTCAGGGAGAAGCTGTCGGGCTTCGTCCGGCTCGGTCATGGGTTGGCCAGGAAGCCGACCTTGTCGCTGCTGAGGCAGTCGTCGCGCGCCGAGCGTCCGTCGATGGACGAGCGGCCCGCCGCCGCCCTGCCCCAGGTGCAGATGAAGGACTTTGGCACATCGCGGCTCGAGATTGACCTGCAGAGCCTCGAGGCCTTCCGCTGCCTGACGCCGCAGGGGAAGGACCAGCAGCAGCAGCAGCAATCTGCGAGCGGCGGCAAGCCCGGGTCGCCAAATAAGCCAAATGGCCTCGTCTCCAAGGCGGCCACGACGACGCCCATCGCCGAAATGTTCTCCTCGAGGCGCTCCGCCATCTTCTCGACCGCCACCGTGGTTGTCGCCGTGCCGTCGCTCGCAAAGTCGTCCCCCGCCCTCGTCGTCGAGCTGCCCGCCAACAAGCCCGGCCGCGTGACGGTCGACGAGCGCGCGCCCGCCGCCACCCGCGCCTCCTCGATCAGGTCACGCGCGCCCGCCGACACTATTATCCTTGTGCCGGCCGACATGGGCAGCTGCCGCAGCCGCGCACCCTCGCGGGCCAAGCACGGCGCCAGCTCGTCCATCGTGACGGTCGAGATCGTCGACTCGAGCCAGGGCCAGACGCACACGCCGAGGCCGTGGCCGCCCCCGGAGCCCGAGACCCCGGCCAGCCGCGCTCCGTCGAGATCGCAGCCCCGCGAGCCACGTCGCGCCGCCTGGGCGCCGTCGACCGCCGGCCCGCCCGCCACCTCGACGGAGCCCATCGTCATCTCGGGCCCCATCGTCCGGTCGCGCCAGAACTCGTTGGCGACGGCCGCGGGCCTGCAGTCCCGCCCCGGCAGCGCCGACAAGCGCCACTCGACGCCCGCCGCGCTGCCTCCGTCGCTGACCATCTCCACGGCCCCCGGCCCGCAGGGGGCGCTCTCGGCGGCTGACAACAGCAGCGTCCCGCCCGAGCGGCGGCGGCGGTCGTGGCAGCCCGCGTCGGTGGCGGGCACCCCGCGATCGTCGGGCCCGCCGTCCGCGTCGGCGCCCTGGCAGCGGCTCGAGGCGGCGCGGCGGCCGTCGGCGCGCCTCGACTCGAACCGGCTCGCGTGGCTGCGCGACCTCGAGGGCGGGCGTAAGACGCCCTCGGGCGGCGTCAACAGCGACCTGCCCGTGCTCAAGAAGGTGCAGGGCAGCGTGGCGGACAAGCTGGCGCGGTTCGAGAGCAAGGGCCAGCCGGCCCAGGCGCAGACGCTGCCGGGGACCCCGCTGGCGCAGATGGTGCCGCTCAGCCGGTCCAACTCGACGCGCAGCCGCACGTCGTCGGTGGCCGACACCTTCATGTCGACGTCCCTGACGGGCGGCGGCGCCCCGACCACGGCGCGCTCCTCGCTCGACAGCCACCGCGCCTCGTCCGTCTTCTCGCACTACGACGAGTCGTTCCGCGAGAAGATGGAGCGCCTGACGGCAAACGCGACGCAAAAGGTCGAGGACCAGGGCAAGCCCGACACCACAAAGATCGCCTCGACCTTTGTGGCGGTCGACAGGGGAGTAATGCATTGAGAGATCAAGAGTGTCTTGTGTTTTTTGGGCTTCTTGTCATTCTGGGCAGGCGATTTTGTGTTTTTGCATAACAAATTTTATTAGCACAGCAAGGGCGTTATGGACGGTTTTTATGTTTTTAATCAGCGCGCTAGATCAGCACCCAGCATCACTAAATTGGATTTTTTCCTTTGTGTCATACTCGTCACAGTCCTGGCCAAGAATGTTGCCTGGTTTTCAACAAACATTGCCTACTTTTTGGAGTTGTGAATTTGGAGAACCGTCTGGAACGGATTGACGGAACGCGAAGTCGGCCTATCTATAGTATTGATATGCCGGCGCTAATACGAGCAGAGAATGCCCCAACCGTCCGAACATGAGGCGGGCAGACCTTTGCAGGGACTCGCTGGAGGATAGTAACGAAAGTATAAATTATATATGGTTGGAGGATACAGTATAACCGCATAGAACAATCGGTTCTGGAGGGCCAGACCAGCGCTCCTTGTCTCTTTCGACATATCCCTCAACGCCTAAGCGCACGCGCACAAGTTAAACCGCGCGACGCTGGGGTCGTGGTCCGACACCATGTTGGCCGTGTTCTGCCAGGTGTTGACGTGCACGTGCTCGAACTGAGACCGGTTGCCCGACGCCAGGGCCGGGCTCACAAAGGTGTGGTCGAGCTCCTGCATGCTCATGTCGAAGACGTACGAGTAGCGCTCCTCGGGCGGGATGCCGACCACGGCGTCCAGGTCCAGCAGGCCCGACCTCTCCATAAAGGCCTGCAGCGGCGCGACGGGGACGAACTCGTTAAAGTCGCCGGCCGCGATCACGCGCGCCTTGGGGTCCTGCGCCAGGATCTGCGCGACAAAGTCCTGGAGGGGGCAAGAAAGAGGCAGTAGGTTAGTTTTACTGTTTGTCCAATCGGGGCGATTTAACTGTTTTGACAACTTACGGCCGTCACCTGCGCCTGCTGCGTCCGCTTGTCCACGGCGCCGTTCTCGGGCGTGCGCGGGTCCCCGTGCATGGACGAGCTGCCGCCCTTTGAGCTAAAGTGCACGTTGACGGTGAAGAAGACCTTGCCGCCCCGGAGCGGCCGCCACGCCGCCGCGACGGGCTTGCGCGTCGCCTGCCACGCGGCGCTGGCCGGCTCGACGCGGCCCGGGTTGAAGGTCAGGCCCTTTGCCCCCGGCAGCACCTCGGTCTTGTCGGCGCCGGCGGCGGCGCCCTGGTTCGCGTCCACGAGCGCCAGCACGTCGGGCCGGTACAGGTACGCGGGCCGGATGTTGCCGCCGGGCTGGCCGCCGTCCTGGTTGTCCACCGGGTCGACGGCGGCCCAGGTGTACCTCACGCCGCTGAGGGCCTCGACGGCGGCGACCAAGGTGCTGAGCGTCTTGTTGGCGGTCACGGTGCCGTCGTTGGCGGCGCAGCTGTCGTCCTGGATCTCCTGCAGGAACACCAGGTCCGGCGTGCGCAGGTGGTCGACCAGCTGGGCGGCGACGCGCGGCATGTGCGCCGACGTGGCGCACAGGTTCTCGACGTTGAAGACGGTGACGGTCACGCCGCGGCAGTCGCCCGTCGAGTTGAGCGTCGTGGGGCGCGGGTCGTAGGGCAGGCGGCCCGTCACCCCGACGGCCGTCAGGGGCAGGATGCGGTAGAAGCCAAACGCGTACGTGACGACGCCCGTGACGTCGGCGAGCCGGTCGCCCACCTTGGTGTCCTTGGGGTTGGAGGTGCCGTCGAGCGGGCTCCCGACCAGGATGGCCTCGGGGTTGCTGTCGGCCGCCGTCATGGTCAGGCCGCCGCGCGCGTTGCGGCCCGTGGCCGGCCAGTCGCCCACGACCCAGTGGTCGCCGAAGTTGTTGGGCCGGTTGAGCGACGTGGGCGCCCGCACCGTGACGAGCTGCCCGATGAGGCTCTCCCAAAAGTCGAGCCCGTACCTCGTCGGGTCCAGCACCGGGTTCTTGTCCGTCAGCAGCGCGGCCGCGTTGGGCACGCCAAACACGTCGCCGCCGTCCAGGGACGAGTACTGCTCCGTCGGGGGCTGGGGGGTGTCGACGCCGACGACGAGCGGGGCGGCCGCGTTGCCCGACGAGAGCACGCGCACGTTCCTGGGCGCCGTCAGCTCGGTCAGGAACAGGTGCTTCGCGTCGGAGCGGTACTCGAGCACGCGCCCGTCGACGGCGATGAGGTCGCCGACGCTCACGCCGGCGCCGACGTTGCGGTCGAAGACGTAGAGGGCCTCGGACGTCAGCGGGCTGTCGTCGGGCCGGTCCGAGCGGATCCAGAGGCCGTTGGGCCCCTTGGCCAGCACGACACCCGTGACGTTGGCGACGGCCTGGCCTTTCAGCGGCGACACGAAGCGGTTGCCGTTGATCTCGGCCACGCTCTGGGCCAGCGCGGGGGCGGCGGCCAGGGCGGCCAGCAGGGCCAGGGCGGCCGAGGGGAGCGACAGCTTGGCGGTCAACATGGTTGCGGGCCGGGAGGGAGACGCGCTGGAGGGAGGAGGGACATCAGGACGGCGTCGACGCGGCACGCGGCGCCCGCTTGGATTTATCTATGCAACTCCATGCGACAAGGCTGATCGCTGTCTTGTCCCCGCGGCGCCCCACAGGCAAATGACTTGCACATGTCGAGATAGGAAGCTGTCAAGCTCGGGCTGCGGGCCCTCGAGGGGCAGTTGGACGGTGCGACGGGGCGCTGATTGGCCGGCAGGGTTGCAGGGCCACTCTCAGGCGAATTGCCAGCGCGGCCAGCGCCAATGAGACGTCGCAATCTGCTGGCGTGGCCAGACGAGGGGTCTTTATCAGCCGCTGGACCTTCCCTCCTGGGCGCCCGAAGCCGGGCTGAGGACAGGGGCTGGTCGTCCTGAGTCGCTGACTGGAGGGTTGGAAAGCTCAAGATCTTGGGTGCTGCAGGGGTAGACGCTGGATGGGAGAAGGTGGCTCCAGAGTTCCATCTTTCATGCTGTAGCCTCACGCATCATCCAGAACAGACTCACCCCGACAGTGGAAGAGGTTCGACTATGTTTCTTGTTGATATTGATATTGGGACTGATGAAGCTGCACAATCCTTCATTCTCGTCTCCATTGAGGCTTTTTTTGTCATGCTGAGAATCCGGCCGAACCTCCTCCATCAATGTACTGATGCAACCCACATTGACTTCCAAGCAAGAACTTCAAACTTTTATGTGCTTTGAGTGCTTGCCATTGTCTTCAACGACGCCCAAAATGTATAAACTGTTGCCCTCGGCTTGTACACCAGGCAAGACTGCGATGGACATCTACCAAGGAAAGCCCTGAGCAGATCCAGCCATCAGCTATGGCTCTCGCCAACGATGCCCTCTTACTGCTCTCGCCCTCCCCATCGCTCGGCCGGGCCTCCCCGTCCTTCAGCAGCCGGGCCACGGAGATGGTCAACCTCGCAGAAAACGCACACCTGAGACTCGGCCCGGCTCTCCACATCGGGGCCCAGCCATCCAAGTGGGCAAGCAAAGCGCCGGTCGTCATTGCATTCCTGGGTTCGGATGAGAGGCAGTGCGACGTCGTCATACGCGGGCCGGGTATCGAGCCACTGCAGTGCGCCTTCCTGCGCCACCCGGGCAACGGCGTCGTCGTGTTCGTGGACTACTCCCAAGGCGAAACCAGCCGTGTAAGCCATACCGAGTACGGCCCGAAGCGCAAGCACAGGATGATGGCCCTCTCCCCCAAGCTCAAGACGAGCATCAGAATGGGCGCGCCCGCGACCAGACGAATGCGCTTTCTCATCTCGTGGCCCGACAGCCCTTACCCCAGGCCGCTGGCCAACGATGCCTGGCGCATGGGTGAGCTGCTGCCGCCTAAAAAATGGGTCCCCCAGATACGCACAGGGTTCGAGCTCATACTGCCCTTCTTAGACCGGCGCGGAGATGGTGAAATCCGTTACGAAGAGCTCGGGGCCGTGGGCCACGGAGGCCGCGGGCTGGTGAGCAAGGCGGTCGACGTGGATACGGGCAACCTTCTGGCTGTCAAAACTGTCAGAAGCGGCGATTCGACACCTCGGAAGGAACAGTCGATTGTCCGCCAGGAGCTGCGCCAAGAAGCCGCGGTTCTTGGAAGGTGCCGGCATGTGAGTTACAGCCCAGACGAACAACCTCGAGACGCGCCATCCATGGGCGAGCCTTTTACTGACCTGCCCGCCATCCAAAGCCACACATCGTCGAGTTCATGGGACTGCAGCACTACCAAGGCTCGCCGGCGCTGCTTATGCAGGTCAAGGAGGGCGATATCAGTGATCTCACCCAGTGGGTTCGCAACGACCCTCAGCTCAAGCCCGACATCTACTACCTGGCCGACGTCGTCAACCTCCAAATGCTACGGGCGCTCGACTTCCTGGCCAAGCAGGGCCTGGCGCACCGGGACGTCAAGCCGAAGAACATCCTCTTCGTCTCGGGCCCCGTCTCGGGCCCCGCCTCGTTCCACTTCCAGCTGACGGACTTTGGCGGGGCCAAGGACTGGGGCGATACCGGCGAGGACGTCGGCGCCGGCACCCCGTGCTACATTGCGCCAGAGCGCATCTGGGAGAACCTGGAGGCCACGTGGTCCAGAAAAAGGAAGCATTATCGCAAGGAGTTCTGCAAGCAGGACGTCTGGGGGCTGTTCGTGACGCTCCTGTGGATAGTCGAGGGCGACGGCCTTGTCGTGACCCATCTCGCCCCGGCCATAGATCGCTTCTACGCCGAGATCGAGCAGTCAGATACGAGTCCGGACTGGCGCAATGTCATGTCCAATGCGACGGCCGACTTCTACGACACGACCCAGACTTGGGGCCAGAGGGTATGCCCAAGAAGTGCGTGGGTGCGCATGGCGCAGCTGAAGCCGGAATATCGTGCGTCTGCCGCGGAATTGTTGCGTATCGTATCGTCGCAAGCGCCGCCGCCTTCCTTACCTTCGTTTTTCCCTAGGCTGCTTAACTCTTGGAATCGGCGACAACTCCCGGCCTGAAGACGCTTGTGACCTGACGTCACCGACATGACATGACATGACATGGCATGACATCCACCTAGGCCCTGGGGCGCCGTCTCCCCACAAGCTGCACGATTTGCGCAGAGCATTGGGGCGGGCGGACACTCGAGGAAGCAATACGTGGTGATGACATCACTTGCAGGTTGCATGATCTCAGCCAAGTCGAGCTGCAGCGGACCTGTCAAACCAGGTTTGGCCGCGGCCGCTCCGCTTAGAATGGAAGCAAGCATTGCCCAACCCGCCTCGCAATGGGTCGGGTATTGAGGAACGAGCCCCTGAGCTCACTGGCCGAGATAGGTACACATGCATGGGAAGCGGTTCGCGGTGCGCCCACTGGCCACTAGCATGCGAGAAGCTCTCCGACTTGCCACGGGCAGCTGCAGAAGGGAGGGGTGACTTGTGGGGGAGAGCAATGTTGTAAAAGATAGCAGGCTAGTGACTCAACAGTGTTTTTTTTTTTTTGTTTGGCCAGCCCGTCTCAGACGTTACCTGCTGGGATCTTACCTGCCGGGTCCAGGTCCTCGGTCCTACGTGGTTGGCCCTGACAGGGAAGAGCGTGCATGGCCGCCCCGTTCTGTGCTTCCCTGTAACCCCCGCGTGTCGTCTCCTCAAAGGCAGGGCGGGCGGACGAGAACCAGATGGTCGGTGCTCGCGTCGAATCGCGGCTCGAGGTTGCCAGGTCATCGGCCCCACCCAACGCCAGCCAACCCGCAAACGGTTGCCAAGTCAGAGCCCCTTTTTCGACCCAATAGGCGGTGTAAGCGAGCGGTGGCTGCTCTTTTGAGGGGGGTGCCACGCCCGCCATCAACACGGCCTCTAATATTCACGAGGGGGGATGGAGGACAAGTACCTATGTAGTGAAGGGAGAGACGGAGCCCAATTCATATCCACCAGCCCAGCGACGCCCAGGCAAGAAAAGGCCCCTCCATATCTATCCATCCATCAGGCCCTCGGCATCCGTCCAAGTCGACGTGAGCCGACCTGGCGTCCTGATCAGACTTACTACTACTGCCGCCCCTCCTCCCCGCCAAAACCAACACACTAACTACCTACTCCCCGCACCACAACCGCCACCACCTTGCACAACCCCCCCGCCCGCCCGCTGCTGGATCAGCGCCCCAAAGCATCGCCCACGATGACCTCCCGGGGCGAGGTGGTGTCGTCGGTGCTCACGTTCCTGTCCAGCAACAAGACGTTACGGAAAAAGGCCATCAAGACAGCGTACAAACATGGCGACAGGCTCTATCCCATCGTGCAGAGCATCCAGGCGGCCGCCTCGGGCGCCTACATGCTCAACAACACGCTCAATGGCACCCTCAACGGCACCACGCCCCTGACCATGGCGCAGCTGCGCGAGAGCGCCGACCTGACGAAAAAGACGGTCGGCGACGTCGTGGCCGTGGCCACCGACGTGGCGCGCGAGCTCGGCGCCCTCGTCACGCCCACCATGAACTTTTTGACCAACTCGGGCGCCGACTCGGCCGTGCTCTTCTCGTCCTTTGGCTCCATCGCGGCCGCGGGCGGCATCGCCTTCGTGGCCGTAAAGGTGCTGCAGGGCGAGGCGGCGCTCGAGCGCATCGCGCAGTCGCTCGACGGCATCCACGCGGCGCAGCAGGCCCAGGTGGCCCTGACGGCGCAGCGCGACTTTCCCGCACACGTGCACGAGATGGTGCACGAGCGCGTCATGCAGACGTCGGCCGACCCGGACATGGACCACTGGTTCTTCGTCTGGCACCCGGACAACGACTGGCACCCGGGCTTCTTCCGCAAGCTCGAGGAGCGGCCCATCGGCCCGGCCTTTTGCGGCTACACCCACCAGCTCGACACGGCCTTTGCCTTTATGCGCGCCGCCCGCCGCCGCATCGCCGCCAAGGAGGCCCAGGCCCGGTCCAGGGGTAAGGGCCGGAAACCCGTGCGCCTGCACCTGCTGATCCCCGCCTACCGCCACATCCTGATCCTCGACCCCGTGCGCGTGCCCGACGACATCGGCGACTTCGTCATGGAGGGCCGCATCCACGACAACCGCTACCTCGTCGTCTTCAACCTGCCCGCCGACCACGCGTCCCGCTACACGCGCGACGTGGGCACCTACCGCACGCCGCCGCGCGAGCAAAACATCATCGAGCGCGTCGTCGAGGTCGTCATGGGCGCCGACGCGCCCCCGCCGCCCGACTACCGCACCCTCGGCGGCGGCGACCTGCCGCCGGACGGCGACAACAACCACCACGACGACGCCGACGCCGCCCCGCCCAGGACCAAGGAGGAGGCCGCCGCCCTGGCCCTGCGCCGCGCCACGCCGCGCCGCGAGGACCGACGCTCGTCCTTCTCCGGGCCCGACGCCCCGCACCGCAAGGACGACGTCGTCGTGCGCGAGACCAAGAGGATGCATAGGAATAGGTCACGCCGCGCCAGCGTCGAGGCTGGCCACTGAGCTGCAGGCGTGTTTTTGTTTCTGCTCTCTTCTTCTTCTTCTCCTTCTTGTCATAAATTGCATCTGCATCATGTGTCAGGCACAGGCAGCATCTTCTCTTCATTTTCTCTTTTTCTGCATCTTTCCACCGGCAGGGTTTCTCACCTCTTCATTTTTTTTGTCATTTCTTGAACTATCGGCGCACGAGTTTCATTTTTTCCTTCACACTATACCATACAAGGCAAGATGCCACTGAACGCTGCCACGCTTTTTTAACGCAAAGGAACAGATCTCCTCATCCCCATCGAGGCCCAGTATCATGCGGGATCGTCGGCCTATCCTCGGTCTGTTGGAAATTGCAAAAGACCCCGGATCCGACAACGAGTTTTTAGATACCAAACAAAAAAAATCACAAAAGAATGATACACATGAGCTTTCCATTGTGCTTCGTAGTCGCTTCACCCATCCAAACACCTCAGCGGAGCCGATGGGAGGCCTGACGATGCACAACCGCCCATGTCGTCGTCACCGCATCTTCGGCGAGATGGAAGGAGCAAGACACACGGGCACGCCGAGCGGGAGGATTCACGACACTACAGGGGGACAGTGCTGGGCCCCCGGGAACGCCGGAACGTGAGCGAACAAAAAAAAGTCACGACGCGGCCAAAATGCGCAATGATGAATCAAGACCGGGGCCGCCATCATCCCTCCTTCCTCATGTCTTCACCGAGGTAGACGGGAGACCCGCAGTTGTGATATGTCAGGGAGGGAAGGGGGGCTGCCTCCCGGGTGGGTTTCCGCGCCTCTTTTTCAGTTTGGCCCCCAGAAAGAATTCGGCAACGCACTCTTGAGGATGGGTAGGATTTTGCATTCTTCCAGGGCGCCCCGCGGGAAGGATTCAAAGTATGCCTGCGAACATGGGATGACAAGGCCGGGGCCAACCGTGTGCCTCATGACGCTCTTCTCCCCCCTTTTTTTTTATAGATTGTGGGGGGTTCGCCCGGCTGGGCCGTCGATTCCCCCGGTTGGCAAGAACACCACACCCATGGCGACCAGACTTCCCCAGCCGCCCGTGGCCCCCCCAGGAGAGCCGGCCTCGCCCGAGATTTGACGATATGAAGCCGCAGCGGCATGTCGTGATTGGGCAGACTACGAAGCCTGTTTGGTTCCGCCCGACGAAGGACTCCATCACCGTCCCATCCGGCCCCCCCGAAACTCGGACCGTCAATCTCCTCTCCCGGAACTCTGGTCGTGACACAGTAATTAGCGCCGGGTATGGCTTTTGACATGACCACCTCGGCGTTGCGAGCCCTTTCCACTTACCAGATGGGAGGGTGCCTAGCGTTGGATGAGACATAAGGTCGCGCCACCTCCCGAGCCGGCCTTGGAACTCCCATGCTAAAATCCGAAACCCCGAGACATTCCAGCTCGTCAGACAGGAAGGGCATGTCTGCCGCAAAAGGAAGGAGGCCCGCCGCCGCCCCCCGGGGAGCCCCTCTCACACACACACACACACACCTCGACCGCCGCGAAACCTCCCCTCACCGCGCCCATCCATGTCTCGTCGAGGGCCGTTACGTCGACAAGCGTCACACTCCACCTCGCCCTCAGGATCCGCTGGAGAAGGGTGCCTGCTGCTCGCACTAGGCACACGCCCTCTCGGAATCACCAGCCAACCAACATGCGCCCCGATCAGACATTTCGGACTTGGGGGCCAGGCCAAGTCCGGATCGGCTGTAATCAACCGTCTTCAGAGACAGAGGCCAGTCCTGTAATCATCCTTGTTTGAAATCACCGACCCTGTCCGCTTTTTTTTTTTCAGCAATCCCCTTTCCCGTCGCCAAAGCCCACAGAGCTCGGGCATAACCAAACCCCCAACCCGTATTACCCGGCTTAACCTGTGCCGGGAGAGCCGACTGCAAAGTGTAATCACACACAGACATGCCCTGGAGGGAGAGAATCATGTGTCACGCGCAATTTCCTAGTCTGACGTGTGAAAATAATATCCCCATATTCATATCTCCCTAGCTACCTACCCTTACTGTGATATCACCGGTCAACCCGGCCGCTTGTTCGGCACCGAATGGCTTGTAAAATACGAGCACTGCTGTTAATCATCGAACATTGCCCAAGATGCCGAACCGCTGCAGCATGACGCGACAGAGAGCAGAGCAGTTGCTGAGAAATCAAGTAAATAGGCCCGAGGACAAAACTAGGCCGGACCTAATCTGATCCGGCCGCAATCCGGCGCCCAACCTTTGCTTGCTCCTCGTATAGCCATCCCGGTTTGGTGGCAAGCCCGCAGAACCAATTCGCCACGCGCTGATAAGCGATGCGGTGGCTAGCCGGTGAGCAAACAAAAGTCCTTGTTAATATTGATACCTGATTAATCTAACTAGCCCTCTGTTACTTTACCATATCGTAATATTAAAACGCTCAAATCCAAGCAGCACAAACGATAGGGTCAGAAACATGCTCAAGGGTATAAAAAACAAACACGATGCATAGAGCCATTATACGAGCTGACAAGAGCAACTTGGAAAAATGTATATAGACATGACAATCTAAAAAAGGGTCGTAACATCATAATCTGGATTGTGAGTGCAGTGCGCAGGAGAAATGATTTGAAAGAAAAGAGAGCAGCTTGTTCTCTGAGAATGCTCAAGACGCCATGAGCAACAGCGGAGATGCCAGAAAGGTGAAGCATGAAATCGAACAGGTTTTGGTAAAAGCAAGGGATGCAAAAAGAAAAAGAGAAGAAAAAAAAACGGCAGAGAAAATGGTAGCCACAGTTTCGAGGGCTGGGCGGTGCATCAGCTGATAATAAGAACAAAAATTCCAATCCAAAAAAAAAAAAAATGGCGAAAGAAAAGCCCACTGTCATCCAAGTATACTACGCCCGTTGCAGTGGAGCGGTCGAGATACTAGGAGTGCCAGCAAAAGTTGTCCATGAAGCCCGAACAGAAAAAATTGGATAGGGGTAAAATGGATTTTGACAGAAGATGGCGGAAAAGCGCAAACACTAGACGAGGCAGCTGGGTAAGACAAAATATAAAGGTAAATATCAGAGTCGAGGGAGCCTTGCCGGAAACCGGTGAGGAACCACGTGAGGACTCGGTTGACTGGAATGCATGCGAACCGTCGTTGGCCGTCACACCGGTGGTGGCGCCGGACGGCAAGCTCCGAGCCGCATGTCTTGGATTCTGTTGGTTCTTGGTCTGCCGCTTCGCTTGCCCCCTTGACGTCCTCGCCAGCGGGGCAACCCTGGGCAACCCTGGGGAGGTGGGTGGCGTGTGGGCGCGTCCTTGTGCGCGTGCGTGCTTGTTGTGCCTACGCCCACCAACCCCCACGCTGCCACCACTCACAAAGCCGGTAATCTTATGCAGAGGGAGTGCCCGCGCCGGCGCATACGAAATTCCGCGTCTGTCATGTGAGAGGGGAAACGACGACCATCCAGGCTTCCTTGCACCGCACATGTGCTTCTTTTTTGGGGTCCCTTCTTTTTGTGTCGTCCACCGACCCGGAATCCTCGTCTTGGGGGTTTTCTTTCTTTAATTCCCCTCTTTTGACTGTGCGACAATGCATGCCAACTTGAATTGACGGCAATTGGACCAACGCTCTCGCCGTCATAACGCGTGCCTCGGAGCAAGGTGCCGCAAACTTCTATCGCGGTCGCCTCTCCTCCAACGGCACCGTATCGCCGTAAAAGCCACCGCCATTGGCCAGACAGGCTAGACAGACGCCACCGTCGTGCACACGTGTGTGTCTCTTCCAGCTGGCGCTGGACTCGTCGTCCATCGACGCAGTCTCTACATGGGCACTCATCCCTCCGTGGCCTTGGTCCTGCTCGTGGTGTGACGGCAGACCCGTCGCGTCGTAATGGCCGTGATGTTGCTGCGCTGACGGCTGGGGGTATTGCTGGTAGTGGTGATCGAAAAAGGTCGTGTCGCGGCCGTAGTCGCCGGACCCAGGCGGTGGTGGTGGGAGATACGTCGCGTCCGTCCCGGGAAAAGACAACGGGGCAAAGTGCTGAAGAGACGGGTAAGTTGAGAAGCCGGTTGTTTGCCACTGCTGCACGTCCTCATAGCCAAGGTCCCCTCCACTTGTCCCATAGGTGGTCGGTGCAGCGTCGGGTTCTGACCCGGATGACACCATTCGATTATAGCTCCTCCTGCGTGGTGTCCAACGCCCAGCGTAAGAGCCCCCAGTGGCAAACCCGGCCGAGGTCGATGTTGAGGACTGAGGAGAGAAAGAGGTTGTGTCCGAGGGCTGCCCCATGGATGGCATCCCAGCAGACATGTAGTCAGGGTTCGGCTGGTGGATAAAGGACAGCCTTGCGTCGCCGCCGCCCAGTTCGGGCGGTATCGAGGCGGCATATGTGGGACGTCGGTCCTGAAAGGCAAAGGCGGCCGGGAAGTGAGACGTGGGGTCTGGGGACGCCGGCGCACCCCCGAATTGTTGAGGAGTAGCCTGGCCTAGCTGCGCGTGGCCGAAGTCCGAGTTGTAGTTGCTGTTGAAAGAGTCCTGCGTCACGCCCGGGGCTGGTTCAAGGCCGGCCGCAACCGACCACGATGCCGACCCTGACGAGATGGTGCCAGGCACATGGTGGGCGACGGTGGCACTACTGCCGCCCCATATAGCCGTCGACGAGGCACCCGAGCGAGCTTGCCGAGATGCGCGGGCGTCCAGGGCCGGAGCCCCTGACCAGCTATCGCCACCTTCCATAGTCGGCACGTCCTGGGGCCCGACATCCGGCTCAAGTGTCGCTTGCGACTGGGGGAAGAATGAGGGGTTGGGAGGGGGCACCCTATAGGGCTGACCCGCAGCCTTTTCAGCAGCAGCAGCAGCAGCAGCAGACCGTGTCCGAGTTAAGTGGACGCCTGACCTAGCCCCGTCCTCTTTGGTGCTGACTCCACGTGACCGGGCGTCGACCATTTCACAGGATGTCTGATGATGACGGGACCCTTGATCCTGTGGCTGTCGTTGTTGTTGTTGCTTCTGTCGCTGTTGAGGTGGTGAGAGCGGAGCCCGAGGGACGGTGCTCTCCCCGAACCCACCGGCACGACGCGCCAAGTTGGATGGCTCGAAAATGCCCCAACGCAGCCACTCGTTTGGCTGCGCGCTGCTTATGCCTTCTTTCTCACACCCACCACCTTGACGGCCGCATCCACTTTCTGATTTGGCACTAGTTGCGGGGGTGGTGAGGCCTAGCGAGGTCGGCCGTGAGCCTGCACAAGGGGGTGAGGGCACTGTCCTCCCTTTGAGTCGGCTGGCACTTGCGATCCTGGAGAACAGGGAGAAGCGAACAGCAGCAACCACAGCCGCGAGTAGAGCGATCAATGCGACTGCGTATATATGTGTGCAGAGCAGCTTGTCGAGAGCGCCGCGAGGATGTGACTCGGTCTCCAAGCCTAGGCTGACGTTGTAACCCTGACTAGGAGTCTCGCTGCCGTTGCTGCTGGTGGTGCTGATGGTGGTGCTGACGTCGCGCAAGAAGAGGCGTGGTCGCGGTGTAAAGACAGGCATGTTGGGCTGAGAAGCCGATCGAGAAGTGGGATCGGTGGGTGTTGGCCCAAGGGCATGCGGCTATGTATACCAGGGCGAGACAGTGAGTATCAGCCAGCCCAAGTGGTGATGCAGTCCACCCTTGAGGAACCGTAGTGCGTCAGGGGGGTGTGCAGCCCGCTGTGGTGAGAGTGTGGAGGAAAGGGGGTAGGGGGTGTGTTAAACAGTACCGTGGACGGAATCCTACTTGTCTTTTTTCCTTCTTTTTGTGGGCCTCCTTTTTATTCCTGTTGTTTACCCTCCCGTTCTTTTTTTTTTCTCCCCTTTATTATTCTTCCAGACACACCGCAACCAGGGTCCTGTACCCTGTGCGGGCAAGATTCCAAGCAACACCCTTTTTGGCGTCTGAGATTTTGCGGTTTGGTGCCACTACTGGGGGCCGTCCCAAACAGGCGATGTACGCCGCGTGCCTCCTGTTGTGGTGTGGCTTGAGCTGACGCAAGATGGGTGTGTTCGAAAAATGCGGCGAATTAGGGTCGCAACTGTTGGGCGCTCTAGTGAGCGTAGACTTTGCGGAGAATCGAGGGTCAATGTTCCGGGTGGGTTGGTCGTGTAGGCGGTGGCCTCCCAGGGGGCCTTGTGATGCTGGGGGCTCCCTGCTGGCTCGACCTCTGCACCTGTGGTTTGCTGACAGGTTCAAAGACTGGGCCTGAGTGGCAGAGACGCGAGCGTGAGAGAGCTCTAAAGCCGCACACACACCAAAGGCAGACCCAGAATATTCCTGCGAGCGGCTGCAAGGGATGCGGGACCACCCTGCAGCGACAAAGCCGGCCAGGAGCGGCAGGCTCTGACCGAATGTCACGTCTGCTGTGCGCTTTTTTCGAGGGGGTGTGGGTGGATAGGCGGGAGTTTGCACAGCCTCCTTCTAGCGGCTTCAGGGTGACCCCCGGGTTAGGGGAAGGAGTCAGTCGGCCCACGAAGCGTGCGGCACACGGGTGGGCATCAGCCAACGCAGCCCAGCCGTTGAGTTGCTGCAGGTGCGCCGTGTCACACAGAGGCCCAGAAGAGCGGTTGACGTCAGGCGCGGCGCGCGGCCAGCGGGCGTCCAATCGTGGCGAGGCTGGCGGCCGACTTATACGGGTTGGCCTGTTTGATGGCCGCGTGCGCCAACAACGAGCGGGCAGAAAGGACCAGCGGCGACCAGAGAGAGACTGGGGGCAGGCAAGCTTCGAGGCACGGCGAAGAGGCACAGTAATGTGGACGAAACAGCGACAGCTCGGCAAGCCTGGGCCGAAACCGAGGCCGCTGACGGGCAAAGGAGGCGGCGGCAACGAGGCCAAAGTAGCTGGGGCTCGGACCGGGGAGGCTCGGCCAGGTCGAAATGGAGGGCCTGTCGAGGGCAGGAGGCAGCGAGTAACCCGTGCGTTAGAAGCCGTGCGGCAGGGCCAAAGGGCAAGGGAGAGATATGGCTCCTTCGTCGTCCGACTCGGGGCGGCAGTGGGGGTTGACCCGGAGACACGACAGGAGCACCGAAAGCCCAAATAAGAGGGGGGAAAAGAACAAAAAAAGAGATGAGACAAACCCACCAGCTGGGCTCGGGCAGATCTATAAGAAAACAGGACTGGATCAGGCTAACCGATGCGCGACTTGCGAGCAGGTAAAGCGCCGACGCGAGGGGATCTTATAAGTGGAGTCGACAAGGCCGTCGGTGCGCGAGGTGATCAAGATAATAGGAGCCTAGGAGGCCAGCCAATCAGTCCAAGGCAGCATCCCGAGCTACCGGGATTCGACTTGGGCAAAATGGGACCAAACAACAGGAGCAGGGGTAAGAACACGGGCCAGGAGCATGGGTAAGAGGAAGCGAGGCCATGTTTGGGCGGGTTGGATAGGTGCAGCGCGGTGGGCGAGTGGCAGGGCGCGGTTGGCGGTCATGGTGATTTTTTCTGCTCCAAGCTAAAGTAGTAGGCCGACATGAGGGGAGGAGAGCTAGCACAGGTGCTAGCCTTAGCAACTCGCCATCTTGCAGGTCGATCGGAAAGCGTGCTAGGTACAGAGCGGAAAGCTGGCCGAAGACCAAGGTGGGGCCGGGCAAGGAAAGAAAAAACAAAAGGAAAAAATGGCAGAAAATGGCTTGATTCGATCGCCTCTCAGCCGACCAAATTTGCCTTTGTGTTTCTTCGGCCCCGGCCCTCTCATCTCCGAAGGTCCCAGCCAGCCCAGCCCAAGGCACGGCAAGGTTGGCGCACGCGACAGCGCCGCGGTGAGAGGAAGAGGGAAATGGCACCGAGACCAGAGGGCGATAATTGCGGGCCGACGGTAGGTGGTCAACCAGGCCCCCAGCTGCGGTCAGCGGCCTATGAGGATGCAGGCCAGGCCAGGCCACCAGCAGCAGCTTGAGGGAGGAAACTCCCAAGTAGTGGAAATGCAGTGCTACGACATTTGTGGGAGGTGGCTTGCTCGCTCTTTCCCATTCCCAAGGAACGCAGCAGCCGGCTCACTGACAGGCAGGCACGTCCTGCAAGACCAGCTCGGCGTGGGGCGGCCCTGCCCCCTCTGGGCTGCTACTTCCTTGGATGGTGGGGACGAGGAGAGGGGAAGTGGTGCATTTGGACAAGGGGGCGTCCAGGGGTGTTGAAGATGCAACCCCTACCGAGCCAGCCCTACGAGCGAAACGCCGCGCGCTAGAGGTGCCAAGCGCAGGGGTCTCCTCGGCCACTGGCCACGAGCCCCAGCCGCCGCCGCACGCAACGAAACAAGAGGCGGAAGGTGACGGCGACGGACATGTACGGGTGCGGCGTCTCATGTACCCGAGAGTCAGCACACGAGAGACGGCCTGGCAAGCAAGAAATGAAGCAAGCACTCGAGCGCGTGATGCAGGATGAAAAGGACAGCAAAGAGACTAAGGTCTAGAAGCGCCCACGTTGCCGCTTTGGGGCTGGCGGCGGCAAGTATCACGGAAGAGGCACCGCGGCCATGGCCCCTCGCAATCTAACCTCGCTCGGGCGGGTAGGAACAGATTGGCTGGCGGTCGAGAGCCGGTTCAGCTGAGGTGAGCTTTCGCGCGGCGCCTACATCAATCAAGACGTCAGAGCCGCTGACCAAGCCCAAGGTGCCCGCCCTGGGAGTGACGGTGGAGCTTCGAAGCCCCCGCCAAAGACGAGGTTGGCGGAGCTGCTGCCTTGGGACTGGAAGCGATGAGCATTGCTTACAGTACATGGTCCCTTTAGCCGAGCCCACAGTGCTGTGTGTAGTGCATACTTGTAGTGCATACTTGCCAGACATCACAGGTTGGCAGAAACCAATCGGGTGGAGAGAGCATGGGCGGGGGGCATGCATGGAGCTAGCCTCGCAGATGCGATGGAGACAAGTCAAGGTCGAGACGCAGGGTGGCAGGCAACCCGACTCACAGACTCGCAGGCAACCTTCTCGATACGACGGCACGCAATGGATGCATTGCACTGGCCAAGCCAGGCTCATCCACGCACGCCCTCACGCACGCCCTCGCCCAGCTGTCGGTAGCATCCACCAGCCCAAACCCCCACAAAACCATGCAAGTCGAGCCCGCCCGTCCTTGCTCGCAGGTTCCCTCTGTGTTCTCACCGCCTCCGCGAAGTAGCACGTGCAGTTGAATCTGGACAGTTGGAGCTGAAGACACAAATGGCCCCCATAGAATTTCGTATGAAGAGTGTGTGCGCGTGTGTGCGTGTGTCACTGTGAAATTCCTGGGTGTGTGTGGCCGGCAGAAACAGCGGTTGATCGGCGTGGCCCGCAGAAGCACCGCTCGAGATGCAGCTTCGACGACGCAGTTGGCCAGCACATGTGAGCGAATCAAGCGGCCATGTTTCGGCCCTGGACTTCCTGTTTGAATTGCGAATCGACATATGTGGGGCGGTGGTTGTCCTGTGAGCCTGCGCACCCGCCCCCGCACTGTTGCCAATTGCATCACAGCGAGCGTGGTACACCGGCTTCGAAAGCTTCCGTGAAGAGGCGGTAAGCCATTCCAGAGTATTTTTAAAAATCCGAAAGCGGCATAAATACCTGCATCTGGGATAGATAGTTGGTGGTGGTGGTGTGAGGCCAAAAAGGGGCGTGAATGTGGGAGTCAGTGGAGGGTGACCCGCCGCCATGGAAATTCCATGGCGTGGGTTTTGCTATTGCCAGAACAATTCCACTGCATGCAAAATGGCCAAATCCCGTGTACAGCTTTGCCGCTGCGGCTTTGCGGGAGCCCAGAAGGGAAAGGCACAGTCCTCAGCCGGCCCCCAACTGCGCGAACCCCCGAAGGCCAGCCGACGGAGCCGAACGAAGAGTAGCGGTGGATGCCGTCGAGGCGACGGGCTCTCGCTCGGCGGCTTCAGCGGCTTCAGCTCGTCTTGCGGCATCTGGTCCATACGAGATTTTGCCACCGTTGACGACGCTTCGCCCCGTTTTTCTTTCAGCTCCAGCTCTCCAGCCCGCCTAGCTGCGCGTCGTGGTCTTTGGGGTCCGGAATTAGGGGAACAGGAAAAAAACAAGCAAGAAAAAAAAGCACAAACAATACGACAGCCAGTCGACCGTCGATCTTGCCCAATTCCAAACCAACTACAGCCAATTCCATCGCCCGAATGCGACACCGACAAGAAAGGCCAAAGGGCAAAGATTGGTGCGCCAATCGTCCAGACCCCCCGCCGGCCGTATCCGACGCGCTTGGAGTGCACAGCCCCATCGGCTGCCTCCTCAGCCCTACCACTACCAGATGGATCGAGCCTTCCCTGCGCGGCAACGCGTCCCTTGCCCGCCCACTGGAAAAGCCAAGGCAACAGACACCCTCGTCGGCCGACCCAATTGAGGCTCTTCCTGATGCAAATCTGCACTCTCCAGCTTGAATGCCCTCGCCCTTCTCTTGCCCACCCCACGTGTTGCTCCCGTATATGACGGGCCATCCACTAATCGCGCGCCTCCTCCCGCTGTCGCCACTCTCCTGGAAACAAAGGACCGGCGCTCCTAGACCATTGGTTCTGATGGTCCTGATCTCGATGCTTCTTTTGCCCATCGCACCTCAACCCTTGCCCCTTGCCTTCTGCAACGTAACTCTAGCTGAGTTGGATGGCGAAACGACAAGACGCCGCTCGCCGACCCTGGCCCGCCTTGCACGCTGCAATTTCCAATGCCCGCCCTCGTTGGTCGCCCCTCGATCCGTTTCGGTCCTTTCGCCGACTTTCCTTCCTCATCGCCGGTCTCTCTGCTAGCCTCCCTTGCCTGCTCTCCGACGTCGCATTGCGCTCTCGACTCTGCTTCTTGCCGACCTCGTGTTGCTTCACTTGTCAGCAAACGGCTCCCATTGATGCGTCCCTTGCCGTCAGCAATCATGACTGCCCGCGCGCTCTCACAGGCTGCAATACGATGGCTTGTCAACACACCTTGACGAGCCTCCCGTCCTTGTATGCCCAAGGGTGGGCTAGCCCTCGCACCAACCACCGCTGCATATCGTCTAGATGCTGGCTCCTAGGTGGTGGCTCCCAGGTGGTGGCCCGCGGAACCGGCACAAGGCCTCGCTCGGGTCGCCGCCGTCGCGCTCCTGTTTCCGAGTCACGAGCGACACTCCTCTCCTAGTGGACAGGATACGACGCCCACCGCCGCCACGCTGGCCCGTTCCCAACAACGGCGAACGAATGCCTCGCTTGATGGCGCCGGCTTTCAGAACCAACAAACAATAGACCCCATGAGCGATGGCTGGCGCGCGCCTCGTCGTCTACTCCTATGGACTGGCCCACAGACCCACATCGGGTCCCCAAATATTACATGCGCCAGCCTGCGGCGCGGCCTTTCTTTCTGTCCGCGTTACACTTTTCCAGACGCGCCTTTCGCTCCCCTCCCCTGCTCTACCCTGCCAATCCCAGAGCCGCGCTTGACGTGCATCAGATCTCACTTTGATCTAACCCGCATGGTTCCCTTCGGGCCTGTGCATGCACCCCGTCGTCACCCGTCCTGGAAGGTTGGCGGATTTCGCTCCAATGTCGCCTTGCAGGAAGCTGGAGCCGCAAGTGTGTGGCGTCTTTCGACTTCATCTCGGTCTGCTTCCTCGTTCGTGTCCGCTCCTTGGGTTTTCCTTCAGTCAGCTCATCTTGGCAGTGTCGAGAGCATAGTGATGACGCCCGGTCGGAACACTTTTACGTCCCACGGCAGATGATTCTTGCCATCATGGGTCGAACCCAAGCCTCACATTGGCGTGGTCGACCGACACGCTGACGAGAAGCGCTGCATCTCTTCTCGCATCATGCGCTTGTGCCTCCGCCACATGGCGGTCTACGGCTCCCGATTTTCCGCCATTCGTTCTGCTAACTCGAGCTCGAGACCTCCAATCGGGTTGTCCAATACACCGATACCGGCGCGGGCCCCTTGCCAGAGCGATCGGCATGGGGCTGCTCGAGACGCATGCAATGCACTATACATACCCCTTTGCTCGGGCGGGATTTCCGCGTGATCGCGTCAGCTCCAAGTGGACACTATATTCGCCTGTATAATGGCCAAAGCAGCGTCTTTGTCAGGGCATCTAGGCGAGCTAGTCCCATGAAGCGCGCCATTCGCCCCGGTTCTTAGGATCCGCCCGATTATTGGCAATGGCGCCGTGGGTCTGGAAAAGCCTAACCAAGTGCCCTCCCACGCCTCGGCCTCTGCCCAAAGTCCGGACCCCCAAGGGTCTCTTTATTGTTGTCCTCTTGGGGCAATTCCAGCCAGTCTCTGGCGGATCACCCGGCAGAAGTTGATCCCCGAGCCGTCGAATCATATCGCCGAATTCGGCACATTTGGCTGCCCAGCAGCGGCAGTGCCGGCTGAAGTGCTAATTGCCCGCAGGCACGTCGGCCGGCTACTCATCATGAGCAAAGACTCGACCGGTTCCCAGGGGTGGCTGGCCGCCGCTTTCTCAACGCGGCCTAGTGGCAGGGCTAGTAGCTCGAGCGAGCCAGCGCGCGGCACTCGCTACCAGGAGAATATCACGCATATTCGCTTGGCCCACATACACCCAAGCGGACGACTGACGCGCCGTCACATGTGACCTGTTTAGCACACCAACCTTTACGTATCTGACGGCAGCCGCCAGCGAGTACCTTGCTTATCACCGGCGCGGGTTTGGGGACAGGGCCGGCTCCGGTGCCGGCTGCTCGCCCTTGGGCTTTTTGCCCATTGACTGTGGCAGAATCGCCTAGACTAGTCAGTGGTCAGCTCTTGGACGCTGTGGTTAGACGTGATTTCGGCCACAAGGCTGCTGGTGCTATGTGGGAGCGACATGCATGGCGGACGTGGAGCCGGCATTGTATGTGCGCGTCCACCCCGAGGCCGGAGGCTTATCCGAGCCGAATCCATGTCAACATGTTGTAGCACAAACATTGATTTAGAAGTAGATGCCAAGGCGCGCACAATTTGCAGCCTGACCAATACTTCCGGTCCAGATTCTGGCCACAAGACCCAGAGCGTACGGCATCTCCCCGTCTCACGGTCCGTCCCAGGGGGAGAATAATGTGTCCAATGCTGACCTCAAGGAAGTGGGTATTTCCAAGCTGGGCCTACACAACCAGGTAGCTACCCTAGATACGTACCTGGTGGCTGTCCACAACGTCAAAAGAGGCAGTTGGTGCTGCACGTGCACATTGCAGAACCGTCACGTTTCTGGCGCCACCACCACACAGCCTCCACAAACCAGGATTCTTGGCGGGTGTGGTTTTGCGTGCCTTTGCGTGGAGATGAGGCTAGCCCGCTTTTGGTGCACCAGTGCGATGTGGACGCCGTTGGTGGGAATAAAAAAGGAGAGAGAAAAATAACAAACTAGCGGGGCGGTGGCGGGCGGTAAACAGAAGAAGAAGAAAAACGCCCTCCCCATCACCCGTTTCTCCACCTTGAGCCGCTTGCTTTTTTTGCCCTGGGGTTTTACGGTATTGATCATGGAGAGAAACACCGAGCTCGGTTCAATTTGCCGTCGTCAATAGGCTGGGCGCCAAGAGGAGCCAATCTTAACATCCAGTGTATTTTTCTGCTTTGTGTAATTTTTGGCTGGCATAATCCCTGACGGCATTCACATCACAGGGAGAGAAAAAGAAATGTGGCGTTAGGCAGCTGCGTTATCATCCTCCCTCTCCCTCCTCTCACGTAAACTTGATGTCTCTGCCGCCTAGGTAGCCCTAGAATACGAACTACCCAAAACGGACCGGGGGGGGGGGGGGGAGGGG